GTACGATTTGATAGGGGTGAAGAAGGAGCGGTCCGCCTGGGCCTGCTCATGGGCTTCGTCGCCAAGAATCAGAGAATCGGGCAAACGGAGAGAGAATTCACTGTAAGATCACTCAAAGAAATCTTACATCCTGCTGATACTGAGGACAGAGCGCTGTGTCCGGTTAGGGCCCTTAAGTATTATCTTAAGGCTTCGAATGAACGTAGACAAGGGCGTGACCGTCTGTTCATATCGTGTAACCCTAATCGCACAGTTGACATAACTCGCAACTCGATTGCGTTGTGGCTTCGTTCTGTCATCAATCTGGCGTACCGGTCTCGGGGGTTACAGGTAGCGGGGTCAAACCCGCACGAGATCAGGGCGCTAGCCGCAACATTTGCCCTACACTCGAATATCTCAGAATATTACGAGGTCGAACTAGGCTGGAAATCCCGAGTTACAGTTTGGCTGGATAAACGAGTCTATGCATAGTCCAATCAAAATCGTGTCACATACAAGACATCTGGTTTGTAAACACCATAGATTTCAATTTGCAAATTTCAGTTGACTACAGGATTTGAAAAGCATGTGTACTGTCAACTTGGCCTCAACAGATGTTTTCCAAATCTTGTCATGTTCTTAATCATGGTGCTCAAGTAAATTGATGCACTATGCTAGGTAAGACCCATTTTAGGACAGTTCAATCTGCACGCGTGGATGTTGTCACCGGGCGTCTGAGGAGTATTTTTTTTTCTCGCCGGGCGTCTCGGGCATATGTTAGTATGCATGGTGATTCTACCCAGAAGGTGTATAATGCACGTTGGGTTATTTTCACGAAGTGGTGTTGTAAACATCACATTCATTCGCCAGATAAGGTATCTGTGCAGGATATTGCTCGTTTCATGTCTCACTTGCGAGAGACCCGGAAACTCTCCGGGGGTTCCATTGCCAACTATATCTCGTCCGTTGCTACGGTACGGGACGTTGCTATCGGTACCAGTCTCTCCAAAGAGCCGGTGATACGGGGTATTATCAAGGGTTTCAAACAGCACGATCTTAAGAAGGGCCGCCTTCGGGCACCGGCCTGGGATCTTTCCCTAGTGTTGCAATCACTTACGGAAGCTCCGTATGAACCCTTGTATAGTGCTTCGTTCCGGCATGTGACTTTGAAAACAGCATTTCTCCTTTCCTTTGCCACGGCGGCACGTGTATCCGAAATTCATGCACTCGATGTCGCCAAGGTACGATTTGATAGGGGTGAAGAAGGAGCGGTCCGCCTGGGCCTGCTCATGGGCTTCGTCGCCAAGAATCAGAGAATCGGGCAAACGGAGAGAGAATTCACTGTAAGATCACTCAAAGAAATCTTACATCCTGCTGATACTGAGGACAGAGCGCTGTGTCCGGTTAGGGCCCTTAAGTATTATCTTAAGGCTTCGAATGAACGTAGACAAGGGCGTGACCGTCTGTTCATATCGTGTAACCCTAATCGCACAGTTGACATAACTCGCAACTCGATTGCGTTGTGGCTTCGTTCTGTCATCAATCTGGCGTACCGGTCTCGGGGGTTACAGGTAGCGGGGTCAAACCCGCACGAGATCAGGGCGCTAGCCGCAACATTTGCCCTACACTCGAATATCTCAGAATATTACGAGGTCGAACTAGGCTGGAAATCCCGAGTTACAGTTTGGCTGGATAAACGAGTCTATGCATAGTCCAATCAAAATCGTGTCACATACAAGACATCTGGTTTGTAAACACCATAGATTTCAATTTGCAAATTTCAGTTGACTACAGGATTTGAAAAGCATGTGTACTGTCAACTTGGCCTCAACAGATGTTTTCCAAATCTTGTCATGTTCTTAATCATGGTGCTCAAGTAAATTGATGCACTATGCTAGGTAAGACCCATTTTAGGACAGTTCAATCTGCACGCGTGGATGTTGTCACCGGGCGTCTGAGGAGTATTTTTTTTTCTCGCCGGGCGTCTCGGGCATATGTTAGTATGCATGGTGATTCTACCCAGAAGGTGTATAATGCACGTTGGGTTATTTTCACGAAGTGGTGTTGTAAACATCACATTCATTCGCCAGATAAGGTATCTGTGCAGGATATTGCTCGTTTCATGTCTCACTTGCGAGAGACCCGGAAACTCTCCGGGGGTTCCATTGCCAACTATATCTCGTCCGTTGCTACGGTACGGGACGTTGCTATCGGTACCAGTCTCTCCAAAGAGCCGGTGATACGGGGTATTATCAAGGGTTTCAAACAGCACGATCTTAAGAAGGGCCGCCTTCGGGCACCGGCCTGGGATCTTTCCCTAGTGTTGCAATCACTTACGGAAGCTCCGTATGAACGCTTGTATAGTGCTTCGTTCCGGCATGTGACTTTGAAAACAGCATTTCTCCTTTCCTTTGCCACGGCGGCACGTGTATCCGAAATTCATGCACTCGATGTCGCCAAGGTACGATTTGATAGGGGTGAAGAAGGAGCGGTCCGCCTGGGCCTGCTCATGGGCTTCGTCGCCAAGAATCAGAGAATCGGGCAAACGGAGAGAGAATTCACTGTAAGATCACTCAAAGAAATCTTACATCCTGCTGATACTGAGGACAGAGCGCTGTGTCCGGTTAGGGCCCTTAAGTATTATCTTAAGGCTTCGAATGAACGTAGACAAGGGCGTGACCGTCTGTTCATATCGTGTAACCCTAATCGCACGGTTGACATAACTCGCAACTCGATTGCATTGTGGCTTCGTTCTGTCATCAATCTGGCGTACCGGTCTCGGGGGTTACCGGTAGCGGGGTCAAACCCGCACGAGATTAGGGCGCTAGCCGCAACATTTGCCCTACACTCGAATATCTCAGAATATTACGAGGTTGTTACTGGCGTTCTGACTCGGTTTTTGCCAATCATTACCTCAAACAGGTCGCTGATGCCGTCGTGGAGAGTGTGCACTGTCTTGGCCCGCGAATCGGAGCGCAAGCGGGCACCTAAGGGGTGTGCCCTGTGCAATTCCGAACTCCTCAGGCGTCAGACCTTGCACGGTGGTCAATCTGGGTTGACTCCAATGTTCCCACTGCCGTGGGTACAGGAGTTGGGCTCCCGCAAACCAGCGCACTCACACCACAGGTGAGGGCGGCTTTTTGTGTGCTTTGTCCTTATTTGTATTTTGACAATTATGTATTTAATTGTCTGTCGTGTATCCCAACCTTGTGATGCATGCTTACAAATACTGGAATTAGGTCACGCGCCTAATGCATACTTTAAGTAGGCTTGCTCTGGGATATACAGTCTGAATGAAATTAATTTCCCTCTTTTCGACTGTTTAACCTGATCTAAGATTAAGCTCACGCGGATACAGTGGGGCCGTTTGGAGTCACCAATCGTTTTGGCAATGACGATTGAGCCTTACGGTATGCGCTTGACAGTGCTTTGGTATTCCTATAGGGTAACGCCTAGCTAGGTCCATGCGCATCGAGTGCTTCCGCCTTGGTGTTTACTTCCGCTGGTCGGAAGGAATGCTAGTAGTCAGGATTCGGGTTGTAGGTGCTCCCCACCACCTACTGTGGTAGTCAGCCTCGGTATAACAGTGGTAACGTATTACTTAATGTAATTTGTAGAATTTTCCTATTCGGAATATTCTATAAGTAATACGTTACCACTGGGCTGCTGCCCGCCCGTCCGTCCCCCGAGCACTTGCTCTCGCAAGAGACAAGAGTGAAGGGTGTCACATGGCAGCTAGGTGGCTACGCACGTGCTGCATGAGGTAATTGAGATCTCTGTGGTAGATTTCGCTATAGCAGCAGTTGTGGGAGACAACAGCCTCGGTATAACATTGGTAACGTATTACTTATAGAATATTCCGAATAGGAAAATTCTACAATTTTGTCGGTATGAAACATCAAATACCAACCCAATAGAATCCTGATTTGTTCACTGTCAGCAAGTCTTTGAACTATCATAACACAGTATTTCCTGGCAAGAATACAAAAATGCTCAACACCAACATCACTCACTGAAAAATAAAGGAAACTTCAAGAAACAATAGAAATCTGACGAAGCGAGCCAGCCATTTACGGACACCCTCAACATACCCAGTGTGTCCTCTACCGTGCCCACAGACAATCTTCACCTCCAAATGTTAGGGATGACCACAGGGGCTATTTTCACAATATCGATTGTATTGCAATAGTAGCCCACACTATTGCAAAAGTATTGTGATAGTTACTTCCTTGTTATGTTGTTGTTGTTGTTTGTTAGTCCTACCCCTTGTAAACATATGAGCATGACAATATAGGAACTCAGTATCCTTCTTGAGTATTCACCTGATGTCAAGGGGGAAGCATCTTCCTGAGCCAAGGGAGTTAACTGACTATCAAAGTCCAGTTTCCACCCATGCCGAACTAGGCTGGAAATCCAGAGTTACAGTTTGGCTGGATTAACGAGTCTATGCATAGTCCAATCAAAATCGTGTCACAAACTAGACATCTGATTTGTAAACACCATAGATTTCAATTTGCAAATTTCAGTTGACTACAGGATTTGAAAAGCATGTGTACTGTCAACTTGGCCTCAACAGATGTTTTCCAAATCTTGTCATGTTCTTAATCATGGTGCTCAAGTAAATTGATGCACTATGCTAGGTAAGACCCATTTTATGACAATATATTTCTTGATTATTGATCAGATCATCTAGACTGGTGGCGCAACATTTGAGCCTCGAAATTTAAGCCTAGTTCGGCAAGGGTGGAAACTTGACTTTTATAGTCAGTTAATGCCCTTGCCTCTAGAAGATGAGGCGCAAGAAGTAGCCATGACAGATGTAGTTTCAAACAATAGAAATGAGTAATGAGAAAAGGGTAGCCTTATAAAACCAACTTCGTTTTTTTTCTTACTCATTACTCATTTCTGTTATTTACAGACCACCATCATATAGCTGGTATATTGCTGAGTGTGGCCTTAAAACAAACAAACAAACAAACTATAAAACCAACTAATTGACTGATGGCATTGTTTTGTTACAGCGGAATACCTCCTGGAGCAATTCCAGTCCCCGAGCAGCTCCATCCCCCATGTCAAGGCGGGACTCGACTCTGTCCGCCCAGAGATCAGCAAACTCCTCAAGGCTGTAAGTCACGTTATTTGTGTGAATAGGTTTCCACCAACCTCTACTTGTATGGATTGGTGGTCAGGCTTTGTGTCCTGCTTGATTGAGTGTCGTCTTATCCTGATGATGTGGGTCATTGCTCATGATATCAGTCACTGGTTACAGACCTCTGTCATGTAGCTGGAATATTGCTGTTTGGGCATAAAACAACAACACAAAACAATGCATTAGTTGTTCATATAACATTGCGAGTGAGTGAGTTGGGATTGTGACAGTTTCAACAGTCAGTCTTTCAGTTATATTATGGCTTATTAGCCTGTGAGTCAATTCTGAAGTGACAAATGAAATGTGTCTATGAAAAACACACAAGCATGGGTTCAACAGCCAGATTATGTTTCTAGATTTGTCAGCATCGTGCTTGTGGGTTTCACCAAAGAGGTAACCATCTAAGACCTGCATCGCTTCACACATTTTACTGCCCCTGCTTAATATAATTGAAATACTAATCAAACCGGTGTTAGACCCAACTCCATACCCATGCTCGTAGGTTTCACCAAAGTGGTAAACGTCTAAGACCTGCATCACTTTAGGCTTTCCTCCTACATGAAGCTGACACGCCGTGATATTACTGGAATACTGTTAAAAGCGGTGTTGGACCAAACTCACTAATCTCTCATCATGATTATCAACAGAACATTTCACAATAATGAGTGGAAATAGAGGAGTCATATTCTTGTTCTTGACTTCTTTGAATACGGTTATTATACCCGTGAAGATCTGGTTTTGTATAAATCAATCACCGGATTGTCTGGTCCAGATTCAATTATTTACAGACCACCGTTGTATAGCTGGAATATTGCTGAGTGCAGCGTTAAACAACAAACAAAAAGCAAACACACAAGCACACAAACAAAACCTCTTTGAAAGATGGCAGCATTAATATTGTGTCAGAGTAGCTTCCCTTAGTTACCTTGACATTACCCCTACTATGTCATTATCTCCCCTAGTTACGCCTGATGAATGAGTTCCAGCAGGAAGCACCAAACTACTGGATACGATATCCTGATAGGTGAGTCTACTTCCTGTTGTGTGACCTAGATGGAATTCTGGGATAGAAAGGACCCATTATTTAAGGTTTCTGACAAGTTTTTCTGACTGACATAAGACACTCAAAAACACTATCGTAAAGGTGAGATTGGTCCAAATGTTGGTGTTAAAGTTTAACATTTAATGCCAGTGAAATATTATTTATTTTGTGACATTAAATAAGTCTGCTTATAATGAAAGTAAACTTATCATAATCGACAGCAGATGGACTCGTTCTGCGTCAAAGTAGTCATTTTATGTTGCTTTCTTAATGATAACTTTGCACCAGTGGTTGGTGCGAGCTGTTTTTGTACTGTTGTATAAGTGGAATAATGAATAAACCCCCACTCTGTCTGTTCAGGTATGTGGAGGAAATTGTCGAGAGCACCCTGAACCTCATATCTGTGCCCCAGTCAGGGCCCACTCAGAGACTCGCACCATTACATTTCATTGCTCTGATTGACCCCAAGGCCCAGTGGTTCATCAAATGGATGGTAAGATCTACTGTTTTTATTAGTTTATAGTGTTATGATCCAAGATTATTGCACTTATATAGCGACACAAATTCTTACGAACTGATTATCAAGCAAACTGAGTGTATCTGAATTCATTTGACTTGTGCTTCCATGTTTCCTGATTATGTAGACGGCATCTTGGCCCAGTGGTCTAAGTGCAACAGTATGTTGTGTAAAACTGAATCTCCTAGCCGTGCCCTACCCACTTTTCATGGGTTTGAATCCCAGATTCGCCTTGATTATGATCCTTGGTTTGTAAACCATGCACAGCCTGCTTTAACATAGACTTTCCTCACACAGCCTGCTGACGTGGCATGATAAATGTATAATTGAATAAGCCTAGCCCACTTTCTCACACCTAATTATGTCATGTTGTTCCAGCACGGCAACTACAGCAGGAAGGTGCTACTGCAGACTCTAGAGAAGTACAGACCAGTTGTAAGTATACCTCTTGGCCACCGTGGTTCGCCTGGTTTGAAATCAGTGAATCTCCCTGTGTAACAAGGATAGTGACTGTCTGTCGTCATATTGACACCTTGGTTGAATAGTTTCGACATCGAGATATATATCTCCTACGGTTGTGAAGTGAGGACAATGTACTGATGTTTGCTGTAACGTGTAATGATGTAAATGTGCCAGTTCTATCTCTGACTGTCTTTGTGTCATGTCATCTCTCTGACTGTCTGTGTGTCATGTCATCTCTCTGACTGTCTTCGTTTCATGTTCCCAGTGAATGTCTTTGTGTCATGGTCTCTCTGTGATAGTCAGTGTATCATGTTCTCTCTGTGACTGTCTTTGTGTCATGGTCTCTCTGGGACTGTCTGTGTGTCATGTCATCTCTCTGACTGTCTGTGTGTCATGTCATCTCTCTGACTGTCTGTGTGTCATGTCATCTCTCTGACTGTCTTCGTTTCATGTTCCCAGTGAATGTCTTTGTGTCATGGTCTCTCTGTGATAGTCAGTGTATCATGTTCTCTCTGTGACTGTCTTTGTGTCATGGTCTCTCTGGGACTGTCTGTGTGTCATGTCATCTCTCTGACTGTCTGTGTGTCATGTCATCTCTCTGACTGTCTTCGTTTCATGTTCCCAGTGACTGTCTTTGTGTCATGGTCTCTGTGACAGTCAGTGTATCATGTTCTCTCTGTGACTGTCTTTGTGTCATGGTCTCTCTGTGACAGTCAGTGTATCATGTTCTCTCTGTGACTGTCTTTGTGTCATGGTCTCTCTGGGACTGTCTGTGTGTCATGTCATCTCTCTGACTGTCTGTGTGTCATGTCATCTCTCTGACTGTCTTTGTTTCATGTTCCCAGTGAATGTCTTTGTTTCATGTTCCCAGTGAATGTCTTTGTTTCATGTTCCCAGTGAATGTCTTTGTTTCATGTTCCCAGTGAATGTCTTTGTGTCATGTTCTCTCTGTGACTGAGGGGCGGTCAGGTAGCCTAGTGGTTAAAGCATTTGCTCGTCAAGCCGAGGACCCGGGTTCGATTCCCGACATGGGTACAGTGTGTGAAGCCCATTTCTGGTGTCCCCCACCGTGATATTGCTGGAATATTGCTAAAAGCGACGTAAAACCATACTCACTCACTCACTCACTCACTCTGTGACTGTCTTTGTGTCATGTTCCAAGTGACTGTCTGTGTGTTATGTCATCTCTCTGACTGTCTTCGTTATATGTTCCCAGTGAATGTCTTTGTGTCATATTCTCTCTCTGACGGTCTGTGTTTCATGTTCTCTCTCTGACTGTCTGTGTGTCATATTCTCTCTCTGACGGTCTGTGTTTCATGTTCTATCTCTGACTGTCTTCGTTTCATGTTCCAAATGACTGTCTTTGTGTCATATTCTCTCTCTGACAGTCTGTGTGTCATGTTCTCTCTCTGACTGTCTTCGTTTCATGTTCTCCCTATCTCTCTCTCTCTCTCTCTCTCCCTCTCTCTCTCTCTCTCTCTCTCTCTCTCTCTCTCGCTCTCTCTCCTTCTCGATGTATTTGGTCAGACTCTCTCATGATGTTGTTATATCTTGCCCCATCCTTTCTCTTAGACTCTTGCCATCACATTCTCTTTTCACCCTCATGGTCCTGAATAGCTGACATACTGCCTGTGACAGCATTCACTCACTCTTGACTCTGTCTTATGTCCATACAGATGCTGTATCTGTTTCTCTTCTAGGTTGAGAACACAGTAAAGCACTGCCTGGAGTTCTCAGCTGCCCGCAAGTTCCCCCAGGACATGATGAGTGAGATGTCCGACTCTGTGTCCAAGTTGTCCCTCAGTACGTTGGTGATACGTTGGCTAGCTTTTGCATAGTGGGTGTGATGTGTTGGCTAGCTGTGGCATAGTGGGAGTGATGTGTTGGCTAGCTGTGGCATAGTGGGTGTGATGTGTTGGCTAGCTGTGGCATAGTGGGAGTGATGTGTTGGCTAGCTGTGGCATAGTGGGTGTGATACGTTGGCTAGCTGTGGCATAGTGGGAGTGATGTGTTGGCTAGCTGTGGCATAGTTGGTGTGATGTGTTGGCTAGCTGTGGCATAGTTGGTGTGATGTGTTGGCTAGCTGTGGCATAGTGGGTGTGATGTGTTGGCTAGCTGTGGCATAGTGGGATGTGATGTGTTGACTAGCTGTGGCAGAGTGGGTGTGATGTGTTGGCTAGCTGTGGCATAGTGGTGTATGATGTGTTGGCTAGCTGTGGCATAGTGGGGTGTGATGTGTTGGCTAGCTGTGGCAGAGTGGGTGTGATGTGTTGGCTAGCTGTGGCATAGTGGGGTGTGATGTGTTGGCTAGCTGTGGCATAGTGGGTGTGATGTGTTGGCTAGCTGGAGGCATAGTGATCACTGATGTGATACATTGGCTTGCCAGGTGTATAGTGGGATTTGATATGTTGGCTAGCTGTGGCATAGTGGGGTGTGATACATTGGCTAGCTAGGTGTATAGTGGGATGTGATATGTTGGCTAGCTGAAGGCATAGTGATGTGATACATTGGCTAGCTAGGTGTATAGTGGGATGTGATATGTTGGCTAGCTGTGGCAGAGTGGGGTGTGATGTGTTGGTCCCAACAAACAATAACAGTTGGGTGAACTGGGGATTTAGCACTACTGTATAAGCTCAACATATACTTTTCCATCACAGATATATCATCAAGTGACCAGCGAATGTTTTACACTGGACCAGAGTTGGATTACGCATACTTCATCCACTGTGTGTGTATCCTAGGGAAACTCCTGTGTTTCCAGAATGGGCGCAAGTTCTTCCCCCTCAAGCTTAAAGACGGTACATTCACTATAGGGATCATTGTCAGTACTATGAGTTGTAATTGTGAGGTAAGGAAATAAGGCATGCATAACTCACAGAGGTCAAGACCCATGAAGATCCGGGGTAGAATAGGTCTTCAGCAACCCATGCATGACGTAAAAGGCGACTATGCTTGTCGTAAGAGGTGACTAATGGGATCGGGTGGTCAGGCTCGCTGACTTGGTTGATGCATGTCATCGTATCGTAATTGCATGGATCGATAGTCATGATGTCAATCACTGGATTGTTTGGTCCAGACTCAAATATTTACAGACAGCCGTCATACAGCTGGAACAACAAACAAACAAACACAGAGGTGAAATGAGCTTGACTCGGTGCATCAACTTTTTGCAAACTCAACTGTTGCCAGATATTGAAGCAATTTGATATTGAGTCGATGGTTGCAAGGCTATGGCACGTTTCACTACAAATATTGCCGACGTAATCTGAGTGATCGTTTGTATGAGCACCTGACAGTTTGTCTCTCACTGAAATAGGTCCGTGTCTTAGTTTGTTGGTTAAAATTAGCAACAACACTGCAAATTGTTCGTATATATTCACGGTTAAAGAGAAATGTAGGTGTGTATTTGAATTCGTGAAGTATTGACGATGTGTTGAGATTTCCAAATAATGAAATGAAATAATGAAATCTCCACACATAGTCAATACTTTGATCACTGATATTTAGAACACTGCTCAAGTTTGGGATTGCTGACATTTAAGACACGGTGCTCCAGCTCTACCCCATATTCTTATTGCCTATCGAGCAAACATGCCCATCCAAGTATGTTACAATCTCACGTCTGTGATGATGATTCTGATTGTGTAATTTTGTCTCTCCATATTTTCAGAAAGTGTCACCATCAACCGACTACTGAAGGCTCTAGTTCTACTGATTGTTGACCCAGGCAGTTCCTCCTCCAACAAGTCCCCCAGTAGTGAGTCAACATGTTGCCTTGTATAGTAGGACTCTATATTATCGCAGTATTGGTAAATCTCGTAATCCACACCCCCTATCGACTGTTTACTAATGCAAATCTAAGCATGATATTTCATCACTTGATCGAATACAGGACTCGTTATGGTCGGTCAAGTGTAAACGTAAATTTTTTTATGATAGTTTTTGGAATGTTTTTGAAGTGGAATTACCCCTACCTCCATTCAAAATAGATTAGAAAAGAACCCATTTGTTTAGACAAAGTCCCTTGACCCAACCTATGTCGTATGCATACTGATTATGCATAATCCTAAACAGGAAGTGATGTAAACCACATTATTCACACCTATCACACCACAAAATGGCCATACCGCGATAATATAGAGTTGCCCGCCTTTTAGTCACTAATGACATATACTTTGTTTACTGAACTCGGTAAAGAAATTCAGTGTCAATAATTCCTAATTGATCTGTCATAAAAGTTGAACAAAAGAAACATTTTGCGTATAAAATATTTAATAGGTCTGTAAGCGTGCATGCACCATTATGATCCATTATAAATTAACTACTGCAATAATATAGCATTAGATCTGTTCTTGGTGCCTGAAGCATGCTGTGTGTTTAAGCAAAATGTTTATGGCAGGCCAGTGACTTGTACTTGCACACAGGTAAACTGAAGGATCACAGGAAAATGAAGATATGAACACGCTTATTGCACAGGATTCTCAAAATAAACACTGAGTTTCAGAAATGAGAAGGGTATTATTAATCGTAATGAAAAGTAACAAACCCTTAATATCTAGCTCGACCCGTGAAGATCCGGGGTAGAATAGGTCTTAAGCCACCCACGCTTGCCATAAAAGGTGACAATGCTTGTTGTAAGAGGCGACTAACGGGATTGGGTGGTCAGGCTCGCTGACTTGGTTGATGCACGTCTTTGTATTCCAGTTGTTTGATGTCAATCACATGATTGTCTGGTCCAGACTCGATTACTGTAAATCTTGAAATTAACATGAGCGTGAATTACATGCGAAAAATGCGAGTGGTCTTCGTTCACAGTAATGAAACTTCGCATTATTTCTCCCAAATGACTATGAACAATAAAACGGCCTCACTGCACACTCGTGTCAAAATAGGCATCACTGACCTCTCCAATCAGTGAACTGTTGTTGGTTCAATTATCTTATTGCCTTTTAACTTACTTCCTTAATGCCAGTCAACAGAATAAACATATAAACTGTGTGTTGTTTTTAGGAAAACACTGTTTATTGTTATTACGGAAGCCCTTTACTCAGTGCTAAATAAACGGTGCTATTTGTGTTAGATTTGATTAAGCTAAGGATCTGTATCATTCCACTGGGGATGGGGTGGGGGGAGTTGCATTGATATTGAGACACATTTTTGGCCAGGGGTCAGCAGTCGTATTAATTTGGAGACGCATTAATTTCAAGATTTACAGTGTTTACAGACCACTGTCATATAGCTTGAATATTGCTGAGTAATAAACAACAAACATAAAATAATATCTAGCTCAAGTTTGAAGATGGATCAAAGTGTTCTTCTTGTGGGTACACTTACATTCCAAAGGGCACGCGCAGACATCTTGGCTTGAAAAAAATCTTTTCTATCCCTGACAACTAAAGGCTTATTTGTGTTTATTCTTGATGTTTGACACATTGAAGGTGAGCTACAGCAGAAAGTGGTAGCAATGGCATTGTGAGTGAGGAGTATGGGAGTAGACTGTATGTTATTTAAGAGAAATAATGAACTGTTAATTTCCCTACGCCCAGATCAGTACGAACCTGCAACGTTTGTCACGATGGTGATGAAGGATCTGTGCAAGTCGGAGCAGGTGTGTCAGATTTGTCTGTGTAACGACGACATCACCGACTCTCTCCTCTCCCCTGTCTTCAAGTTCCTCGACAACAACCTGGTGAGTCAGTCACATGACAGGACAACAGCTTTTGAAGTCATGGTGACTGCAATACATGTCTGGGATTTATCTAGACATGCCCTTAGGCCTCAAGTCTGCAGCAAATATTGGTAATAATTCCCAAACTGGAATAAAAGATGTCCCAATTCAGGATATCATCAGTTTTAACAGAACAGTCTGTGACTGTCACTGGTCGGAAGTCCGTGTCTAGTAAAATTCTGTTCAGTCTAGTAAGCTAAGCTGACATCAGTCCATGTGATACACTAAACTTTACTGAAAATGATGAAGAGTTCGGCCAGGAGACAAATGATTTTGCCACAGACTTATATCATATGTTATGTCTTTGCAAATTTGACAAAAGTGTGACAATATTGCATATAATTCTACATGTAGTAATATATAAACCTTACAAAAAATCCCAATTTTGGACAAATATTATTTCCAAATTTGCATTACATGGGCACTTTGTTAAAAATCCTAGCTACATCCCTGCATGTGTTTTTTATATTGATTCTGATGATAAGGTGCAGTCCTATGTTGATGTATGTTATAATGAGCCTTGATATTGCTAAAAAAATATTGGAAGACTTTCCTGGTGACAAGTTGGCTTCCTCCTAATGATGTGTATGATGTATTACCCCCACTGGCATGGATACAGGTGAAATATTGTTCATCAGTTCTCACTGAACATTGTCATGTTTGCTTTATGCTGATGGGCTAGTTCACACGTTACAGTGATGGGATCTCATATTGTCACATATGATTGAGACCCGTGAAGATCCGGGGTAGAATAGGTCTTCAGCAACCCATGCTTGCCGTAAAGGGCGACTAATGGGATCGGTCCCAATTGCGTGGATCGATGCTCATGATGTCAATCACTGGACAGTCTGGTCCAGACTCGAATATTTACAGATCGACGTCATATAGCTGGAATATTGCTGAGTGCGGCGCAAAACAGCAAACAAACAAACAAACAAACAAACAAACAAACAAACAAACAAACAAACAAACATATGATTGAAGATTACTTCATCTATTGTACATGATGTCACAAACTGTTCTATGTTCGAACAATGGATTGAACTGATGTCTCCACCTGAGAAAAGTGGGGAACCCACATTGTAACATATTTTCATGGTAAAAATTGCAACTCATTATTGAGACCCATGAAGATCCTGGGTAGAATAGGTCTTCAGCAACCCATGCTTGCCATAAAAGGCGACTATGCGTGTTGTTAGAGGCGGTTGACGGGATCGGGTGGTCAGGCTCACTGACTTGGTTGATGCATGTCATGGTATTCCAATTGCATGGATCAATGCCCATGATGTCAATCACGGGATTGTCTGGTCCAGACTTGATCTTTTACAGACCGCCGTCATGGTTCTGGAATATTGCTGAGTGCGGTGTTAAACAACAAACAACAACAAGATTATTGATAATCTGCTCCTCTTGAACTAATGTTGAAAGCCTCTTGCCAAGCCTTGTGATAAATTCACTTGGCATAACTCCTTGTAGCGCATGGATTATTCGTCAATTAATTCCTGACAATTCCCCTTTTACTAACTGCCATGTTCCTCCCCAGGGCAACCATCCTCCCAGTGAGGGTACACTCCTACACGTGGCGGACATCTTGTCTATTCTCGCTTCCAACAGTAGGGGGCGCTGTCACCTCATGTATGGAGAAGGTCGCGATTTACAGAATCGCTCCAAGTAAGTCTTACTTGCCTAATGACACTTTCAGTTCTCAGAACTTTAATCCTGTTCAAGTCTTTGAATGGCATTTAGAAGTGATACACATAAGGAAGAGAATTTATGGATGTCAACTTCTTTATTATGATGAAACATAACGTTTTGGAGTATATGCTTACTCCATCATCAGGTGAATGAATGCTATGAGGCAGAAAGCATGTATATGTACCTGTAAGAATAACAAAAGTAATAAGACAACAAAAGGTGGAAACTAACAAGGAGGCCACCAAATAATTGCCGCTGATTGGTGATTAGTAAAAGACAATAAAAGACTTTTCAGTAATTAGTGCTGATGGTTATGGACAACTGAATTTTAATCCTGTTATGTACTTGCTTCTCGTGATATAACTGTTCAAAGCTGTGTTACTCCAAAGTCACTCACTCTTTGAGAGAAAGTCTTCAAATTCTCATTTGATGGCTCATTTTAAATTTACATAAATTATCCAAGTTGAAGGGACTGATAAAGATTTGTCACATGGTTTGAGTAGTGTTTCAGTCACATCAGGGCAGTCGGCTTAATGTGAGAGGAAAGCCCAAATGATGACAGTGGGCAATATGTATCATTTTGGTGACATTCACAAGCATCAAGCATTATTTGGGGGGATAGGGGACTCAAATATGCCACAACCAACAATCTGCAAGACCTAACTGCAAATAACAACCCACAACCTACAATCTGCAAGACCTAACTACAAATAACAACCCACAACCTACAATCCGCAAGACCTAACTGCGAATAACAACCCACAACCTACAATCTGCAAGACCTAACTACAAATAACAACCCACAACCTACAATCCGCAAGACCTAACTACAAATAACAACCCACAACCTACAATCCGCAAGACCTAACTGCAAATAACAACCCACAACCCACAACCCGCAAGACCTAACTGCAAATAACAACCCACAACCTACAATCCGCAAGACCTAACTACAAATAACAACCCACAACCCACAACCTACAATCCGCCAAACCTAACTACAAATAACAACCCACAACCCACAACCAACAACCAACAACCTACAATCCGCCAAACCTAACTACAAATAACAACCCATAACCCACAACCTACAATCTGCAAGACCTAACTACAAATAACAACCCACAACCTACAATCCGCAAGACCTAACTACAAATAACAACCCACAACCCACAACCTACAATCTGCAAGACCTAACTACAAATAACAACCCACAACCTACAATCCGCAAGACCTAACTACAAATAACAACCCACAACCCACAACCTACAATCCGCAAGACCTAACTACAAATAACAACCCACAACCTACAATCTGCAAGACCTAACTACAAATAACAACCCACAACCTACAATCCGCAAGACCTAACTACAAATAACAACCCACAACCCACAACCTACAATCCGCAAGACCTAACTACAAATAACAACCCACAACCTACAATCTGCAAGACCTAACTACAAATAACAACCCACAACCTACAATCCGCAAGACCTAACTACAAATAACAACTCACAACCTACAATCCGCAAGACCTAACTACAAATAACAACCCACAACCCACAAATTCCTGGCAACTTAGGTCAGTCATTCCCTGCAAGAGTGAGTGAGTGAGTTAGTTGGGTTTAACGCTGCTTTTAACAGTATTCCAGTTATATCGCGGCGTGTCAGCTTAATGTGGGAGGAAAGCCCGAAGTGATGCAGGTCTCAGACATTTACCACTTCGGTGAAACCCACAAGCACGGGTATGGTGCTGACAAACCTAGAAACATAATCAAGGCAAACCAGAATTTCGAACCCACAATCATAGGTTTCTGGCGTACCCAAGGGACGCAACTCTGCACAACAAATCGCGGCGCCTTATATGACTGGGCCATGCATGCCCCCTCCCTGCAAGAGACACTAGGCAACATGACTGTGAATGCATTACAAATATGAAAGGTGCCTACATTAGTCTAATTCATTATTTCATTTCAATCCTTATAATTAAGTTCGACAAAGAAAACATGTGTCACCACAATAGTTTAACCAACAACACTTGTATATATCAAAACAGACAAAAATGACGAGATTGATAAACATTCCAGGTGTATGAATACATACTGTGGCGTGACATGAATCAGGTGATTTTTTCATTTATGTATATAACTTGACACGCCCACAAATCAGTAGCCAATCAACAGAGAGAAGAATCAAAACAAAGTTCACAGGACCTGTCAATCAAGGCGAAAAGGACTGCAACAGTCAGACTGTAGCAAACCGGAACAAATATGTCCGTGAAAAAGTGGCTGTTTCAAATGACATGGTCAGTTACCGCCAGATTCGAACATTGGTTCCCCGAGAACGGGAAGACACAGTTGGAAAAATGTGGGTGAGAAATTAAACCCAAAGACATGAAATTTGTGGAACCAAGGCGAGTGAAAAACAAAGACAGGCGAGCACACGCCTCGTTTCATTCCGTCTCGTCCTTCGGCCTCATACAGTGGTTCAGAACACGAATATACATGAATGTCCATAAAAGGTACTGTGCATCACAATGCAGATAAGCAGAAGGAATATTCCCTCAAATATAATATTGGGATTCCTCGAAATTCCATAGTAATATAAGTAGTCGGTGGCGTGGCTAATATTTTTACATTCATTGGGAAATGAATGCAATAACACATGACTAATTCAGCAAATCAGAATGCAGGAGTCATAATAAACCCAATGAAAATTTGTTTATATCAGGCAGGGTTAGAAACTAACAGTTTTCATCCACTAGCCCTAATAATGATAACATACAGCAAAACCCCTAAAAAGGGTAAATTTCTACTAGTCCTTATGATACCTTTACCATTGGGCACTTTGGCAAGGACTATAGGACTCGTGCCAATTTCTAACGCTGTTATCAGTATTCAAAATGAATGGGATACTGGGGTCTTTCCTGGATCAGCCCCTGTGGAATTGCACTCTTGGAGCTCTAAATCTGTTTACATTACTGTTATGACAAGGACTTTCCTGCTTAGATTTTATCACTGCATAGCATATCTGTGTTTGTGTTTCCATAGGTCATCAGCAGCCCATGTTATTGCCGAGTTCACAAAGAAAGCCCTGATGTCCTCCCTGCCGTGTGGCGCAGGGTCTCAGCCCTCCTCTACTGTAGTGGGAGCCTACCTGTACATATGTAGACAGCTGTATAATACATGTCAGGGCCTGCTGGTGCTACAGCAGTACGACCTGCACAACACAGTGGCTACAGCGTGGAGAGAGGTGAGTGTATCGATACATAGTGTACTACAGCAGTACGACCTGCACAACACAGTGGCTACAGCGTGGAGAGAGGTGAGTGTATCCATAAATAGTGTACTACAGCAGTACGACCTGCACAACACAGTGGCTACAGCCTGGAGAGAGGTGAGTGTATCGATACATAGTGTACTACAGCAGTACGACCTGCACAACACAGTGGCTACAGCGTGGAGAGAGGTGAGTGTATCCATACATAGTGTACTACAGCAGTACGACCTGCACAACACAGTGGCTACAGCGTGGAGAGAGGTGAGTGTATCCATAAATAGTGTACTACAGCAGTACGACCTGCACAACACAGTGGCTACAGCGTGGAGAGAGGTGAGTGTATCCATACATAGTGTACTACAGCAGTACGACCTGCACAACACAGTGGCTACAGCGTGGAGAGAGGTGAGTGTATCCATACATAGTGTACTACAGCAGTACGACCTGCACAACACAGTGGCTACAGCGTGGAGAGAGGTGAGTGTATCCATAAATAGTGTACTACAGCAGTACGACCTGCACAACACAGTGGCTACAGCGTGGAGAGAGGTGAGTGTATCCATACATAGTGTACTACAGCAGTACGACCTGCACAACACAGTGGCTACAGCGTGGAGAGAGGTGAGTGTATCCATACATAGTGTACTACAGCAGTACGACCTGCACAACACAGTGGCTACAGCCTGGAGAGAGGTGAGTGTATCCATACATAGTGTACTACAGCAGTACGACCTGCACAACACAGTGGCTACAGCGTGGAGAGAGGTGAGTGTATCCATACATAGTGTACTACAGCAGTACGACCTGCACAACACAGTGGCTACAGCGTGGAGAGAGGTGAGTGTATCCATACATAGTGTACTACAGCAGTACGACCTGCACAACACAGTGGCTACAGCGTGGAGAGAGGTGAGTGTATCCATACATAGTGTACTACAGCAGTACGACCTGCACAACACAGTGGCTACAGCGTGGAGAGAGGTGAGTGTATCCATAAATAGTGTACTACAGCAGTACGACCTGCACAACACAGTGGCTACAGCGTGGAGAGAGGTGAGTGTACATAGTGTACTACATAAGAGGGAAATTCCATGATGTGAATCGAACCTGCAACTTTACCCACTTTTTCCCACTGAGCCACCGGACTAGGTGATGAAAGGGTGTTCAATCTTACATGTCATGACCTCAGTTATCTGAATGCTCCTTTTGTCTTTTTTCTCATCCGCTGTCTTTGAACATATTTTATACCGTGACAACTGTACACCATTACAACCAATGTTTTTTTTATTATTTCTGGTATTTCTTGCATTTAGACGGTTCATAAATTAGCATGAACACTCCTCGATTTCAGTTGAAAATGTAAAACCTCGAGGTCTGGAAAAGGCATAAGGCTTTCGCCTTACTCAAGGTTTTACATTCTCAAATTGAGGAATCGTGTTTTAGCTATAACTTCATACACATGTATACAGTATATATTACCAGGTAGGCTGAATCTTTAAGACCAAAGTCCAAGGCATACAGAGACATTTTACCCATTTGTGCATTGTCCTGATGCTTGCTACATTGCTTATACGGTGACAGTCCAGTGAGAACCTACCTGATTTAGAGTGGTCAAAGTACACCATAGCTCTTTTGTTAGAGGAGACTAAATAGGATTGGATGGACTGATCGGCTAGTTTTGCTGACAGTGTGTCTTCATACCCTAATGGGGGGCACGGGTGGCCCAGTCGTCTTGGCATGCCAGAAACCTATGATTATGGGTTTGAATCCCGGTTTGCCCCAATTATGTTTCTTGGTTTGTCAGCACCATACCTGTGCTCATGGGTTTCACCAAAGTGGTAAATGTCTGAGACCTGCATCACTTCGGGCTTTCCTCCCACATTAAGCTGACACGCCGTGATATAACTGGAAAACTGTTAAAAGTGGCGTTAAACCCAACTCACTCACTTACTCATACCCTAATGGTTTGGAAATGTTGCTCATGATATCAACCACTAGTTTGTCTGGCCCAGACTTTATTATTTACAGGTTGCTATGATATAGTTGAAATGCAGCATAAGACAACAAACAAACTAATGTCTTTACTGTCTCCCCACCCAGGCCTCCCAGGCATCTGACCGGGCTGCCACGCCCACTCCGTCCGACTCCAGCACTGATATCAACAAGTCTCACAAGGAAGTCAGTGTGTAAGTACATATTCCTGTGTTGGTTATCAGGCAGACCCCTGTGAAAAGCTTCTGGGTGTGCTGGGCTGGATTTGACCTGTGGCTGGTTTTAAACACCACTGTGCTTGAATACACAATGCTATTATGAAAGTGGTCAGATGTAACACGTTATACTTGGGATAACACTTCTTAGGTAAAGTAAAAATTCTAGTACTTTTGGGGGGTTGGGCTTGGTCTGGGACTCGAACCCATACTCTCAGAGAGAGGCACCTAATTGCCAGCACACAAAGTCAGCAATTTAACCCACTCAGCCACTGATGCTTCCACAAAAATGAAAGTCCGACAACTGGTAGTCTGTTGCCAATTTACACTTATCAGAAGGGTACAGTATGTGATCTAGACTACCAGGTGTCAGACTTTCATTTCTGTGGAAGCCTCGGGGGCTGAGTGGATAGATCGCTCACTTTATGTGCTGGTGATTTGGTGCCTCACTCTGGCAGTATGGGGTCGAATCCCAGATTGGACTCCACCCAAGATAAGTACTACAAGACCCGTGAAGGTCCGGGGTAGAATAGGTCTTCAGCAACCCTTGCTTGCCCTAAAAGGCAACTATGCTTGTCGTAAGAGGCGACTAACGGGATCGGGTGGTCAGGCCCGCTGACTTGGTTTATGCATGTCATCGATCCCAATTTCGTGGATAGATGTTCATAATGTCAATCACTGGATTGTCTGGTCCAGACTCGATAATTTACAGACCGCCGTCATATAGCTGGAATATTGCCGAGTGCGGCGTTAAACAACAAACAAAAAAACAAACGAAAGTACTAGAATTTGAACTTTACTAAAGAAGTGTTATCCCAAATATAACATGTGTTACACCACTATGCTTGGTTTTCCCTCTCTTGATATTCCGGTTTAGAATTGGTTCCTACGACCTCTGCATGTCATATGAGGTGAATTAATGGACTGGTTGGTCAGGCCCCATTACTTGATAGTGTGCATCATTGCTCATAATATCAATCACTGGATTTTCTGGTCCAGACTCGATTAATTAAAGGCCCCCATCTGATAGCTGTGATATTGCTGAGTGAGGTGTTAAGCAAACAAACAAATGTTTGATCACCACAACTACAAGCTCACTACTTATGACTACCGATGCACAGGTAAATACAGGCATAGGATTGAGCGTCATGGTCCCTGATTGTGGAAATCAAACAATGTCACAGCTTACTACCATGCTAAGGTGACTTTTTTAAATTTTTGATTTTTATGGAACCAACTTGACACGAAAGTTCAAAAAGACACCTATAAATAATCTAAAAAAACCATTACATTTTGAATGTAATTAACTTATCAATGCATAGCTTCTGGCCACAGCAAAGCAACTAAGAAAACAAACAAAAGTTATTCCATGAACTTGTGAAATTAGAAATAAATATTATGTACTACTCAAAAGAAATTAAAGAACACTGTAGTCTTTCATTCTGCTACAGTTATCTGTCATGGCATTTTGGCACTCAACAGACTGACTCAAACAGCTTTAAGATATAAAACAACAACATATATATGATGTTACACAAAATGTGTTTTTTACCTAGCCAAACTAATTTGTTGGTAAAGAATCTGGATACTGTAAAATCAATTAGATGTGACATGGGTTTTCATATAATTGTTACTAAATGTTTGCAGGCTGTTCTGGGAAGACACGCTGCGCGACAACCTGTTGAACTTCGCAAGCACCGCCAAAGGCATCCTGCTGCTCCAGCTTACCGGTGCCATCAACGAGTGTGTGTCCTACATGTACACCAGATATGAAAAGAAACTACAGGTAACAATATAAGTTGTTATACGTAGCTCCAATGTGTCACATACATGTATGTACTTGTAGCAAGATAACTCGGGGTACATGGGGTTTTATTGTCTCCGGATCGTGGCATAAAACCCCATTTACCCCGAGTGATCCTGCTACAACAAATTTATCTTCAGACATGTTTTAATGTGACATTGTAAAAGAATTAACACAAATTTAGAATTGATAGAAAACAGCTCTTCGATTGAGCTGAGGTTAACTTGTGCTATGTCATGTGACTTCCATTGACTTGGGAAAAGGGTGCGGCCTTTGGCTTTGAAGCGGGGTATGAAGGATTTACTGTCTCTCAGAAATCCATGTGCAGCCTGATTTGCTTGTGATGGGGTATAACAGACTTATTCCCCCACTGAGAAATTTATTACCCTCCCAGACGGGTTACCAATCAGATCTCATCATTCTGACATGGTGGCATGATAATAACCTTTGGCTATTTTACGTTTTAACTAAACACATTTTATTCACATAAGTGAAACAGATTCTTACAATTATGCCCTCTCCATAGACATAAACACTATACAATTACATGGTAAATAGACCTGTGAAGATTCGTGGTAGAATTGGTCTTCAGCAACCCATGCTTGCCGTAAAAGGTGACTGATTGTCGTAAGTAGGCGACCAACGGGATTGGGTGGTCAGGCTTGCTGACTTAGTTGACGCATGTCATCGCATCCCAATTGCGTGGATTGATGCTCATCATATCAATCCTGGATTGTCTGGTCCAGACTCGATTATATACAGACCGCCACCATATAGCTGGAATATTTCTGGGTGCAGCGTTAAACAACAAACAAACATGGTAAATATCTGATTTGCTCAAGAATCCGCACATACTTCATTCTCTCTGGGCAGCCCGAGATTGCTTGGATTCACCTGATGCAACCTTCTATGGAGGTCACCAGATCTACACACAGAGAGTCATCGTATCGGAGTAGATGCCGTGATTGTAATGAGATGGCATTAGTGTGCTTGCCTCGTATTGATGTCCCCTCGGTTGGATTCCAATACAGTCAACTCAATTATATAAACGTGGCTAGGGACACTATAACTATTGTATGATCTATCCTGCAGCAGATATTACTAGCCAAAAATGAAGAAGACGACTGTGCACTAAAACCAGTCATGAGCATCATACTTTGTACATGAACAAACTTTGATAATCGACTATATGGATTGGAGGGTCAGACTCAGTGACTCTATTGAATGTGTGTCACTGTTTCCTGACCTTTTGGGATGCTGCTCATAATATCAATCACTGGTTTGTCTGGTCAGACTCAGTTATTTAGAAGCCATTATCAAGAAATAAATATTGTTAAGTGTGAGAAGAAACAAATGAAACAAACATCACTGATACTCTCTAGTTGAGTATGACGTAATGTGCCAAGATGCTCCAAGTTAGGGGAGACAACTCCATCTGGAACACCCTCTGTATCTGTTGCAGGTCAGCAAGTGTGAGAAATTTGGATATGGAGTGATGGTGACTCAGATGGCTGCCACAGCACCAGGGATAGTGGCTCTACAAAACACTGGTCAGTTAAAAATAATAAAAAATACTAATTATGATGCCCTGATGGGTAAGCAGTCTTGTTTCTCAATCTTAGATGTCGTCAAGGCTCAATATACGAGGTGTGACTGGTCAGTTCCCAACCTCACATGATTATCTGGCCATCACCACATCCTGGATTCTCGGGATCTGGTGTTGCTGGCGTTGCTGACGTGACAGGTCTTCCAGGACGGGTTCGTCTTCAAGGCTCTACCTGCCTCTCTTGAACTCGGCTGCCCGACTGGTTAAGGTGGCATAGGGGCATCCTCTAGAGGAGGACTCCTATTGACATGGATGGCTTTTGGTGTTGCGCCCTTGTTCAGTGCACGTCCATGAAGTTGTTCCATTTTCCAAAGGTCACAGATCCTGCTTCTTTTACTGATTTGTCACGGCGAAACAAGTTGCTCAAGTTTTTGTGGATATACCTCTATGGCATCATGTAATGTCCACAACAACACACTGCATTAATAGCAATTCCTTCTATGTGAGGCCCAGAACGTATCAATCAACTCTCGTAAATGTACATTATTTTGTACAACTTTTGGGGGTTCATTAGTTTGGGAAAGAAATGCTTTGTTTTCCTATTGCTGGAGTGATGGGAGGGAGACAATAGCCAAAATGTTGAGATAAGGGGTTACTTCTTTTGTGTAGTATATATACATATGTTTTTGAAAAAATGACAGACAAGTAATTATGTTTGTCTATGTACAAAAAATACAAATAAAAGAAGATTTGGAAATAGAATCATGTGGTTACATGTCTTACTTGTAGGTTACATTAAGGCCCTGATGACAGAGCTGTGGTCATCCCTGGAGTGTGGACCTTCAGATGAACCAGTCTTCACCCCCAAGAGCTGGCCAGTGGATGCAATAGACCGGCTCTCACACAAGGTCAGTAGATGACATATGCCCATGGAGGTTCCAGGGAAGAATAGAGATCCCAGCAACGTATGCGTGTATTAGAAGAACTGAATGGATTGGGTGGTTGGGCTTGGTGACTAAAATGTTTTAATGGCTAGGGTGTCTCAGTCATGAAACCATTTGTTCTCACATGAGGTCATATCCAACATTATTAAGGCAGGTCGGCTGCCTCCCTCCCTCCCTCCCTCCCTCACTCACTCTTGAAGTGATAGGACAGTTGTAAACAGAACTTAATCTCATTAAAATCAGATCTTAGTTCTTGCTACCGCTAAACAAAGATCTGAGGACATCTCGTTACGGGTCACGTCAGCAGGACCTTTCATCCAACCAATCAGAGCGTTGTTTACCAGATCATGAAACTGACAGACGGAATGTATTTTCTAATCATGCAACTGCGAAATATTTAACAGAGGGTATTCCCAACGAGAGTTACAGGTTTTATGATTATATCCATACAATCCAAGCCATCTATAAGCCATTCCAGAATGTTCTTTTTATCAGTTTTGAAATTTTTAATCAAGAATACGTCAAAATATGTTTCGAAGCATATTCGTAAAGCTCGAGAAAGCTGCCTTCTGATTGGCTAATGTCGATTTCTATCAGTCATTTCATTGATCGGTCAAAGTTCGCGAAAAGGTCATTCTGACATAACCCGTAGTGGGATGTCCTCAGATCTTTGTTTAGCGGTAGTGAAAACTAAGATCTGATTTTATTGAGTTCCAGACACCCCCCTTTGAAAACCAAACCAAATGTAGTATGTTGTAGACAAACACCCTCCTCCACTGAGAAAGGAATTTGTTTTTGGAACCCTCTCTTTTTAAAATGCTGGTTCCGCTCTTGTCATCGTTGAGTCAGTTGCCAATAAACAAAGTCACATCACCCTAGGATATTGTTGTTGGCTTGTAGGCAAGCTAGCCGAGATGTATGATGATGACTGCATGATCAAGTACGTTATGTTTCACGGTCTCTGTATCTTGCAGCATCTGAGCCGACTTCTGAACATACTGTCAGGTTTCCCAGCCGTGTATGAGGTGCTCGCCGAGAAACCTCTGCCTGTGCGAGACAGCTACAGCTTTAGAACCATGCCGGACACAGTCGATGTAAGTTGTTTCAGAACTCCCATTGACCCACAGTAGTTATGTTGCTTAGATTGGTGGACCAACCACACTGGACCATAAACCTGCAGCAGTTGTAGTATCAGAATGATTACATGCCACACAAAGGAGTTCCTATGTGTTGGATCACCTCACTTGTATGCTACTTCACCTGTGGGGTACTTCACCTGTGGGGTACTTCACCTGTGTGTTACTTCACCTGTGGGGTACTTCACCTGTGTGGTACTTCACCTGTATGTTACTTCACCTGTATGGTACTTCACCTGTGGGGTACTTCACCTATGGGGTACTTCACCTGTATGGTACTTCACCTGTATGTTACTTTACCTGTGGGGTACTTCACCTGTGTGGTACTTCACCTGTGTGTTACTTTACCTGTGGGGTACTTCACCTGTGTGGTACTTCACCTGTATGTTACTTTACCTGTGGGGTACTTCACCTGTGGGGTACTTCACCTGTGTGTTACTTCACCTGTGGGGTACTTCACCTGTATGGTACTTCACCTGTGTGGTACTTCACCTGTGGGGTTCTTCACCTGTATGGTACTTCACTTGTGGGGTACTTCACCTGTATGGTACTTCACCTGTATGTTACTTCACCTGTGGGGAACTTCACCTGTGTGGTACTTCACCTGTGTGGTACTTCACCTGTATGGTACTTCACCTGTGGGGTACTTCACCTGTATGGAACTTCACCTGTGGGGTACTTCACCTGTGTGGTACTTCACCTGTGTGGTACTTCACCTGTATGTTACTTTACCTGTGTGGTACTTCAACTGTGGGGTACTTCACCTGTATGGTTCTTCACCTGTGTGGTACTTCACCTGTGGGGTTCTTCACCTGTGCGGTACTTCACCTGTGGGGTTCTTCACCTGTATGGTACTTCACTTGTGGGGTACTTCACCTGTGGGGTACTTCACCTGTGTGGTACTTCACCTGTATGTTACTTCACCTGTGGGGAACTTCACCTGTATGGTACTTCACCTGTGGGGTACTTCACCTGTATGGTACTTCACCTGTGGGGTACTTCACCTGTATGGTACTTCACCTGTATGGTACTTCACCTGTATGGTACTTCACCTGTATGGAACTTCACCTGTGGGGTACCTCACCTGTGTGGTACTTCACCTGTGGGGTACTTCACCTGTATGGTACTTCACCTGTGTGGTACTTCACCTGTGTGGTACTTCACCCATGTGGTACTTCACCTGTGTGTTACTTCACCTGTGTGGTACTTCACCTGTATGTTACTTCACCTGTGGGGTACTTCACCTGTGGGGTACTTCACCTGTGTGGTACTTCACCTGTATGGTACTTCACCTGTGTGGTACTTCACCTGTGCGGTACTTCACCTGTATGTTACTTCACCTGTATGGTACTTCACCTGTATGTTACTTCACCTGTGAGGTACTTCACCCCTGTGGTACTTTACCCCTGTGGTACTTCACCCCTGTGGTACTTCACCCCTGTGGTACTTCACCCGTGTGGTACTTCACCTGTGATACTTCACCCGTGTGGTACTTCACCTGTGTGGTACTTCACCCCTGTGGTACTTCACCCGTGTGGTACTTCACCTGTGTGGTGCTTCACCTGTGTGATACTTCACCTGTGTGGTACTTCACCCGTGTGGTACTTGACCTGTGTGTCGTTCACCTGTGGTACTTCACCTGTGGTACTTCACCTGTATGTTCCAGGCACTGATGGACCGGTTGGTGATGATAGACAGTCCAGCCAAGATCCACTCTCTCTTCAACTACGAGCAGTCTCATTCTTTTGGTCTCAGGTAGATATACAGCTTACCTGTCCAAAACCAGTAATCCCCTAGTCATGGGGATGTTTTCTCCTTGTTGATATTTTCATCCTGTGACAGTTAATTCATGTTGTAAAATGAAAATTAAGTGACTGAGTGTTTGACAAAACCAACCCTGTATGTTGAAACCACGGGGATTCTGTGATAAAATTGGTCGCCAGCAATACTCCCTTCACTCACTTCATTCATCCCTCTCCTCCATCTTGCTGCTGCTGCTGTTCAGGGTGCTGTGCGTGATGACGTCATGCCTGGACACGTATCTCCTGCTGCAGTCCCAGTACAAGTTCCAGGAGGTGTTGCTTCAGGCCCAGGCTGACAACGTCACGGAGGGCAGGTACACACTTCATGTAGCAGGACTGTGTCCGCCACGCACAAACAACAGATGCTGCGGTGTTTGTTAATATAAGGGTAACCCTATTTTTCAGGGCATTATCATTTGCAGAAGCCCAAGGTCTTCCATTAAGTGCCTGACGAAGGAGGGTCGTTGAAAAGACCGAGGGCTTCTGCAAATAATAATGCCCTGAAAAAGAGCGTTACCGTTATTATTGGTAAAATAGATGAAATTTGTTAGCAAATTAAAAGAAACAACAATATCGGTTTAGAAACATTTACTGCAGTCAACACGATTGTCACTGACCCACTTTTACAAATATGGATACGTCATAGAACAAAGCAGATGATGTTACTATTAAATGTGACGTCAATATCCCTACCCTATGATGTCACCTAACAACAGGCGTGATAGTGGCCCGTCGTCAAGCAATATGAGGGCATTGTCAAGTTAGAGTGGACCGCCGATTTCTTATAACATGCATGCAGTTTAATGATAATTCTATCAATTTTAGCTATAATGGCCAATCTTTCATCCCAGATAGTATGAACGTAAAACCACCCTGAAACAATCAGGTCTACACTATAAAACAATATACATGTATTATAAACACATATACACACATACAATGTTCTAATAAGATAACACACAGTATGTAGCATTGTTGTAAATGCACTGGCTAGAATGTTTTTTATACTAGTACTTTCAAGTAAACACATATACATGTACATTTCAAAAGAAGTTTTTGTCTTGATGTATGACCAAATGCATAGATTAATTACAAGCGATACATATAAATGATACATATTAACGATACATTAACGACATGTAAACCAGGTTTGTGGGCCTGGGTTGATATCACACCTGGGGACGATGCCGCGAGAGGTTTCTACACAGTAGATCAAACTTGTCTGCGGAGGAAATAATAATACATATACAGTAAAGTCTCCTTAAGCCGACACTCCTTAATCAGACAGTCAGCTTTATCCGACACTAATGATGGGAACAGATTAAATCAGTGCTATTTTGATCTATTAATCCTATAGTCTTGCACACCCACTCCAACACACGTAATTGGCAACAAATTACCAAAATCACTCGTTAATCAGTCTCATTAATCCGACACAGTGATCAACGTACTCTGTGGTCATCTGCCCGTGTTTTGATTTGAGAAGAGTCGGCTGGTAGCTGCATATTACAACGGCTGCAGAGATAAACTTACTTAACAATAAACATTTAATGCTTTAAATAAACAAATCAGGATTAATCACATGCTTAAATTACCTCAATCTCATTATAATCAGATACAAATTCTCGCTACCGCTCAGTGCATCCCATTACAGGTCACGTCAGACAACCTTTCACGAACTATGACCGACCAATGACATGACTGTGTATCTGTTGTTTAGTTGTCCGATTTTCGATCATGAACGCTGATACTACTTAATTTCGTTTATCTGACATACTCGTTAATCCGACGTAATCATATGCAGCCAACCATGTTGGATTAACCGGACCAGACTTTATACAGTACATGCAGATATGCCAGTAAGAACAAATATAGCACTAATACCTTCTATCATATGTACAAGTATACATGTAGCTGAGTATGATAGAGCAATACTATAAAATGCCTCATTCAGTTACCCTTACCTTCATTCATTCATTTATTCATTTATACTTACCTACATTCATTCATCAGACCACCTCCGTGGTCTAGAGCATCCGCCCGGAGCGCGGAAGGTCCGGGGTTCGATCCCCGGCCGCGTCATACCAAAAGACGTTAAAAGATGGTACTTGTTGTTACCCTGTCTGGCGCTCGGCATTAAGGGGCTAAAACAAGGACTGCTCGGCTCAGAGTCAGTATACTGTGTCTGAGTGGGGTATTCATGTTAAAACTGCGGCATGGTATCTCAGTGAGCTAGCACTATAAATCGGCATCAGTCCAGACTAGAACAAGCAGCCACACAAACACACACACGTGCATGCACGTTGCTATATAAGTGCAATAATCTTGGACGCGACGTTAAACCCAATTTCACCTCACCTCACCTTCATTCATCACATGCATGCCTTACCTCCTATGTCACAAATGAGGTTTACTATTATTACTAAAGTTACTAATAATACTTTTTACTTAATGCTTATACATGTTTTAATAAACTTTAGGATACTTATCTTGTTGTTTAACTCAATAATCACAAATCCACATTCTGTGTATTCGTGTCTAAACACACATATATCCAAATACAAACACTATCTACAATATTGCAAATACAACTAATTAATAAAATCAATCCAATAATAAAATACTAACCTTGGAATTTGATCCAAAGCCCCAAAGCGATCCTTGCGAATAACAAGTGAGAATATAGATAAATGTTTATCCTTTGAAAGGTATATGTGGAGTGACCACAGTCCTATGTGTCCAGTACACAGCATGGCTGAGTACCCAAAAGGGCTTGACAAAAGGGCTTGAGTAGGGAAAAGGGCTTGCCTATTGTGTTAGTGCACAGTGTGTGACATTCACAAACTAACCATGCAGTAAGCATGCTTAGAAAAAGGGCTGTGACTGATAGTGTAGAGTTTAAGGTAAGCTGAACAATAAACTAAGATGACTAAAACTACGTTTAATTGTGTACATGAATTATACTTAAAAGGTAAAATACAAGATATATTCAAAATCTGTAACTGCCACATTCACATACTGTATCATCCTCTATTGTCAAGGGTGTTTTATCTCCACTTCTTGATCCCTCCTGCTTGATTGAGGTACATAAACTACTTTTGATATTTAGAAGGCTGAGCATTTATGCACGTCATACTTAATGTAAGTGATATGCAAGACCCATTTGGTAAACAGTTATTGTGGGTTTCATTTGGGGGTGACCTCATGCTCTTCACTGCAGTTAGTACAAGTACCGTATTCGATGTAATAAGCGCTCAGGGGGCGCTTATTAGAATATTTTTTGGTGAAAAAAACAGAGTTAAAGGATAAATTTCGTGGTTTATGCTGACATTTATCCTGAAATGTTTATATACGACAGATATATTTTTCCTAGTATTTATTTGCCCATAATTAAGGGTGCATATAACACACCAGTGAGTATTATACGCGAAAAATAAGTTTTGTGTACATTGATCAATCGGAAGGGGTGCTAATTGGGATTGTTCACTAGCCAATATATTAGCAAATATCGCCGTGGGCACTTATTAGAGCGGGGCGCTTATTACCTCGAATCCGGTACGTTTATCATACATCAATGTCATAATGAGATCTGATTGGTGCACATGATCTTGATAAAATACTGTGTATCCCACCTTGGAGGATAATAAATTTCTCAGCATGGGAATAAATCTCTTATACCCCACCACGAGGATATACGAGAGGCAAGGTAAATCCCTTATACCCTGCTTCAAAGCATAAAGCTACACTCTTTTTCCGACTCAATGGAAGTCACGTGGCATAGCATAAGTTAACCTCAGCTCAATCGAACAAATGTTTTCTATCAATTTTGAATTTGTGTTCATTCTTTTACAATGTCACATTTTACAATGATAAATTCATTGTAGCAGGATCACTCGGGGTACATGGGGTTTTATGCGTCCCTTGTGAGGTTTTATGCCACGAGTCTCTGCCTCATGGTATAAAACCTAACACAGGATGCATAAAACCCCATGTACCCTGAGTGATGCTGCTACAACTTATAATGTAACATGTTGGGGCTTCGCGATGACCATGAAGAGTGACCCTTTTGTGTGTGTCTTCTCTCCCAGTGACCAGACAATAGTGGACGTGTTGTCTGTAGAGAGGAACTTCCTGCTGGTCAAGACACACCTGATTGGTGGACCCACGGAGAGGATGATCCCCCCTCGATCTCTGGAACAGGTGAGTTTTTTTTGGTTTCTTGTTTTACGCCGCACACAGCAATATTCCAGCTATATGACGGCGGTCTGTAAATAATCGAGTCTGGACCAGACAATCCAGTGTTTGATATCATGAGAATCGGTCCACGAACTTGGGATCGATGACATGCATCAACCAAGTCAGCAAGTCTGACCACCAGATCCCATTAGTTGCCTCTTATGACAAGCATAGTCGCCTTTTACGGCAAGCATGGGTTGCTGAAGACCAATTCTACCCCGGATCTTCACGGGTGAGGCGACTGTGTCCGTGGTCACCATGTTCCTTGATGTGCGATAAGTTGGAACAGGCCAATACAATCTCATTATAACCATATGCTTTACTCCAATACCATAGATCCCTGAGTAAAGAACGGGGGCACGGGTGGCCCATTCGTCTGAGGCACTGCGATTCGCTTTGCAGAGTTGCGTCCCTTGGGCAAGCCCAAAACCTATGATTGTGGGTTCGAATCCCAGTTCGTCACTAATATGTTCTAGGTTTGTCAGCACCATACCGTGCCCGTGGGTTTCAGCGAAGTGGTAAACATCTGAGACCTGCATCACTTCGGGCTTTCGTCCAACATTAAGCTGACACGCCGCGATATAACTGGAATACTGTTAAAAGCGGCGTTAAACCCAACTCACTCAATCACCCATGGCATAAAGATCTGACAACACCCCTGGGCACTGTTCCACAAAGCGATCTTAGCGCTACGACTATCGTAAGCCAGTGTTAAAATATGGGAGTTACTATCACCTTAGCGCTAAGATGGCTTTGTGGAATGGGGCCCAGAAGATTGTCTTATTCATATCATTCACTAAAGACTCTTCCAGTGACCAGACAATAGTGGACGTGTTTTAAACTGTTGACGACATATCCAGGTGAGCTACAGTGGCTCTATGTAACAAGGTTACAGTATCTGAAGCCTATTCTTGGTTCGGCCCTCATCATATTGTTGAATATTTGCGGATGCTTGATATGTGCTCCTGTTCTCGTCCAGACTCGGGATGGTGTGTACCCCTACCCCCTGTTCTCCGCCTACCCCCTCCCCAGGGAGTACTGCCCCAACCTGGCCGGCCGGTCAGCCATGAAGCAAGGTGAGTTCCTGGACATGTCACTGACCGCAATCATCACAATTATGTTCTCCACAAATGTAGATAGCGCCATAAGAAATTAGATGCTAAAATTTGTTAAAATAATCCTGGCAGTTGTATCTATTTTCTTTATTTTGATTCATGGAAGGTTTTCTTATGAAATAAATTCATTAGTAGTGGAACCATGGATTAAGAGTTATCTGCTCTTTGCTTACTGAAATTTTGAACAAAAGATTCTTTTCGTGCATGACGAAAAATGGAATTCAGAAACAAAGAAAGGTTTTGGGTTTCGACTTTTTATTCTCAACACAAGTAACTGTGGTCATGTATTTATCAAAAACTGAAAATTAATTTTTTAAAAACGAGGTTAAAACTGCAAGGGTTAACAGTCAGAATTATCTTCTAACAGTGTACCAAAGAAACCACTTGTCAAGCGAGTCCAGGGTGTCTTGATGCTTTTCAAATTCCGTGTGAGTGTCAAAGAAGTCACGCCACAAATTTCTTTCCCCTTCAAACTGTTGCAGTAAATCTCTAACGGGGAATGACCCCCCTGCTCCGATATTCACAATAACTGCTGTAAAGAACACAAACATTGCTATTCTGAATTAGATTTTTAAAACAATTAAGTTCAATAATGAAAGATCTTTTTAATACCAATGGGTTCATCTGCAGCCCTAACACCAGTACACTTTAAATATTTAAAGAAAACAAAAGTTGTTATTGTTAAATATTCACTATATATAAGAACATGACCACAGTTCCTTTTTGAGCTTGAGCATGTTTTGTTGATTTAGCAGTTAATTTCTTATGGCAAAGAATGTGAAGGATAGGTTAGAAATAGATGTACAAGTTTATTTTGTGAATGTTGTATTGCTACAGGTGCATGTTCGTGGTCATCTTCCCGAGGCAAGGGCGTTAACTGACTCTAAAGTCCAGTTTTCACCCTTGCCGATCTAGGAGGGAATTACCAGGCTCGATGGTAGCGATTCCATCACTCATTTGCTTCATTTGCTTCAGACAAAATGGCAGCGCCCAGTTAAGATGATCTGATCGATAATCAAGATCTGTATTGTGATAAATGGGTCTTTCCCCTCGAAGTGCATCAAATCACTTGAGCACCTTGTTAAAAACATGAAAAGATTTGCACATACCGTATTCGACGTAATGAGCGCCCCGCTCTAATAAGCACCCACGGCGATATTTGCTAATATATTGGCTAGTGAATAATCCCAATTAGCACTCCTTCCGATTGATCAATGTACACAAGACTTATTTATTCACGTATAATACACACTCGTGTGTTATATGCACCCTTAATTATGGGCAATTAAATTCTTGAAAAATATATCTGTTGTATATAAACATTTCAGGCTGTAAGCATAAACCACGAAATTTATCCTTTAACTCTGTTTTTTTTATCACCAAAATAATCTAATAAGAGCCCCCTATTTCTAATTTTGAGAGCGCCTTGGGTGCTTATTACGTCGAATACGGTACATTGCAAATCCTGCAGTCGACCAAAATCTGCACGTTGAAGCCCACGTTGTTCACCAACTGGATGTCTAGTTCGTAACACGATTTTGATTGGACTATGCATAGATTCGTTATCCAGCCAAAATGTAACTTCGGAATTCCAGCCTAGTTCGACAAGGGTGGAAACTGGACTTTTATAGACAGTTAACACCCTTGCCTCAGGAAGATGGTTCATGGTGTAACACGATCATAAGTTTTGTAGACGTAGGCTTATTGGTTCTGCAAGTTCTGTGAGTTTAGAAATACGGATGCTGCTAGTGTTCCTCACACATCGTCAGAGATGCTCAGTGTTTCTGGTGATACAGATAACCATAATGTTGGCAACCGTAATGGTAGATTAACCTTCCAGGGGTCATGTGAAAACAACTGCTTAACAGAGCTTCAGATTGATCAATATGTTTATGGGTCAAATTGCCCAGTCACTGTGACAAAGGTCGGTTGTTGGACACATAGTTTTCCATTAGACAGTTACAGTTCAATGATGTATCGATGTATCACAAAGTTACATGATACGATACACAATGTGCATGCACATGCATCAATTCATGTTTGAGGTCTCTCCATTTTCAAAAGTAATATTTTAAGTTTTGCAATAACCTAGCCTGATAACTACTCTAGCTAGCATTATCCTATCTATCGTAAAACAAAACTATGAATCTGAATTTATGAGTACAGTCAAACTGGTTGATAGCATGAACCTATTTAGCTATTATACAAGATGTACACGCAAATTAGGAATCGCTATAGATATATCATGCCACAGTATGTATTGATACATGAGATGCATTGTGAGGTCCCTAGTCCCCACTATACAGGGTAGAATCAGTTTCCCTGGCCCTCTCACAACCTGAAGCACTGGTGTCTGATTTCAATGACACTGTTTTGTGAACTACTGCTTTTGTTAAGAAAAAGTCATGGAATTAGGTATTTTTAATATTACAAATTTTAAATATTGAAATAACAACAATGAGAATATCAACAGATCAACATTGTCACACAACCCTTCCTACTCTTGGAGATAAAAAGTGATGAACGAATACTGAGCTGATGTCGTTCGCCCATTTTCAAATTGTAGATGGTAGAGTGCACCATCATGTCGTCTAGTGAAATGTCATTATTGTTCGATCATCAGTTATATGGTCATTCATAGTAAGGTATACACAAAATCTGACCATGTTTCACAGACATTTCCAAAGTACACTATAAATGTTTCAAAGACTACTACTTATTGTGAATCATATTTCGTATACATCTGCCGAGTATATCCTGAATCAAGTTTCATGGACATTGACTGAACATACCATGGATCTTAGACATCAGATGAACATACCATGAATCATGTGTCATAGACATCAGGTGAACATACCATGAATCATAGACATCAGGTGAACATACCATGAATCATAGACATCAGGTGAACATACCATGAATCATAGACATCAGGTGAACATACCACGAATCATAGACATCAGGTGAACATACCATGAATCATAGACATCAGGTGAACATACCATGAATCATAGACATCAGGTGAACATAGCATGGATCATAGACATCAGGTGAACATACCATGAATCATAGACATCAGGTGAACACACCATGAATCATAGACATCAGGTGAACATACCATGGATCATAGACATCAGGTGAACATACCATGAATCATAGACTTCAGGTGAACACACCATGAATCATAGACATCAGGTGAACATACCATGAATCATAGACATCAGGTGAACACACCATGAATGATAGACATCAGGTGAACACCATGAATGATATACATCAGGTGAACACACCATGAATCATAGACATTAGGTGAACACACCATGAATCATAGACATCAGCTGAGTACAAGTTCTGATGTTCAGATACCGTCTGTTATAGGTCATCATTGAGCTTGAAGAGACTTAGCTATCTGATGCTCTCGTTCTGGGTGCAGGTTTAGTGACACATGCTTACTACTCATAACTCCTTTGGTGGATTCCAGGACAGAATAGCCCCTCTGTTCCCAAATGCTTGTTGTTAAAGCTGACTAAATATTGTTGATGGTATATATTGATTGATGAGGCTATCTGGCACTTGTGTAATGCATAAGCTAAACGTTTCAGCCTTAGAGCCAACTGCTGAAGGCCGAGGTTTGTCTGGCATGATGAGTTGTGGAGATTGACCCTGATGAAGTGTTGATTGATGAAAACATTCCCCCAATCTCATTAAAATCAGACCTTTTACTTCAAGATGGTGCCTCTCTGCATGAAGGTCTGCAGATGCTTCTATACCTGAAGGCACATGAACCCACATGTCCTTTATGTGGTGGATGTACCAAACTTTACCTGATGTGACCTATGGAGGTCTTGTCAGATCCAATCACATCTTAGTTCTCGCTACCGCTGAACAAAGATCTGAGGAGATCCCATTAGGGGTCACGTCAGAACGAGCTTTTATCCAACCAATCAGAGCGTCACTTACCAGATCATGAAAGTGACAGTCGGAATGTGATTTCTAATCATGCAGCCTCGAAAACTTTAAAACGGGGTATTCTGAACAATAGTTGCGGGCTTAACGGCTGAATCTATACAATCTAGACCATATATTAGCCATTCGAGAATGTTCTTTTGTTCACGTTTCAAATTTGTAAGCGAGAATTTGTCAAAATATGTTTCGAAGCGTAGTCGCCAATTTGAAATTAGTGCCGTAAAGCATGAGAAAGCTGCCTTCTGATTGGCTAATGTGGACTTCTTGTCAGTAATTCGAATGGTCGGTCAGAGTTCGCGAAAGGTCGGTCTGATGTGGCCCGTAATGGAATGTCCTCAGATCTTTGTTTAACGACAGCGAGAAATAAGATCTAATTTCAATGAGATTGTGTCAGATCTTCACACACTGAGATATTGTACCTGAGTAAAAGTTCTGATTTGAATGACATTGACATCCCTAATCCCAACACTCCCCAAAGCCCACATCAACACGTTTAGCTGACTCAGCATTTTGCGCACACAGTTTGAGTGAGTGAGCTTTCAAACTTTAGAATTAAGTATCTTGCTAACAGATTGATCTGCCTGTTCGGTATTAGTGATTTTTGTATAATTTTAAAAGTTGAACAATATTTTGTTGTTTTTGCTTGCTGTTTTGTTGCACTCTGGCACTGCATGAGATGCACATTAATGCAGATCTGTCACTTTTTGTTGACATCACGTCATCATGTTCCACACGACACTGAAAATAGAGTTAATGAGTTGTTTCATGATTTGGAGGTCTAATAGATTCGTGCCATCTTTAATTTCGTCATAAAATCCCTTAATTTGATAATTAGGAAAATGTTGATTTGTATTTCCATAAGTATGAATATTCCAAATACCATAAATTCCTTGAATGTCTCTACCTTGACAAAACGATGGGCTATCCTTCTGTATGTATTGACTTTCTGGGACCTTCCGAAATAAATTTACACAGGTATTTTGGCTTTTGAACTTTGACACATATCTTTCCTTTAATTAACTCCGAAATGTAGTATTTGAAGATATGTTGTGTATCAAAATGGGTTAAGTATGATATATACTGATGGACAAAACTAAGGGAACACATAGTAACATTGCAGAATATTTGTTATTGTTGTGTTCATTAAAATGAATAGAATCTGGTTGCAGTGTCCATACTTGGTGTAAGAGCTATAAAAGGGGATTGGGTGGTTACAATGGCTGATTCTGTGTGACCAGATCCCCACCAGAATCGTTTGTTGCTATTGCCAACAACCCCAAGTCTACCTGGCCCAGACTCTATGTAAAACACTCATTATATGTTCCCTTACTTCTGTCCTTCAGTATATGCATTACTTACTAAACAAAGGAGAAAAATAATCAGCATGAATGTTAATAATGCTGGAATATTTGTGTGTATGTATGGTAAGCATGTGCCGCATGTCTACACAGACAATGAGCTCAGTAAGTTCCTCACGGGGAAGGGAGACAGGAAGATGGCGTGGGTGGAGAAAGGCCGCAACATCTTCGTCAAACTCCTCACCAACAAACCAGAACAAGCCAAGGGGAGCTGTGAGTATACACTGTACCAAACAATTGGCTCAAACTTAAAGGGAGACTGTATGGAAGATAGCTGGGATGGCATAGTGTTAAAGGGAGACTACTCAGAGTAATCAGTGATCATGGATAGACATAGCCACTGATCTGAATATATAGAGAGGCTGGTTGTTTTCTCTCCTAAACTGGTTAATTAACTTCAACCAGTAGTCTGTAATAAGCTGTGAGTGAGTGAGTTGGGTTTAATGCCGCTTTTAACAGTATTCCAGTTATATCGCGGGGTGTCAGCTAAATGTGGGAGGAAAGCCCGAAGTGATGCAGGTCTCAGATGTTTACCACTTCGGTAAAACCCACGAGCACGGGTATGGTGCTGACAAACCTAGAAACATAATCGGGGCGAACCAGGATTCAAACCCACAAGCATAAATTTCTGGTGCGCCCAAGGGACGCAACTCTGCACAGCAAATTGCGGCGCCTTAGACAACTGGGCGCCTGTGCCCCCTAATGAACTGTGGCCTTGTTGCATATAACCAATAGAGTCTATCCCTGTCAATTTTTAGAATCAATGTTCAAGCTAAAATGTTTACAGTTTACAGTATAATCAACAAAACCATTTCCATAAATTAATTATAAGAAATCTCTGCTTAAAGCAGAGTCCATTGTACGATTCTGACTGTATCATAAGCATGACTTTTCGTGTTTATCAAATACTGATTGTGTGATTTTGTCAATCCGAGCAGAATTTCCGACTCATGTACATAAAGATGCAGATCAGGAAGGAGAGGAGTACATCTGGTGCCCATGAGGATGCCTACTTGCCTTAACGTCCTGTCCCTGAATTGTTCACTGACGAGGAAGTCCATCATTTCACATTTTGTTTCCTCACTAAATTTGACTTTCTAAATTTGAACCTGTCAGTGTTTGTATGTGTGTTTCTTCCAGTGATGCAGCAGTTGCTGGAGCAACTTGTCAGCACTCTCAGCAACATCCCGGAGGAGGCCATCTTCCCTCTGCTGGACTTCTCACGTATGTACCCACCAGAGCAATATTGCTGCTACAGCACTGGGAAATACTGTATCTATAATAGGTGAGGTTAGGTGAAATGGGCTGTAACATCACTCTCAAGATTATTGCACTTATATAGAGATTTGCATGTTATCTATCCATGCTGCAGTTTACCAAGGCTACCCCACTCAGACACAGTATACCGACTTACAGCTGACCTGTCTTTATCAGACCAGACCAGTTTTATCAATTTAATGCCAATTCCAGGCAGGGTAACATCAAGTGCCATCATTTAACGTCTCTTGGCATGATGCGACCAGGGTTCGAACCCTGGACCTCCTGCTCTCTGGGTACTGAGGTGGTCCTGTATTTATATAAGGTTTTATTTAATCTTTGTTAAATAGCTCAACAACATGGATCATTGCTGAAAATATCAATCACTGATTTGTCATGTCCAGACTCTGTTATTTACAGACTGGGTCATATAGCTGGAATATTCTAAGCACTGTCATATTTAAATGCTCATGTTGTAATCATGTGACATTGGTTTTACGCCACTTTCAGCAACATTCCAGCAATATCACATCCGGGGACACACATAGGCTTCACACATTTTCCCCAATCGAACCCGGGGATTCGGTGTGACGAGCGAACGCTTTAACCACTAGGCAACCGCACCGCCCCTGTTATAATCAATATGAGGCGTATTTCACACAGGACTGTAAGAAGTGTTCATTAATGACTGTAACAGGTTTCTGTTCTTTTGAAACAGCTGATGACAGTGGGATGAAGAAGTTCACACTGTCTCCTCTACAACTGCTGGGAATTAAGACAGTTGTTAGGTAAGTATGTTCTGACCAGTCAACATTGCTATCAGTTTTTAGGTAAGCATGTTCTGACAGGCTAACATTGTTATCAGTTGTACGGTAAGTATGTTCCAACAGTTCAACATTGTTATCAGTTTTTAGGAAAGTATGTTCCAACAGTTCAACATTGTTATCAGTTTTTAGGTAAGTATGTTCCAACAGTTCAACATTGTTATCAGTTTTTAGGAAAGCATGTTCCAACAGTTCAACATTGTTATCAGTTTTTAGGAAAGTATTTTTGCCATAGAACTGGAATCACAGCATATCAAAGGCAGCATATTAAATCCTTCATTTCATATTTATTCCTGTGTCTTTGCTGCTGTAGGTCAACAACAAACTGATCACTCCATATGTGTATCTTCATGACTACTGTATTCGACATAATAAGCGCTCAGGGCGCTCTCAAAATTAGAAATAGGGGACTCTCATTAGAACATTGTTTTGGTGAAAAACAACAAAGTTGAAAGATCGTAAATTACGTGGTTTATGCTAACAGCCTGAAGTGTTTATATACAACAGATATATTTTTCCAGAATTTAATTGCCCATAATTAAGGATGCATATAACACACATATTTTACACAAATAAATAAGTGTTGTGTACATTGATCAATCGGAAAGGGTGCTAATTGGGATTGTTCACTAGCCAATATATTAGCAAATATCACGGTGGGCGCTTATTAGAACGAGGCACTTATTACGTCGAATACGGTATGCCTGTGTTGGATACAAAAGATGTGAGTATTGTTGCACAGATACGGGATGCACCTCAAGGCCATCAACACCTCTGCGGCTGCCACGGACGGCCTGACCCAGCTCCTCAAACAGACTGGTTACTTCCTGAAACAACAACAGAAGGTCTTCAGGTCCTCACTCCGTATCCTTGACAACCAAGGGAATGAGAGGGTATTGAGTACTGAATGTTATGTTCATTAGCTCACCATCAGTTCAATGAGATTTAGGCGTTATCTGTACACTGATGCATCTTCCATGTGGGGATTCATTGGAAGGATAGGTCCCAAGTATCCCAGATGTTTGTCCTGAGAACTGGCTAAAGAGGATAAGGTTTTCAGAATCTGTGTCCTGGCTGAGTGCATGTCATCATACTCTGATAGGGTGAGGGTGAGGGTGAGGTGAGGTGAGGTGAGGTGAGGTGAGGTGAGGTCCCTTAGTGCCGAGTGCCAGGCCCAGGAACAACAAGTAACCATTTTTTAATGTCTTTTCGTATGACGAGGCCAGGGGATCGAACTGCTTACCTTCCGCTCTCCGGGCAGACGCTGTATCCACTAGACCATGGAGAGAGTCCAGTAACATGAATAACTGTACATGGTTCCAGTCACTGTTCTCAGAGTTATTTAGACCACCTACGTGGTCTAGTTGTGGATCGTCCGCCCGGAGTACGGAAGGTCAGGGGTCGCATCATACCAAAAGACGTTGAAAGATGGCACTTTTTGTTACCCTGTTGGCACTCAGCATTAAGGGGCTAAAACAAGGACTGGTCGGTTTGGAGTATTCATGTTTAACTGCGGCATGGTATCTCAGTGGGCTAGCACTATAGATCGGCATTAGTCGGGACTAGTACAAGCAGCCATGTATGCATGCACGTATATATCAGTGCAGTAATCAATGATCTTGGATGTGACGTTGAACCCAATTTCACCTCACCTCACCTAACCTCAGAGTTATTTATTTACAAGCTGTCATGATGTAGCTGACTCTACCATTAAATAGAGAATCTCACCCTCGTGTCTTTTGATAATTCCGAGGCTTGCCGAGGATTTTGCCACTTTTATCAACGAGTGTTGATATATTTGATGTCAAAAGACACGAGGGTGCGATTTTATTTATCATCCAACATCATTCTTCCAACTTTTTCAATTTGTAGACAGTAATTAGCAGTGTCTAAGTGTAAAAAGTACTGCTAACAGCTTCAGTAGCAGAGCCATTAGTGATATCATTTGATTGTGACGTCATGGTAACCAGTGATGTCACAATGGTCTGCAAAGCATTGTGATGTAAGTTCATTGCAGCGATATCTACAGTGTAGATATCGCTTGATCTCATCCAAGCCATATCTCCTGTGGGAGCCAGTTTTGGATGATACACAACATTCACCCACTCCCTGTAAGATTCAGATCCATGCTAAGCCAGTATGATGCATCTGTATGTGGCAACAGGTTAGTGCCTTGACTAGACCCAGGCTACCTTCATGGCGGCTACCCTGGCTTTGACTGGTTTGCTGCGACGGTGTTCCTCATCTTCCACGGCAACATGGACCGAGCGTGGAAGTTCCTGTACAAGTTCTCCTCCCTGGGGGTGTCTGGCTATCTGTGGATGCCACGACTACATGCTTCTGTATGTACTACTTTCTAACAAATGCTTGTCAGTCTCTGTCATTTGTTAATGTTCCTCAACCTGTCTATATCTACGTAGGATTTCTGATATTATTTTTTATGGCATACTTCTAGCTTTTCATCTCGGAAATTGTTTTCTGTTTCAAACTAAGAGATATCAAAGCCTTGTTTAACATCAGTATTAACATTTATGGTAATAGACTATTAAGTCTGTGATAGGCATTTTGAAGTTGACATGAAACATGGATAACAATAGTCTGTCCTACAGACCCTGATACAAATATATATCAAATACAGCCCATGCAAGTCTATAATGTTTAGCAAGTCTAGATTACTGCAGTATCAGGCTGTCTTACAGACCTTGATACAAATATATATCAAATACAGCCCATGCAAGTCTATAATGTTTGGCAGAAAATGAAGAGTCACTGGGCTCCCTTTTATTATATTTTTATTAAGATAACTGAACAACTGTTTTTTACTGTACGATATGTTCATTTCAGAGACTAGATGTTAGTCTAGGATAACAACTTCAGTTTTATTTGTGACAATGTTTCAGGGTCACCCGGTGAAGTGGTAAAAAGTAGCTCTGAAACATTGCGAAAAATAATAAAGAAGTTTCATGTCTTCAGTAGAATGTTTGTCCACTGCCAATATAAATCCTTAAAAAAGTAGCTCTGAAACATTGCGAAAAATAATAAAGAAGTTTCATGTCTTCAGTAGAATGTTTGTCCACTGCCAATATAAATCCTTCATCCTTTATGTGGACAGGCAATTATATGCAATCAGTTATGAGGGGACTGGCAGTGTTAAGAGACTGAGTTGATGTTGGCAGGTGCACCTGCCGCCTCCACTGATGATGAGTGGCATCCACCCTGTCTTCTCCAGCACGGCACACAACATTGAGTTCATCCTGCAGACAGAGCTCCCTCTGGTGGCATCTGCTTTCAAGATGTCTGGATACACTCCTGCTCAGGTCAGGTTTTGTTTTTGGTTTTGTTTGTTGTTTAAGCCGCTCTCAGCAATATTCCAGTCTGGACCAGAAAATCCAGTGATTAATATCATGATCATCTATCCACGTAATTGGGATCGATGACATGCATCAACCAAGTCAGCGAGTCTGACCACCCGTTAGTCGCCTCACACGACAAGCATAGTCACCTTTTACGGCAAGAATGGGTTGCTGAAGACCTATTCTACCCCGGATCTTCACGGGTCGCACAGGTCAGGAAACAATGACCACATCCAGTCTTAAAACAATCATTTCATCTTGTGGGATACCGGTAAATTTTTCCATGTTGGAATATTTGTCTAAATGCCAATTTGGGATCAAGTCTGCATACACTTCTTAAGAAAATGAGGGGTGCTTTTTGTGACTACATAATTGTGTTTAGTACCAGTAATCATATAATTTTGTTTAAAAAATATAGAGCTACTTTTTGTGACTTTTTTGCACCTTGTGTTCAGTAAATATAATTTTGTTTAAAAATACATCAACCAGTGAGTTTGTCATAGTTTTGTTACATGTTTATGTTCAAAATACCTGAATACTGATAAAATTCCCCATTGTATAAATGTTTCACAAGCTTCTTCAAAAAGGTCCCCCCATATTCCCATACATGGACTCACGGGGGAATAACACTTTTTTCGTTAAGGAAGGTCCATGGTCATTTGTATTAATATAAATTGTATTTGTTTAACGTTAGGGATTATTTGTCCGGATGACAGTTGTGGGATAAAACTCACATGGTAATCATAGGATTGTGTTCACAATGCTATTATAAATCTATTATAACATTTGGTTCAACCTTTTAATCTTACCTTTCCCAAAAGGTGGCCCAGATGTCTTTGGTGCAGCAAATCACTATTTATAGTTGCATCCCTTAGTCGTGTCAGGATCTGCTGATTCAGTTTTGAATCTAAGATTTGTCACAATTACAGTACTTTGTTTGTCAGCACATGGCCCATGGGGAACCAAAGTGGTAAACGTCTAAGACAAGCTAAACTTTGTACTTTCCTCTCACATTTGAAGCCGACATAATGTTCTAAGAATGCTGAACTCAACTCATTTCTCGAAACGAGCATGTATTTAGAACTAGTTATTGTTGACTACAGATCTGTGTGCACTGGCTAAAGCAGTGTTTCTGGAACTTCCTTGACTGGGGCGACATCTGCCACTACGTGTGCACCTGCATCGTCCTTGGTGCCGACTATCAAGTGTACACATGCGTCGCCATCCTGCGCCATCTCCAGCGCGACATCCTGCAGCACATGCAGACGCAAGAACTCATCTTCTTCCTCAAGGTCAGTTCCACTAAAGGTCAAGGTTGAAATAATATAGTATAATGACAAGCATGATTTTTGTTGTTGTTCATGCTTGTCATTATACTATTATTAATAGGTAATGCATCTTCCCAAGGCAAGAGAGTTAACTGACTATAAAAGTCCAGTTTCCACCCTTGCCGAACTAGGCAAGTATATAAGACAAGTATCTGAGGTCACTTTGTTCCAAAATAAAACTTTAAATTTAATCTTTCAAGAAATAGGGGTGAAATAGCCCAGGGAGAAGTTTTCTGGGGTGAAATAGACCGAGGAGAAGTTCTCTTTGGGTGAAATAGACCGGTGAGAAAATTTCTGGGGTGAAATAGATCAGGGAGAAGTTTTCTGGGGTGAAAAAGACCGGGGAGAAGTATTCTGGGGTGAAATAGACCGAGGAGAAGTTCTCTTTGGGTGAAATAGACCGGTGAGAAAATTTCTGGGGTGAAATAGATCAGGGAGAAGTTTTCTGGGGTGAAATAGCCCGGGGAGAAGTATTCTAGGGTGAAATAGACCGAGGAGAAGTTCTCTTTGGGTGAAATAGACCGGTGAGAAAATTTCTGGGGTGAAATAGATCAGGGAGAAGTTTTCTGGGTTGAAAAAGACCGGGGAGAAGTATTCTGGGGTGAAATAGATCAGGGAGAAGTATTCTGTGGTGAAATAGACCAGTGAGAAGTATTCTGTGGTGAAATAGACCGGTGAGAAGTATTCGGGGGAATAGTTGCACCAGAATCATTTATTGCATTCGACTTGTTATGTCAGGAGTCGACTTGTTATGTCAGGAGTCGACTTGTTATGTCAGGAGTCGACTTGTTATGTCAGGAGTTGACTGTGTGTAGTTCACTGTGTCTGTTTTCCCCTGTGACTTCTATGTGATGGTCTGATGTTATCCAGGAGGAACCTATTACTGGGTTTCGGATGGCGGAGAACATCCGCTACATGCAGGAACTGGAGAAGAGGTTCCGCAAGATCGTCCAGCCGGACATGATGAACATCACCAAGCCATGAGGACCTGCTGAGGACAGTTGTTGGGACCTGAAGAGGACAGCGGGGACATTCATCAGTGGGACATGGTTCCTTTGCTAGGCCTGATGGTAGAGTGTCAGTGATGTGAGATCGTGCTGTTGACAGCAATGGACATTTGGTAGTCTTGAGTCTCGTCTCCTGCTGACGCTAACCAGGGATATTAATATTAACGATTTATACGTCTGTACTGTGCCAGTTTACATTGTAGCATCAGAGATGCACTTGTCCACTGTTTTCAGTCCAGGTCTACGCTGAAATATTTGTCGCCTGTAAGATGTTTGCAAGGCAGTAAAAAGTGATAGCTGCATTGAACTAAATAATCTTAGCGCTAAGATGATCATAACTCCATTCTTTAACATAGGTTTCTGTTGTTAGCTTGACTCCTCTGTCCATATACTGAGCACCTACCTTGACTGGTCCAATGTCTGTCAATATGCTGAGCACCTGGCTCGACTCCTCTGTCTGTCGATATACTGAGCACCTATCACGGCTTGTCCAATTTTGGTCAACATGCTGAGCACCTAGCTTGACTCCTCTGTCTGTCGATATACTGATCACCTATCGTGACTGGTCCAATGTCTGTCAATATGCTGAGCACCTAGCTTGACTCCTCTGTCGATATACTGAGCACCTATCACGGCTGGTCAGGCAGTCTTGTGTATGATAAGAATGTTTTCTCATTGTCATCTGCAATAGGGTTGTGACAGGTTTATTGCACAGGAGATACCATCATGATGTCCTGATGGACCAGAATGGACACTGTACAAATGTATGGTCTTTATTGTGTTAGGACGAGAAGAAATCTTTCATTTTTAGTCACATATACAATCATGAGATAGATCTTTGCATTTAGAATATTTTGTTGAGAAAATTGTTGTTGTGAGGCAGGTAAACTTAGACAGGTCGATTGTTTTAATTAATACTTTGATTGGATTATTTCAAGTAGATTGTTTTACGTAAATTATCAAGATCAAATTCTTGAAAAGGATATGAATATGATTAAATTCTTAGGAGGCATAGCAACTCTCTTCTCTAATTTTGAAAACCTCATCTGAAAGACAGATATTGTTCAATGTTATGAATATTCATGTTTTAATTCTAAAGTTGAGCTAAATGGTACATATAACGATGTCAGCCTTGGTCAGATCTGCACAGTCCACAGATACAAAGCCATCTGCAATCAAAGCTGCCTGGCTGTTGTTTTTCATAGATTCATAAATCATGTTAATCAGTGTTTTAAGAATGTTTAAGTCAATAATCATGATGAAAATCAAAATGAAAATATTCAGTTTCTGCGTCAGTGGATTCAGCAGTATGTATAGATAGATTAGCATGTATACAATGTATGTTTTGTTTAGAGACCGACCATTTAATACAGGGTGGTATGGTGTCAGAAAATTCAATCTATAACCCAAGTACATGTAATTCAAAAGAAGAGCCTTACACAGGTAGCAGGTGTGAGAGTGAGTGAGTGAGTGAGTGAGTGAATGAGTGAGTGGGAGTGAGTGAGTGGTTGGATGTCTTGGTGAGTGAGTCTGTACAACAAGTTGTCCCATCAGTGTCATAATGTTATTGATCTCTAGAATGTTTATTTTGGAGACATTTAACTTGGCATAATGCTTGATCTGTGATTTGATGTTATAACATCATCCGTCCAACATTCCATCATAGGGTATGTTTTCATATAATAAACATATTCTTTCATATTGAAGCCTGTGTTTTTCTTGCATAGCATCAGGGGCACGGGTGGCCCAGTCGTCTAAGGCACCGCTATTCACTGTGCAGTTGCGTCTATTGGGCACGCCAAAAACCTATGATTGTGGATTTGAATCCTGGTTCGCCCCGATTATGTTTCTAGGTTTGTCAGCACCATACTCCTGCTCGTGGGTTTCACCGAAGTGGTAAACGTCTGAGACCTGGGCTTTCCTCCCACATTAAGCTGACATGCCGCGATATAACTGGAATACTGTTAGTGCGGCATTAAACCCAACTCGCTCACTCTTGCATAGCCTCAAATTAACATACATTCGTTTTGTAAAACAAGGAATCCAGATTGTATGACTATAATTAATCTGCCATGGCCATGACAGATCAACAATAGTCATTAAAAAAATGGGTTTTCTTTAACTTCTTTTGAGCAGTATATATACACCAACCATCACTTAGAATGGCTTTCTAAACAAGTGTTCCTATATTTCAGCATTACAGTGTGTGCTGAAATCTGATTGGTTGAAATACCAAAATCTCTCAGACTTTTCACTATATACACATACTTTTCTTGGTAAGTATTTTTTAAGCATTTGATGCTGGAAGTCTGAAGAAAAAAATGTTTATCTCCGAATTTATGATCTCGCTCAGTAACAAGTGACTGTTAGTTGGAGTTGTTAGAAAGGACCGACACATTGTCAAAGATTCGCAGAGTTTATTTTTCAACACCAACAAATCACTTCACTTTTGACTTTTGCTCATTTAATACTGAAACTATTGTCATCATTCTTGAAGATCTTGTGACTGTATGGCAAAGGGAGTGACAGCCACAATATATAACATTGACTAAAATCTATTTAAATATAAATAAAAAGTACAATAACTGCTGTACAAGAGTCAACAATCAAATGAAAATCTTACAAGTGTACAATATTCATTTCAAAATTCTTAACCAAATTTCTGAAAATACTGTAAGGTCCAACATGAATATAAACTCTTCTTTGAGCATGCTCTGAACAAGTGCATGTAGGTAGTTAGTTAGGTCGTCTTTGAGGTTTTTGATAAAGCATTTTCATCAAAAGACCCCAAATATTCCTCCTCAGTTTCAAATACTGCGGTTCATGTGAAGAACAATTACAATTTTCAAATTCCACTCCCAGATAAAATGGGAACTGTTTCCTTGTGAAAGTTCATGACTACCCCCCCCCCAACACATTGTCAATTCTTCACAGGCTTGAACACATGCTTCTTGTGTGTTGGTCTGAGAATGTGTAGCTCTCCTGGATAAGAAACAATACTGTAATAAACAGCTGCTACTGGTGACCCAAATAACATGTAAAGGACTACGTCATTCAAACATCCATCTACATCACATCATGACATCAATACCATTAACAAAACATTCTAACTCTGAAACAGAAACAAGAAGAAAGAAAAATAAAATCGAAACAATCTGTGTATTATATCTCCATACTATTATGGTTCCCCTAGACTAATTCACTAGCTCATTTTGGATGTGCTGTCATCATCTTGCTTATCACTAAGTTCAGTTGTCACAGCTTTTTCTCGCCCATGAGCTTGAAAGCAACAACCAATCAAAACTCTTCTAAACCAGAGTTCGGAATAGAGGAATGAACAGTGAGATTTGATTGGATGGCTGGTATTAGTGCTCTTTCATTGAAACTTGAAGTAACTAACTGTCGTATCCAATGAGTCCAGGGTATTTATCATGATGGAATGGAGATATAATACCCTGGATAATCGAGGATGATCCCAGCTGAAGCTGAAGGATGCACCAAGCAGCATCTGACATGAAATATGCTGGTGCTTCATCAGACCACACTTTGTATATTTTTACGATTTACAGATTAGAGCAATGAGAGCCAAAACAACAATCCAAAAAGAACAGATAAAGAAATATATTATATTTTAACCAATCAAAAGGAATGTGTGCATTGTCAGAAAGAAATGTGAACATTAATTAGCGACTTGTAGTGTAACCACTGAGTTAATGTGAGTTTTTCTCATATCTATCAGAACAATGTATCGCGTGACTAACCACGGGTCCTACTGAGGACCCTCCCGACCTGAGTACCCGAGTTACCCGTCCCAGCCTTACTGGTAGTGTTAATTTTATCAAACTAATTTGAAAGACCCAGACAACTTTGTGCTGAATAAAATATAGAGATCTTGAGGTAGACACACATAATTTTATTACAACCTACCTAAACTACTTAACTACGTAAACACCCGTAAACCATAAAATATAAATGTCACCAACAGACGGACTAGTTCCCCTCACACCATCATGTTTAAAATTAGGCCATAAACATTTAAAACAGGGACAACTATTTCAAGCAGTTCAGTTGGTTGGTTGGTTTGTTGTTTAACGCCGCACTAAGCAATATTCCAGCTATAATACGGCGGTCTGCAAAAAAATCGAGGCTGGACCAGACAATCCAGTGATTGATATCATGAGCATCGGTCCACGCACTTGGGATCGATGACATGCATCAACCAAGTCAGCGAGTCTGACCCCCGATCCCGTTAGTTGCCTCTTACGGCAAGCATAGTTGCCTTTTACGGCAAGAATGGGTTGCTGAAGACCTATTCTTCCCCGGATCTTCACAGGTCCACTGTTCAGAAAAAGATAAATCATTACTAGGTCGCAAAATGACCAAAAAATTATTAAAATTATTTACTCAAGAGTAATTTTCATAAAAATGAATTTTAAAAATGGTTCAAATTTTTCAAAGTCATCGAAAGTAATGCATAAATGTACTGAGAGTAAATTTTCTCAAGTAATATGTTAAACTCAACAAATGAGAACAACATGTGTCAGTCCACCAAAGAGTTTGTTAATTTGGGAATGTCTAGAAATATGTACATCCTCCTCAAAGACCATGGTTCAACAAGGTACATGGCTTCTCTCTGGCCCACCAGAGGCCCTCTGGTCAATTTAAAGTTACAGAATCTTTTTGAAATTGTGATTGTGAAATTATTGGACAGTGTTCCCAACTGTCAGCTAGACTTTTTCGTTCTCTTAGATATAACTTGCCCAAGTGATGAAGTACATGTTTGCCCAAAAAAGTGAAACAAGATAATTTGTTTTCTTCAGGAGACAATTAAACAGATCTTAGACCAGAAATTATTTTTTCACCATCTGTTCTGTCTTTACCAATATTTGATAAAATACCAAGTCAATGACTTGCTCAAGTTTAAATATATGCAAAATAGTTCCCCAAAAGTTCTAGTATCAGCCTAACTGACACATTTTTTCATCTAAGAGCTGCATTCAAAACAAATACATAGTAATGATGAGAGTGAGTGAGTGAGTTTGGTTTTACGCCGCTTTTAGCAATATTCCAGCAATATCACGGCGGGGGGGCACCAGTAATGGGCTTCACACATTGTACCCATGTCGAGAATCGACCCGGGTCTTCGGCGTAACGAGTGAACGCTTTAACCACTAGACTACCCAACAATCCCCAGTAATGATTGGAAAGAAGAAATGTTCACAAACTTATATGTATACCTATGATAGTTTACATATAACAATTTAAAAATTATTTCTTCATTTCTTAAATTTGGCTGTTTTAGTGGGCTAAAACATCTCCTTAACGGAATGGGGTAAGGAACAGCACTGAGATTGCTTGAAACGATAACTGTGAAAACACTGTCACATCCCTCTATCTTTACACAGGGGCACAGGTGGCCCAGTCATCTAAGGCGCCGCGATTCCCTATGCAGAGTTGCGTCCCTTGGGCGCACCAGAAACTTATGATTGTGGGTTCGAATCCCGGTTCGCCCCCGATTATGTTTCTAGTTTTGTCAGAACCATACCCTGGCCCGTGGGTTTCACCGACGATGTTTAAGTCTGAGACCTGCATCACTTCGGGCTTTCCTCACACTTTAAGCTGATATGCTGTGATATAACTGGAATACTGTTAAAAGCGGCATTAAACCCAACTCACTCACTTATTATATGTTTGTTTGTTGTTTAATGCCGCAATATTTAAGTGGTCTGTAAATAAACGAGACTGGATCAGACAATCCAGTGATTCACATCATGAGCATCGATCAACACAATTGGGATACAATGAAATGCATCAACCAAGTCAGTGAGCCTGACCTCTCAACCCATGTTAATTGCCTCTTATGACATGCAGGGTTGCTGAAGACAGATTCCAGCAAGGATTTTCACAGGGTCCTTACAGATACATGTACACAGAGTTTGAAAACAGAAACATGCACCAAAGATATTTAACAACAATAACAAAATAAAATTATGAATAACCTGCGTAGCGAGAAAACATTTAATGACAATCAGCAATAATCCAGCATAATGGTGTCTGCGTAGGATGAATTATCTTCACAAGTAAGCACTATATTGAGGACTCCCATCTGTTTTTCTGCTTACCAAGGAGAAATATGTATGACCTTGAATGTAGTAGGAAGCAAAACCTATTAACCTTCTAGTGCCTTGTTGAATACTCCCAAGGGAGCTGAGAATAAATAATCGAGCGCACACTGACCGCAGTAATAATGTAAAGGGCCTGTCAGTAGATTATGGATGATACGTATACCCTGTGAAATGGTTAAAGATGTAGTTAATGTTTTGTCACTTGATGTATCAGGGGCACAGGCGTCCCAGTCATCTAAGTCACCATAATTTTCTGTGCAGATTTGCATCTCTTAGGCATTCCAAAAACTATGATCATGGGTTTGAATCCCAGTTCGCCCCATTCCAGGGGTAATTCTAGGGCGGGGCCTTGTGATATTGGCCCCTAAATTTGAAAAAGACCCACATTTTCAAATAAAATGGGGCATTTTAACATTGTGCTTTATGGGCAAGTGTGGGTGTACTTAGGGAATATATGAAATTTTCACATGACGGGGCCCATATCAGAAAAATCCTAGAGTGAACTCTGCTGATGTTTCCAGGTTTATCTGCACCACACCCTTGGTGGTGGGTGTCACCAAAGTGGTAAACATCTGCATCAAAAGCCTGCATCACTTTGGGCTTCCCTCCCATTTCAACAGGAAGTGATATAACTACTCAATCTCATTAAAATCAGATCTTAGTTCTCGCTACCGCTAAACAAAGATCTGAGGACATCCCATTACGGGTCACGTCAGACCGACCTTGCACAAGTGTGACAGACCAATGGAATGACCAATCAGAAGGCAGCTTTCTCATGCTTTACGGCACTATTTTCAAATTGGCGACAACACTTCGAAGCATATTGTGACAAATTCTCAATTAAAAATTTGAAACCTGAACAAAAGAACATTCTGGAATCGCTAATAGATGGTCTAGATTGTATGGATTCAATCGTTAAACCCGTAACTATCGTTCGGAATACCCCGTGTTAAAGTTTTCGAGGATGCATGATTAGAAATCACATTCCGACTGTCACTTTCATGATCTGGTAAGCAACGCTCTGATTGGTCGGATGAAAGATCGTTCTGACGTGACCTCAACTGGCATGTCCTCAGATCTTTGTTTAGCGGTAGCGAGAACTAAGCTCTGATTTTAATGAGATTGTATAACTACTTCTCAAAGAGGCGTTGTTGAATTAAACAATTTAACATTCTGGTCAGCTAGCATCAGTGAAAGGCTACAATCAGTAACTGTAACTTGAAATAGCAGGGTTATGACTAGGACCCTATGACTTTTATGCCTAATTTTCAACACAGTACAGCATAAATTATCATTCATCGTTAAAGAATCTAGTTATCTGACTGGCTGGTTGCCCTCTTGCAAAAACCCATATAAGTCATGTGGCTGGCCTGTGTAGAAATCACGACGTCCTATTGTCTTTTTTATTTAGTTTTTTTTTTTATGATGTCCTATCGTTGGATGTGACGTCACATGCTTCTGTGTCCCAAGATGGTTCCTATCTTCACACAAAAATACTTCTTTGTACCGATAAATTTGTTACATGTGTCACTAGATTTTACTCACTGAACTTTTCATGCACACGTCTTGACATTTGGTCTCAGTATGCAGAAGTCCATTCAGAGTGTAAAATCCTGTAGCTCACCACTAGTGACACATGTCACTCATACTTGTAACAACAAAACCTACTTTTTGCAGAACAGAGCTACTGGTGAAAGGTTTAGAGAAATGAATGGGTTCACTTTGTCTGCCTCTTGCGTTCATGTTGTGTTCAAGTTGCGTTCATTTTGTGTTCATGGCTTCTTGGATACACTGGCTGTCTGGTAGATTTGCTTCAGGTTTTGACGTCGTTCATTATGACAACCTGCAACATACAAGCATGCTGGTTAAAGTACATACCAGTAATAATAGTAATAACAACAACAATAATAACAACAACAACAACAGTAATAATAACAATAATTATAAAAAAATAAAAATAAATAATAATAAAAATAATAATAATCCATTATTATGGTGCTGTATTCCATGCATAAGCATGCTTTAAGCGCTCAGACATTATTACCCCACGCCAAGGAATCAGTGTGCACTCGACAATCATTCCCAGCTCCCAGGGAGTATACAACCCAAGCTGCCTGTTAGGTGCTAGAAGGTTTGCCATCTCATCCTACCAGGTACCCACTCACTGCTGGGGGGCGGTTGGGTAGCCTAGTGGTTAAAGCGTTCGCTCGTCACGCCGAAGACCCGGGTTCGATTCCCGACATGGGTACAATGTGTGAAGCCCATTTCTGGTGTCCCCCGCCGTGATATTGCTGGAATATTGTTGAAAGCGGCGTAAAATCAAACTCACTCACTCACTCACTCACTGCTGGGTGAACCAAGGCACATTTCGAACAAAGTCAACTGCCTGTGGAGACACCACATGTGTTACATGTGCTTCAGTGTGGGGCAGGACTGAAGCCTAGAAACTCTCAGGGGTCAAGCTGCCGAAATATGGTCACCCAGCCAAGGACTCTCAGCCACTGACACTGCTTAACTTCAATTGATTTGTGACCTGTGACCTGTGACCTGTGCACAGGACCACGTGCCACCTCATGCTGATAGTGGGAGAAAGGGTGACAGGGATAGACACACCCATTGAGCCGTATGTCCTCACATACGTTCTCGACCCGTGAAGATTCAGGGGTAGAATAGGTCTTCAGCAACCCATGCTTGCCGTAAAAGGTGACTATGCTTGTCGTAAGAGGCGACTAACGGCATCGGGTGGTCAGGCTCGCTGACTTGGTTGAAGCATGTCATCGATCCCAATTGTGTGGATCGATGCTCATGATGTCAATCAATGGAATGTCTGGTCCAGACTTGATTATTTACAGACCGCTGTCATATAGCTGGATATTGCTGAGTGCGGCGTTGAACTACAAACCAAAACCAAAAACATACATTCTGATACTGGCAAATGACAAATTCTACATGGCTGCCATGTCTGTTTTCTTTTAAAACTTGAAAAATGAGCAATTTTAAGAGACGCCATTATTAGAAGCTGCTGAAATTTGCTTGCAGAGTTGCATCCCTTAGGCATTCCATGATCCCATGATTGTGTGTAAGAATCTCGAATCTAATGATCTTTTGGTTTGTCAACATTCCTGTTCTTGTGGGTCGTAAACATCTAAAACCTGCATCACTTTTTCTCTTACTTTGAGTTTACAAGGCACGATATAACTGGAATAGCATCCACAGTGACGTTAAACCCAATTCATTCACTCACTCATCCATGCAAAGTTTTAGCAGGAATGCCAAGCCATAAGCTTACATGAACCTTTGGTAAGGTGAGCTACAACTTGTGTACTGGGGATACCCAGAATCCCCACAATGTACCTACCTAGGAAGGAGTTGATGGTAGTGCCCATGCTGTTGATGATGCTGTCAGAGTTGACGGAGTCATCGATGTATACGGGGCCGTCGTCCCAGATGAAGTCGAATCCTCCAATACGCTTCTCCTTCCCCGTCAGTCTGTACGGCAGACAAACAACTCAGCATTACTACAGCCTTTGAAAGTCACGCTAGTCCACTAACCTGAGACTATTAAATTGTGCTGAGGACGAATAAAAATCCATTGATCGTAGTCCTCATTGACTAGAAGCAATTGAAGGCTATAATTCTGAACCAGTTTCTCAATGCTTCAGTTTTGCTACAAATTGGAACCGAAAAGAAACCTGACAGAAAATGTAAACAAAGGAAACATTCTTGTCTTGTTCAAGCAGGACTGGCTACAAACTGTGCAAACAAGTGAAATAAAGTCTACACTAGTCCTCTAGACTAGTCTAAAGCTACCCCCAACCTACCGCGAATTTCTAAGTTGGACTATAGCTTCAAGCAACATTACCATCCATGTAACTGGGCTCAAAATCAACATAAGCTGTAGGTATACAATTCTAATTCTAAAGACATAGTTTTTTTCCAGGGAGCAACTTTAAAGATCATTTTTGCTGAGTAAAAATTAATATTAATTTCTAACCCTTATATACCAGACATGTAATACATCAGATAGGTGTCACATATTAGACCCGTGAAGATCCGTGATAGAATAGGTCTTCAGCAACTCGCGCTTGATGTAAAAGGAGACTACGCTTGTCGTAAGAGGCGACTAACGGGATTGAGTGGTCAGGCTCGCTGACTTGGTTGATACATGTCATCGTATCTCAATTGCGTGTATGGATGGTCATGATGTCAATCACTGGATTGTCTGGTCCAGACTCAGTTATTTACAGACCGCCGTCATATAGCTAGAATACTGCTGAGTGCGGCGTAAAACAACAAACAAACAAAACAAATCACATCTTGCATCATTTTGCAAGCATTCAGCATTCAGCAAATCCCCCAAATTAAGTCAGATAAAAAACGGCATGTATTTGGGTCATATTCTCCAAATGGTGTTTAAACACTCTTAAAAGACAAACAAACAAAAATATGAATTCATCATACATTGGTGATGATTTTATCTAAAAGTAGCTCAAACTCTGGTTCAACTAAAACAAATAGTTCGGGTGGCGCCAAAAGCAGGGATCTGTTACCGTTCTATGGCTGAGTTTTGTGAAAGAGATTGAACATCCGCATTCTTATGACGCCGACCTTCATGGAATATAATTATCCTTAACTGCTAATACATCTTTCTCATTATGCTATTGTTTAATATTATCTTTTTTTTCATCCTCACCGATTTTCCATATCAAGAACATTGATGACATCATTGAGCATTCCGAACTTGAGGTCATAGTCTTCCTTACTGCTGGCTGTGAGTGACGGTGACGCATTGATCTCCAGCAGCCAGCTGAAACAGTCGGAGCAACACGCCATTACAACATACACTCACTGGACTTACATAAGTTCACAATGCACACTTCTCCATACGCCTTCAGACCCGTGAAGATCCGGGGTAGAATTGGTCTTCAGCAACCCACCCTGCCATAAAAGCCGACTATGCTTGTCGGATTGGGTGGTCAGGATCGCTGACTTGGTTGATACATGTCATCGATCCCAATTGCGTGGACCAATGCTCATGATGTCAATCACTGGATTTTCTGGTCCAGACTCGATTATTTACAGACCGCCGTCATATAGCTGGAATATTGCTGAGTGCGGCGTTAAACAACAAACCAACCAACCATACACCTTCATGTCAAGAAAGAGAACCAAAACTAAATTTCAAAGCAGGATTTTATTTGCATTGCCGATTTACCATTTCACTTCAAGAATTGAAATAAATATTTTTTACGGTTATGGAGGTATTAACGTATAAACCAGTGTGCCCACTGTGTAAATCTGAGTGGTCACACTGAATTTTACGTTTATAAATTAAAAAATGCAAAACAATATTAAAGTCAATCCTTATTAAAGATTAGTCAACAATAATAACTTTACAGACAAAACGCAGTAGACAACGATACGAAATAAGTAACATCGTTCAGTGCAGTAATGCAAAACAAGCCCCGCCCGCTCTTTCATCATCCAATCAGGCAACAGTAGTCCACTAGAGGTGTGGCCTTTGTTTTAGGTTGAGCAAAAAAAATCAAGAGGAAACAGTGTGGATGCAATGGGATTCTCCAACATGCCATTGATGTGAATGGGGGCACAGATCAGCCAGTCATCTAAGGCACCGTACTTTGCTAAGCTGCAACCCTAGGCTTGTCAGCACCATATTCACGCTTGTGGGTTTCACCAAAGTGATAAACGTCTCAGACCTGCATTGCTCTGGGCTTTCCTCCCACAATAAGCAGAGACACCATGATATAACTGGAATACTGTTCTAAGTGAAGTTAAACCCAACTCACTTACTCACTCAAGACGTGAATGTAATCCCTCTTGGTGGGTGTGGCTTATTTCTTTATGCTCATTGGGAAATGATTGCAAAAGAATTGTCAACCAATCAGAATACAGGAATTAAAATGAACATAAAAAAAAGAAGATAATTATACAAAATTAAAATTGGCACTAATTTGTAATTTTGCTGTGTTAAACTATCTGTTTGTAAATTTAACGTCACACATTACCAAAGTAGATATTTCTATATTCCTCATATCGGCTGATTCTCGTATACCAAGGAGTGATGGGATGAATTTCAGTGTTAGATTTACAAGATCAGGTAAAGGAGTAAAGCCACTCACGGTTTCAGCTTGGCATCCAGTAGGATGTCATAGCCATACAGCTCGAAGCAGTGCTTGTCATTGATCATGATCTTCTGTGTGCTCTGCAGACTCAGAATAAACACCTCTTGCATCTGGTTCAGCATCTTCTCCACCTGGGAACAAGGAAGGAATAGAAGAATGTTCAGGAATCTTAACAGAATTGTTTGACAAAAGGGACTGGTAATTTATTACAGAGGTTGTTTTTTTTATGCACTAATGTACTGAAAATAATAAACCCCCTCATATGCTTGTTACATTTTCGGATGACCCTCCCCATGTCCTTGCACATTTTTTTCATGACCCACCCTGAAAAGACAACACACAATAGCACTTTATATTTTATTTTAAAATGTCCATTTTTATGCGTGAGGTGAAATGGGGTTTAACGTCGCGTCCAAGATTATTGCACTTATATAGCGATGTGCATGTACTAGTCTGGACTGATGCCGATTTATAGTGCTAGCTCACTGAGATACCATGCCGCAGTTTAACGTACATACCCCACTCAGACACAGTATACTGACTCCAAGCCAACCAGTCCTTGTTTTAGCCCCTTAATGCCGAGCGCCAGACAGGGTAACAACAAGTACCATCTTTTAACGTCTTTTGGTATGACAGGGCTGGGATCGAACCCCGGACCTTCCACTCTCCGGGCGGACGCCCTACCATTTGACCACGGAGGCGGTCTCAATTTTTTATGACCCTACCCAAATATGACTGTAGTTTTTTTATGACCCTCCCCTAGAGACAGTCATAATTTTTGGTGATCCTCCCCTGATTCCCTCTGGCCCACCCATCCCCATAACTAATGACCAGTCCCTGAGCCACATTATATATCATGTTTCATGACAGATTATGTTTTGTTAAAATCTAATTAAAATATGTGTTTTTCAAAAAGTCATCTGAATAAGTTGCTAAGCAAGTGTCACCAGTCTTGCAGACTAACATATTGTATGAATAAAAGAGTTTCAAGGTGGTGGATGAGAGTAATCTCCCTTTCGTACATTGATGGACAAGTTTTATGCAGCCAGAAAGATGTCAAACGGAAACGTTTTGTTTCATTATTGAGAGTTTTGTGATTTGTAAATATATTATTTATCAATTGGGAGGTGTTGTTGTTAAGATGCAGTGGACTTGTTATGAGAGAAGGGGTGAGGTGGTGACGTTCAATTCATGAGAGTAAAATCCCTAAACGTATGTCAGTTATTCTGCTACATTTCAAACACTGTAAAACATCCTTGACCCCAAAAATATTTAAATAGAGAAATTAAGAAAATAACATCAAATCTGGACAAGACAAACCAATAATTTATATCATGAGCATTGATCCATTGATTAGAGATTTTGTTGCGTGAGGACCATCTAGCCTTTTTATCAAAGTCTTGTTTTCATGCCACATTAAGCCCACTTTCTTGTGCTAAATACGATTGGACTATTGCACATATCAATAGTCCAGTCAGAGAACGTTTCACAAAATAAACATCCACGACTGAAAAGTGATATAATGTTGGAATATGTCTTTTAAACCCCCTATAAACTGCCTATGTTTTTCTGTCAGGGATGAAATCCTGAATGTTTTCTTTGTCTGATCGACTTGGTCATCATCTATGGTAGTCGCTATCTTTTGTGAAGGTGTACGAGATAACAGTGATCTGATTGGATATCACGTTTTCATTACAAGGGACACAACTTGTGGTCTATGAGTGGTGGCGCCAGGCTCGAGCCAAAAAAGTGACCTTGATGTGGCAAGGTCATCTTCCCGAGGCAAGAGAGTTCACTGACTATAAACTTCCAGTTTCCACCCTTGCCGAACTAGGCTGTTATTATGGATTTGGATTTTGGCTGGACAAACGAGTCTATGCATAGTCCAATCAAAATCGCGCAATGAAATCGAAATCTGGTTCGTAAACTGGCCTGCAGATTTCAGTCGACTGCAGGATTTGCAAAGCATGTGCACCGCCAACTGGTTGTCAACAGATATTTTCCAAATTTTTTCATGTTTTTAATCAAGGTGCTCACGTAATCTGATGCACTTGGCAAAATAATATCCATTTTATCACAATATAGCACTTGATTATCGACCATATCGTCTTGACTGGGCACGGCCATTTGGTTTGAAGCAAATGCAAGTGACATGAGGGGTGGAATCTGATTGGTCCATAGAAGAGGCATAGAAGGGACATAACTCATAATAACCACTGGTGGCGCTACAATTGAGCCCTGGAATTCCAGCCTAGTTCGACAAGGGTGGAAACTAGACTTTTTAAAGCTTTTTAACTCTCTTGCCTTGAGCAGATGTGGCAAAGGTGGAAACTGGACTTTTAAAGCTAGTCAACTCTCTTGCCTCGAGAAGATGTGGCAATGGTGGAAACTGGACTTTTAAAACAAGTTAACTCTCTTGACTTGGGAAGATGTGGCAAGGATGGAAACTGGACTTTTAAAGCTAGTTAACTCTCTTGACTTGGGAAGATGCGGCAAGGATGGAAACTGGACTTTTAAAGCTAGTTAACTCTCTTGCTCTGGAAAGATGTGGCAAGGGTGGAAACTAGGCCTTGATATTGGCTAGTGGACAAGCTTGCCTCGGGAGTGAGTGAGTGAGTGAGTATGGTTTTACGCCACTTTTAGCAATATTCCAGCAATATCATGGCGGGGGACACCAGAAATGGGCTTCACACATTGTACCCATGTTGAGAATCGAACCCGGGTCTTCGGCGTGACGAGCCAACACTTTAACCACTAGGCTACCCGACTGCCCCCTTGCCTCGGGAAGTTGGAGGAGGACATAAACTCACATCTTCCCGCTTGTGTCTTGCCGTCAGGTACTGTCGGAGTTGTTGTGTCGACCACTTGCATCCCTTCTCGGGGTCGTAGTCCGGGGCTGTCTTCTGGATGGCTACATTTGTCAGATGAACATCTTTATAACTCGTCAAGGAAAAACTGGAAGAAACTATCCAGGTATTTTGTTTTGGATAAGGTTTGATAATTATTTTTTAAAGATTCATCCTTTTCTAATTAGCCAGTATCTATTTATCAGCATCCTCTCCTTGCCATCTTAGTGCTGATAATATTTAATTAGAATACAGACTCATAACATGTATAAGTTCTGTGGCATAATAACCTCACATGCTCCTCTCCATTTAGCTAATGTGTCCTAAGCTGGGATAATCAGTGGTAGAAAGTAACAGTTTTAGTCCACTGGTCCTTATAATGATAACCTAAAGCAAAACCCATAGAAATGACAAATTTCTACTCGCCCTTATGATACCTTAACTATTGGGCAATTTGGCAAGGACTAAAGGACTAGTGCCAATTTCTAACACTGATAACCCTGTTCCACAGGGTCATAGCTATTGTAAATCTACAGAGAAGCTAATATATGTTGTAGAACAGTTCCTTGATACTATAACTTTGACATACGTTAGCTGATCAATACAACTGTTCTAAATAGAGTTGGATCATACAAATTGAAGTTTTGGTTGTTATAGGTTTGGCATTTTTGCTGATATGGAAGACTCTTGTATCTGGGAGGGGAGTTTTAGGCCTGACCATTGAGACAGATGTCATAGGAAGACTCAAGGATCTGAAAAGGAAGACTCTTGGATCTGGTATAGAAACTCTTGGGTACGAGAGGGTAGCCTCTCTGGTCTGGTGGAAAAGTCTTTTGGAACTGATTGGGAAGACTCTGGACTGATTAGGAAGACTCTGTTCTTGTGGGGATGCCTCTCTGGACTGATTGGGAAGACTCTCTGGTTTGATAGTGAAGACTCTCTGGTCTAGTGGGGAAATCTCTCTGGAGTGATTGGGAAGACTCTCTGGTCTAGTGGGGAAATCTCTCTGGTCTGATAGGAAAGACTCTCTGGTGACTGGGAAGACTCTCTGGTCCGGTTGGGAAGACTCTAGTCTGAGAGGGAAGACTCGCTGGTTTGATAGGGAAGACTCTCTGGTCTGATTGGAAAGACTCTCTGGTCTGGTGAGGAAGACTCTCTGGACTGATAAGGAAGACTCTGGACTGATAGGGAAGACTCTCTGGACTGATAGGGAAGACTCTCTGGACTGGTTGGAAAGACTCTCTGGTCTGGTGGGGTAGACTCTCTGGACTGGTTGGGAAGACTCTCTGGTCTGGTGGGGAAGACTCTCTGGACTGATAGGGAAGACTCTCTGGTCTGGTTGGGAAGACTCTCTGGTCTGGTGGGCAAGACTCTCTGGTCTGGTGGGCAAGACTCTCTGGACTGGTTGGGAAGACACCCTGGACATAGGAAAGATTCTCTGGACTGATAGGGAAGACTCTCTGGTTTGGTGGGGAAGACTCTCTGGTCTGGTGGGGATGACTCTCTGGTCTGGTTGGGAGGACTCTCTGGTTTGGTGGGCAAGACTCTCTGGACTGGTTGGGAAGACTCCCTGGACATAGGAAAGACTCTCTGGACTGATAGGGAAGACTCTCTGGTCTGGTGGGCAAGACTGTCTGGACTGTTTGGGAAGACTGTCTGGACTGTTTGGGAAGACTGTCTGGACTGATTGGGAAGACTCTCTGGTCTGGTGGGGATGACTCTCTGGACTGGTTGGGAAGACTCCCTGGACATAGGAAAGACTCTCTGGACTGATAGGGAAGACTCTCTGGTCTGGTGGGGAAGACTGTCTGGACTGATTGGGAAGACTCTCTGGTCTGGTGGGGAAGTGTCTTGGCTCTGGTAAGGAAGGCTCTCAGGTAATCATGGAGAAGACTGGTCTGTCAAGGAAGACTCTTCGACTTAGAGGAAAAGACGACTTAGGTTTCATAAGTAAGACTCCACACTGTAGGATACAATTGTTCTCGATAGACTCCAGAGAAAACCTTGTGTTTGAGAAGCGAGCAAAGCCGTCCCTGTACAGCCACACACGCAGCGGGTTGTACTGAAATAACATCACACATCCAGGTTATATAGTACCATGCCTTAGAAATCTGTACCAGTCTAGACATTCAGGGTTGGTATATATGGGTCCTCCTTTGACGGACAGTAAGAGTTTTTTGAATAAAACAAATCACAAAAGAAGTTATCAAAAAACATATTGCCGTTTTTTTCAGATAGTGTCTATATTAGAAAACCACACAACATTTCATTTGTGTTTTATGCAAGACAATTATATATTCCATTTTTACAGAGGTAATTATGCTTCACGCCTGGCAAACGTAAAGAAACAATGTTGGTGTTTTTGTCAATGAAAATATGTCAAACAAAACCATACTGAGGTGACTAGAACATACAGAGGTGACTAGAACATACACACATGTCTAACAAAACCATACTGAGGTGACTAGAACATACGCACGTCAAATAAAACCATACCGAGGTGACTAGAACATACACACGTCAAATAAAACCATACTGAGGTTACTAGAACAGACAGAGGTGACTAGAACATACACACGTCAAATAAAACCATACTGAGATGACTAGAACAAACTGAGGTGACTAGAACATACACACATCAAATAAAACCATACTGAGGTGACTAGAACATACAGAGGTGACTAGAACATACAGAGGTGACTAGAACATACACACGTCAAATAAAACCATACTGAGGTGACTAGAACATACTGAGGTGACTAGAACATACACATGTCAAATAAAACCATACCGAGGTGACTAGAACATACAAACGTCAAATAAAACCATACCGAGGTGACTAGAACATACACACGTCAAATAAAACCATACCGAGGTGACTAGAACATACTGAGGTGACTAGAACATACACACGTCAAATAAAACCATACCGAGGTGACTAGAACATACACACGTCAAATAAAACCATACTGAGGTGACTAGAACATACACACATCAAATAAAACCATACTGAGGTGACTAGAACATACAGAGGTGACTAGAACATACAGAGGTGACTAGAACATACACACATGTCAAAAGAACCATACTGAGGTGACTAGAACATACACACATCAAATAAAACCATACCGATGTGACTAGAACATACACACGTCAAATAAAACCATACTGAGGTGACTAGAACATACAGAGGTGACTAGAACATACTGAGGTGACTAGAACATACACACGTCAAATAAAACCATACTGAGGTGACTAGAACATACAGAGGTGACTAGAACATACAGAGGTGACTAGAACATCCCCCCATGTCAAAAGAACCATACTGAGGTGACTTGCACATACTGAGGTGACTAGAACATACACACATCAAATAAAACCATACCGATGTGACTAGAACATACACATTTCAAATAAAACCATACTGAGGTGACTAGAACATACTGAGGTGACTAGAACATACAGAGGTGACTAGAACATCCCCCCATGTCAAAAGAACCTTACTGAGGTGACTAGAACATACTGAGGTGACTAGAACATACACACGTAAAATAAAACCATACCGAGGTGACTAGAACATACACACATGTCAAAAGAACCATACTGAGGTGACTAGAACATACTGAGGTGACTAGAACATACACACGTCAAATAAAACCATACTGAGGTGACTAGAACATACAGAGGTGACTAGAACATACAGAGGTGACTAGAACATACACACATGTCAAAAGAACCATACTGAGGTGACTTGCACATACTGAGGTGACTAGAACATACACACATCAAATAAAACCATACCGATGTGACTAGAACATACACACGTCAAATAAAACCATACTGAGGTGACTAGAACATACTGAGGTGACTAGAACATACAGAGGTGACTAGAACATCCCCCCATGTCAAAAGAACCATACTGAGGTGACTAGAACATACTGAGGTGACTAGAACATACACACGTAAAATAAAACCATACCGAGGTGACTAGAACATACACACGTCAAATAAAACCATACTGAGGTGACTAGAACATACTGAGGTGACTAGAACATACAGAGGTGACTAGAACATACACACATGTCAAAAGAACCATACCGAGGTGACTAGAACATAGACACGGATGTCAAACTTGCGTCCCCCAATCAGGTATGGGTTCTCGATGTAGCGCTGCACAACGTACGTCTCGGGGCCTTCTTTGTTGGCGTCCGATATAGGCTGGTACTCTGTACCCTGAAGGAAGGTAACACAAAAAAAATCTGAAGATTATTCTGGAGTCAAGGTTGTCACTCTTTAGTTCAACTAGACTTGGTCAAAGCAAGCTTATGTCATTGGTCTTTGCCTGTCGTCCTTCCATCAGCACTGAACATAAAAAGTCTTTCTTCAAAACTACTGAACATATCAATACCATTTCCCATTTCATGTTCCACAATTTAAAAAAACAACATTCCAAAAGTAATATTTGTTGCTGTTGCTGTGTTAAAATACAGCTGAGCGAGGGATCACAACTCATTTGTGCTCTCTGGTTTTCATCATTTGCCTCTTATTAGAACAATACCGTAGGGGAGCTTCATAGCTATGTATTATTTTTGTTTGTCTATTTGTTATTTAACGCTGCACTCGGCAATATTCAAGATATATGACGGCGGTCTGTAAATAATCAAGTCTAGGCCAGACAATCCAGTGATTGACATCATGAGCATGGATCCACACATTAGGGATATGATGAAATGCATCAACCAAGTCAGCAAGCCTGACCACCCGATCCCATGAGTCACCTTTTACGGCAAGCATGGGTTGCTGAAGACCTATCTTCACCGGTAGATGATCGGTAACAACCGGTAGATGAACTATATTTGTTAATCAAAGATGACTTTAACAGAGTTTCGTCAGCTAGATTCCACAAACCTTTTTCCAGTCAGTGATGTCTTTGAGTCTCTTGAAGAGGAAGATGCCTTTCCCCTGGGACTTTGCAATTGGCTTCATGATCCAGATGGACCCGGGGTTGCGTCGGAACTCGTCCACAAAGATGTGGTACTCCGACTGGAATAGTAGCCCCGTTCCACAAAGTGATATTAGCGCTAAGTTGATCGTAACTCCCATTCTTTAACACTGACTTATGACAATCGTAGCGCTAAGATCGCTTTGTGGAACGGGGCCCTGATTATACATGTGAGTAAGTGGATAAATGTTCTTTTACACCTCAGTCAGCATTACTCAAGACATATGGCACACAATCGACTAGGTCAAGAAAACAGTGGTTGATAGCATGAGCAGCTATTAAATTCTCAAGGTATGATGACACATTATCAGCCAGGGCAATGTTTTACACAGTGATCGTAATATGACGACGATAATTGCCATATATTAACATTGTTTGTTTGTTGTTTAACGCCACACTCAGCAATATTCCAGCAATATGAGGGCAACAGGTAAATAAATGAATCTGGACCAGACAATCCATTGATTGATAGGGCTGGCAAAAAAAAATCAGTCATCAGAATTATCATTGATGGGAAGAAATATTAACGATTATCGATATGAGAATTGTGCCATAGATAATACCTTACATAAAACTATTGTGATGAAATAAAGTTTAGATTTACCAAAACAGACTTGTTATTGTCAATAATGTTAATTGCTGAAAATGGAAAGTAACTGTTTTTGTTATATTGATGGCTATATCCCCTAGGGCTGGAACGGGTAAATCGGGATCCCGAGGCCAGGTGGGTACTGAATAGGATCCGAGTACCCACAGGACTACCCGTACCCGTGGTAAGTCACACGATATTTTGTTTAATGACAAAAATTATCTAGAGCTCTATGGTCACTAATGTTCGCATTTCTTTCTGACAACGCACCCATTCCTTCTGACTTTTCATATGGTTGAACAAAGATGTAACTTCAGTCAACTTCAGTATATGCATGACCAGATTGTTTAATACATATCTACATATGTTTTGCCAGGGCTATAGCAAAACAAATTCCCAATCGGACATTTTGAGACATCACTTGAGACCTACAGCGGGTACCCGGGTAGGGTCGGGTAATAGGGGGATGGGTACCCGGGTAGTAAATTTGGAATCGCCCCAGCCCTAACATCCCCCCATTTATCAAAAAAGGGGGCTATAAAGAGGCCCAAATATGGCATTGACAAACCAAGGATCATAATATGGTTGAATCTGGGATTTGAAATGCTGTTGTTTGTTTGTTTGTTGTTTTACGCCGCACTCAGCAATATTCCAGCTATATGACGGCGGTCTGTAAATAATCGTGTCAGGACCAGACAATCCAGTGATTGATATCATGAGCATCGATCCACGCAATTGGGACCGATTACATGCATCAACCAAGTCAGCGAGCCTGACCACCCGATCCCGTTAGTTGCATCTTACGACACGCATAGTCAATCGCCTTTTATGGCAAGCATGGGTTGCTGAAGACTTATTCTACCCCGGATCTTCATGGGTCGAAATGATGTTGAGAGGATCCAGACATGTCTAAGGTAGATAACTGGACACATTGTGGAAAACACCAGGAGACTGGCATATTGATGAAACCTATCAATTTAGCATTAAGACCGGCTACTGATTGCTAGGATGGAGTGAGAGAGTATGCTTTACACTGAGTTTAGTGGGGACATGAGGAATGGTCTTCATATCTTGTACCCATTTGGAAAATCAAACGTGGATCTTTGGTGTGATGAGCCAATACGATCCAAGCAGTTCTCAAATGGAAAACATTTTACCCCCATGTTGTTTGTTTGTTTGTTTTGTTGTTTAACTCAGCAATATTCCAGCTATATGATGGCTGGGCCAGACATTTAAGTGATTGACATCATGAGCATCAATACACGCAATTGGGATATGATGACATGCATCAACCAAGTCAGTGAGCCTGACCACCTGTTTCCGTTAGTCGCCTCTTACGACAAGCACAGTTGCCTTTGTTAGTATACTGTCCAAATTTGACAGTGAAGCTTACGGATGTAGCCAATACTTACCGGTAGCTCATATGTTGTAGGGAAGAAATCACATCTTGCACAGATTAAAGAAAGTACTTCAAATATGATGATCATTGCTGATATACACTCAAAAGAAAATATAATTCTGATAAACATACATGTACCAGTTAGCTAACCTGAGTGGAGTGGAGTGGAGTGGAGTGGAGTGGAGTGGAGTGGAGTGGAGTGGAGTGGAGTGGAGTGGAGTGAACAAAGCTTAAAACTTTTAAAGAATGATCCTATATAGGTATTTTGTCACTAAACAACTTAAAAAATGATAAGTACCACCTTACATATTACTATAGTTAATCTGTCATGGCATGACAGATTACCTATATTATTTAGTAAAGAATTTGATGGTCCTTAACATTTTCTGAGTAGTATAGAATGTTCAACACTGGTAATGGTGAGTGATTGAATATTGTCTTCTGTCACAGTCAACTATATTCCAACTGCTACATAATGGCCTGTACATAGTCAAGTCTTTGACTGGGCAGACCAGTGGTCGATAGCATGAGCAGCATGTCTGCTGTCACAACATACTCTAGGGGCCTATTGTACCCCAGATTCCTGGTATGACTACTGGCTGCACATTGTGGCTGTGATGGTTGCATGTAACTCAAAGATACTTCTGTGCCTCCAGTTTCCCTGACTCTCTCTCCATATGTCTCCGCAGCCTCTTCAGGTTCTTCACCATCAGGTTCTTCCTCGTCAACTGCAATATCAGACATGTGTTCGTCCAGCTGCACATGCAGATTGATTCAAACAAGGTCAACATCTCAAGCTATTGATAAGGCTGTTTCATTTCTTAGTTTACAGATTTCGCTTCAGACGTTTCTGATTAAAACAAAATAAATTGAGAGATCTGATTATGTTGCCAAGTAAGCAGTGTTATTCAAGCTTGTCTCATCAGTCTTGAAGTTGCATTCTCAATTTTGTGAGTGGTGAAAAAGTTAGTTTGCATTTGACAGAAAAAATGAAATGTCTTTCTGATTTCTTTTATTTTTCATTATTTCAGAATCGGCAGATTCACTTAACCTATCGGAGGATTCTTTCCTTAGTGTTATGAACAATACACATTACATTTACCTTCAAACAGTCATTCAATCATTTTCATTAGCAAGGTCACACACATAACCGGGGGCACAGGTGGCCCAGTCGTCTAAGGCGCCAGGATTCGCTGTGCAGAGATGCATCCCTTGGGCACGCCAGAAACCTATGATTGTGGGTTCGAATCCAGGTTCACCCCGATTATGTTTTTAGGTTTGTCAGCACCATACCCGTGTTCGTGGCTTTTGCCGAAGTGGTAAACGTCTGAGACCTGCATCACTTCGGGCTTTCCTTCCACATTAAGCTGACACGCCGTGATATGACTGGAATACTGTTAAAAGTAGCGTTAAACCCAACTCACTCACTCACACACACATAACCATAATAACAATCAGACTTTGAAACAGAATAGTTTGCAACATATGTGTAGGTATACTGAAAAATGGATATTTTTATCAAAATGGAACTGTTGAACTATAAGCCATCTAGATCAGACAGGATAAGCTGTGAAATGATCAGTATGTGCATCTGAACATGTTAAGACAAAAAACACAATGAGATGATTCTATGGTTGAACACAACAAAATCTAAAATATTAAAATAAACAAATGGGGTCACTTCAAACTCCTTGCACAGCTTCAGACTGATATGGGACACAGGTCAATGTAAAAGATAATTTTAAATTTCTCACAAAACGGTTCCCTTGACCCCTTATTCTGCGACTTGGTCCATCAGTGTCCCAAGGAACTGTCACTTGACAACTGTTGACATCAATCCAATTCTCTAGGGTTGTATGTTTGTGTGTTTGTTTGTTTGTTGTTTAACGCTGCACTCAGCAATATTTCAGCTATATGACAGCGGTCTGTAAATAATCGAGTCTGGTCCAGACAATCAAGTGATTGATGTCATGAGCATCGATCCAAGCAATTGGGATACGATGACATGCAAACCAAGTCAGCGAATCTGACCACCCAATCCCGTTAGTCGCCTCTTACGACAAGCACAGTCACCTCTTACAGCAAGCATGGGTTGCTGAACACCTATTCTAACCCGGATCTTCATGGGAGTGTGTTAAAATGTAAAAGAGGTCTTTGAGATCTGCTCCTGTGGTATTTGGATCTAGGGAGAGCCCAAATCGCTTACTTTTAAATACCATTACCACTATGACAAGGATCCATTGATTTTCATATTTAATTTCAAACACGGTTAAAACGCTAAAAATGGCTGCTTCAATAATCATTTATGTCAACTGTAATTCTGAAGACATGACTATAATTTTTAATGTGAATTTTTACATGATAAACAGCTTTTTCATTGAATGAGTGAACGGTCTCATGACCAAGAAGCGGACGCTCATAAGCGTTTGACATTCATATGTTTTTAACGAGACGTAAGCAATAATGGAGTATTTTCACATTCCTGGGGAACTCCCTGGGAATACCCTAGTACGTCACAAACTCTGACATGCGTACAGTTTGGCCTCTATTCTAAGAAGGTTCATACTCCAATGAACCCACAAAAAATGAAAGTGAATTCTTAAATGAAGCATGCAAGTCAACACAGAAAGTCTGCAACAAATTGAGATACAATAAAAATCCTACTACCGTATTCGACGTAATAAGCGCCCATGGCGATATTTGCTTATATATTGACTAGTGAACAATCTCAATTAGCATCCCTTCCAATGTACACAAAACTTATATATTCGAGTATAATATGCACTCATGTGTTATACGCACCCTTAATTATGGGCAATTAAATCCTGGAAAAATATATCTGTCGTATATTAACATTTCAGGCTAAACCATTGAAATCTACGGTTTTTTCACCAAAATAATATTCTAATAAGATCCCCCTATTTCTAATTTTGAGAGCGCCCTGGGCGATTATTACGTCGAATACAGTAAAACAAAACATCACAACATGAACACTCGTTTCAAGGACTGACCTCATAGTGGTTTCGAAAGTGGTTAATTTTCATGTGTTCGTCAAGGTAGGCGTGGTCAAATGTCTCTCTCATCCACCACACGTCACACCAGTAGATGTCCCACTCCGCATCACTGCAGATATCACACGATATCACACACAGCACCGTGACAGCCTACTCCACCCAAAACACATCTCAGATACTGACACTTGTTGAGACGGCATCCATACACAGTCAGCATGGATTAAGGAACAATTCCAGTGTTTTGGAGTTTGATAAAAAAAGATAATTTCTTGAGTTTTGAGACACCCCCTTAAACTTAATAGTGAAAATATTGACATCCTCAAAGAGATTCTTCCACAAATAAAAACACATCAGAAGCTGTGGACAATACAGGCAAAAACACTTAAGACAGTTTTCAATCTTTTTCAAGATGTGGAAAAAAGTGATTCTGTCAGATTACAGCCCGGTTTACGACTCATCTGAAAACTTAAAGGAATTATATGATCTTTTATTCCCCCGTTATTTTTACAGGTAAAATTAGGCTTGGACCAGTAGTTCATGTGACTGCCAGTCTCTGTGGACCCGCAAATAAAGTACCTTATAAATCTTTGTTGTTGAAAAAAACATTGGTGATAGTCATAGAAGTATATTTTTCGATCGAAGTCAGCTTGTCTGTTACCATCAGAAAATTGTGACTGAACTTTGTGTGAATGACGTAAACATCCAACTAAGTTACTTCAGAGATGACGTCATTGCATTGAACATGATGTTATAAGAATTAATACCAGGTAATTTTCATTTGTTTTTTTATTTGTTGAAAGGGACAAGAATTAGAGTGAGTGAGTGAGTTGGGTTTAACACCGCTTTTAACAGTATTCCAGTTATATCACGGCGGGTCAGCTTGATGTGGGAGGAAAACCCAAAGTGATGCAGGTCTCAGATGTTTACTACTTCGGTGAAACCAACGAGCATGGATATGGTGCTGATAAACCTAGAAACATAATCTGCACAGCGAATCACGGCGCCTTAAACGACTGGGCCATCCGTGCCCATGACAAGAATTAGAGGGGACTGGTAATTTTTACAGTTTCAAAAACCAGCTGGAACACTGATTCCCCTTCAAACTTTTGAAATGCTCCCTCAACAAGAATAACGTTGTCATCAGGGTTTGGTCATACTGTTTTAGCAATACGGTTTGTGGATATCTTGCAGACAAGTTACTTTGGTAGGTTCATAAAAACAAATCTGTGTGTGTGAAAATTTGTATTTCATTATGCTTAACATTGCATGAGTCCTGCTGTGTAGACTATATCTAAATGGTAGTTCTGTTTAGAAACTTACCAATCACATTAATTGCATATCGTTCACTGAGATACCTATTTGCATGAAGATCTGACAACCTATTCATAGGTCACGTCAGGTAAACTTTCCAATCAGACAATCAGTGTCGAGTCTTCTTAGTTCTTGTTACAAGTGATCAAAAGATTAGCACTAGCATATCTGACTTAAATATCTAGAAAATGAACTTAAACAGTCAAGTCCAAATGTAAACAATAAAGGGCAGACATTATACTGTTGTGAATATTGTATACACCCTGTCGTTTCATCTAATAGGGAGTACCATCTATTATAAAGTATCATTTCTGTTCTGTATGTGGTTTCATTTCATAAATTTAAAATATCTGAATTGAGTGTTTTAAGAAATGAATCATTTCAGAGACATGACGTCTGATTAGCTCAAGAACCCACTCAGCCTTCATAAAGATTTGGCAGTTTGCCAGACACTAGGGCAACACTCAGTTTATGGATTTGACCAGTACTTTAAACTGACCTAGCATTTATTTATTCGCAAAAAATAAATGAATAAATAACATTGTGTTACACAAATGTGTATTATTTGAACCTTTCGAAGCTTAAACCATAATAGAAAAGCGATTGTGGCCTTGGCTATGTTTGTGATAAAGTTGTTTTCAAAATCTTCTGGAATTTCTCTGCAGTAACATTATACAATGTAAAAGAAATGAAAAAGGTTGCCTAAATAATGCCAACACAGAGACTGTTTCTCATCAATTGTCACCATTCTGATATTTTTTATACTTTTTTTATACTCATATTTGGTGAGTTAAAGTCCAAAAATTTTCAATTCAAAATGCGAATTCTTAGTTAAAAAAAATCTTTTAATCAACTCCCAAATCAGACAATATTGATCTCAAATCAACGCATCACAGAATATCTTGGAACAGTGTGTTTGCTCAATATTAGTCATATTTAACATCCCCCATACATTTTCAAATGTCTCAACAAATGTCAGTAGCTGGTATAATGGTGACACTACAACGTCTGCACACTACATGCACATGACACTAGCTGTAACATAGCTTAATAGATGCACAACAAAGGATGTGGTAGGATAAGTTCCTTTCAGTTCCAAAGGATAATTATATTAAAACATGACAGAACACTTTGAAATATTTGTGTGAAAATTATCAGATATGTTCAAATGGCTGACAACTAGCCTTCTTTTTCATTCTTGCACATGCAAATTTTGGACTTCGGACATGATAATATGAGTCATTTTCAAAATTTGTAAGATATTTCGTGTCTATGAATTTCAAAAAGCAAATATTTCTTTTCCTTGATATTGGTATATAAATAAAACAACAACATGTTTTAGAGTGAGTAAGTGAGTGAGTATGGTTTTTACGCTTTTAGCAATATTCCAGCAATATCAGGCAGGGGACACCAGAAATGGGCTTCACACATTGTACCCATGTCGGGAATCGAACCTGAGTCTTTGGCGTGAGGAGCGAACACATTAACCACTAGGCAACCCGACCGCCCACATGTTTTAAAGTTAAGGTAGAGAGTTTGCAACCTTAATGAATCCTAATATTGCTTTTGTAGACTTTTTAAAACAAAAAAAATGCAAATTACAAGTCACTACTGTTACATGTTGTAAAGTAAGGATTTTTAAAAAATTTAAAATTTAATTTTTTTTTAAATCTGTAAAGAATTGTTAACAGAAAAGTCAAAAGAAATCAAATTGAGGAAAATAAAAAAAAATGATGGTAAGCTTTGGTTTGTCAATTTACATCTATGACTCAAGTCTAAAAAATTGAATATCATGAAGTTTGGCCATCAGGCTTGTTACAAGCCAAAATGGGCACAATTTGACCCTACAAAGTCATTTTTGGGTGCTTAACTATAATTTATTGCTATTTTTTAAATGGTAGTATGTGCAGACGTATATAAGATACAATTTAAGATTAAAACAAATTTTTAGAAAAACATAATTAATAAGATACTAACATATAACATTTTTTTACAAATTTTGGATATGACTCATACACATGTACATAAGAATAGCTAACATGAGTGAAGAAGTCCATTATTTCAAACTTTAAGAGAAAATCTAATTATAAACAAGTTTGTTATCCTCATCTTTCTAAGAAAATCAACTTGGACAAATACTTGTTCATATTCAAATATTAAAAATATGCCTCCTGAAACCTCTAAATCAGCCTGTTAAACACAAGTTTGCCTTGTCTATACAATTAGTGTCTTAAAAATCAATAAAATGCAAATGTTGAAATGAAGAAAGTCTATTAAGAGATATATGGATGTTAACTTCTTGTTTATGAGGAACACAACGTTTCGGAGTATATGCTTACTCCTTCATCAGGTGAATTCTAATCACCTATCAGCGCCATTCATCTGTTCACTTCACTTGTCAGTTTCTACCCTTTGTTATTTTCCACCTTTGTTATCTTATTAATTTTGTTGTCCTTACATGTACATATATATATGTTCTCATGAAGGAGTAAGCATATACTCCTAAACGTTGTGTTCCTCATTATAAAGAAGTTGACATCCATATATTCTCTTCCTTATGTGTATAACTTCTAAATGCCTTTCAAAGACTTGAAGAAAGTCTAGTTTCTCATTCATATGAACACATTTGATAACTTTCTTTACGATTTCTTAAAGATGTTTGCTCATTTCTTAAAGTAAGAAAATCCTGAGGGCCTAAGGGGGCACTTATCATACCTTGTCCTTTGTAAGCTAACAAATCTGCATCTCCTTTTCACAGCATCATAAGTTCCTGTCACATATGGCTGAAACCATTTTTAATCTAGTGTAAACAATTTATTTATTATCTCAGAAAAAGGATATCAGTCAATCTTTGGCTCTACAATCTACATTCAATAATGCCTAGGAACTTGCAATTATTGCCAAATGTGTTATTTGCATACATATCTCACAATGGGTAGCAAAGAGAAATACACAAAACACCTGTTAATATTCTGTTAAAAAACATAATAATCATATAGAAAAAACAATTAATATTAAGACCAAAAGAAAAATAGCGTTGTCCATTAAACAAAATAATCAAATTTTATTACAATGTGCATGAAACCTGAAAATATTAATCAATTATTTATAATGTAGTCTTTAATCTAAGAACATACAGGTTTATACAGGGATTTATCTGGACCTGATCAGATGGAATTTAAAAATTCCCAATAACAAATATTGCAGTAATAACTTACCTGATGGCTTTGAAAAGGTAACATGTATTGCATTATAGCTAAAATGGATAGGATTATTATTATACCGCCCGCATGTTATCAGAAATGAGCGGACCACTGTAACTGGATAATGCCCCATATTGTTTAATGACGGGCCATTATCACGCCCGTTGTAAGGTGACATCATAGGGATAGGGAAAGGTGACGTCACGTTCAATAGTGACGTCATCTGGTTTGTTCTATGACGTTTCCATATTTGTAAAAGTGGGTCAGTGAAATTTGTGTTGATTGCACTAAATGTTTGAAAACCGATATTGTTGTTTATTTTTATTTGATAACAAATTCTATCCATTTTAGCTATAATAACGGTAGCACTATTTTTCAGGGCATTATCATTTGCAGAAGCCCTCGGTCTTTTCAACTGCCCTCCTTTGTCAGGCAGTTAATGGAAGACCTCGGGCTTCTGCAAATGATAATGCCCTGGAAAATAGTGTTACCCTTAAACTAACATCAGGGGCAATAGAGCAGAAAGGAAGAGGCTTTAATGATTTCTTTAAGATTATTGCATTGAATACAATGTTAAAATACATTGTCATGTCTGACTTTAAGAAAATATCAACTTAAAAAGAAATATCAATTTTAAACAAGAGAATGATTTCCCCCAATTTGCTGTCCATGGTACCTAGTTTGGAACTCCAGATAAATCCCTGTGATATGATTTAACCACCACCTTTCTAAAACAAAATGACCTATTTCTCCCAACTCCTGTAACCATGGTAACTAAGCATCAGTGATAGGAATAAACATGGAAGCCGACCCCACACTGGCACTACTATACAAGCAGGGAAGGAATTAGTGAATAAACCTCATAAAAGTTTCTGAAGTGTGAGACCCGGGAATTCTCCGGGAAGTAGAGACAGTCATAATGTTCTCTAGCCCATTCCTTGTCACACCACAGGAAGTCCCAGTCGCCATGGCTACTGCAACCATAGTTACCATACACACCTAAACATTCATCATCATCATGGTGATGGTAAATCACTAAAATCAGGTCAATTCATCACTTACAATCAATAATCACATTATTTGGTTAATTTTGTATTGTGATGGTCGAACAGATTGGATCATCCTCGATAACTTGATCATGCTGGACCAAAATTTGTGGACAGATTTGCCATCAAATTTAGAAAAGGTAATTACAGTTATACACAGGTTCACAAAGGCGTCAATAAAAGTTAAATCCTTTTTCTTGCAAAGCTCATAAACTTATTTCATAACATCGTATATACATCAAAGTCAATACTTTGAACATCAATATACATGGAGGTCAAAGTGAATGATATAATTTTAAAGTATGAGAAATGTTACCTTACTATCTGGGGACAATTAAAAATACATCAAGCTATCAATAATTAAGACAAGCTTGGTAATTTTAGTATAAATTGTATATTTATATACTCATCCTATCTCACACTTTGCATTTCTCTCTTCTTTTTTGATCCTATGTGGGAACGTGCTTGAATTTTTTTCCAGCTTCCATCCAAACCCCCCTGCATCTCCATGGTTACATCCAAAAGCTAGGTCAATTACGTGCCTCTCATGAAAGCCATGCCTGCTTGAACTGACCACATGTACACCTCTACCAAATCACTCTCTTTCGCAGAGCTTATAAGGCTAGAGTAAATGAGATGCGGGGATGTCGGGTGGGCCTATCACATGTGAGATAGGATAAGTATATAAATATACAATTTATACTAAAATTTCCAGTTTTTATTAAACTTATCCTATCTCACACTTTGCATTTTATCCCACGGTTGGATGGTCGGCCAAAGATACCCTAGCCTGTATAGACTACAACTGTGAGATATGCACGAGAAAGCTGGCTCTAGACAGGGTAATTTTCAATTTGTTTTAGAATTTTGAAAACAGTCTGGCGTCTAAAAGACATGAACTCATTAGCGGCAAAAAACACACGATCAACCAGTGTTCCCGATACGTTACTCAAACGAAACAGCATGAGCTGTAAACGCATAAGCGAAACGCAGATGACTTAAAATGGATCCTGGAAGGGCATCAATTCTTTAAAAAAAACACAGCAACTACCTCCCACGGACCATAGAGTGCGTTAGGTTTGGTAACTCTTTTTACGCTTCGTAAAGGTTATCAAACACTCGAGTGTATGAAGTGAACCAAAAGGAGAAGAGGAACGATCGACAATATTCCATAGAAATGGACCATCGAACCAAAACCTACATCACAGATACCTTATGCAGAGGTAAGCGGCATAAAGGGTCGGGACACTGATCTTTTTTTTCCTTTATTTTTATTTGATCGGCCACACTGAATGGTGACTTCGTAAATTAAGTCTAAAAAATCTCTACAGATGAGCTAATCCATCCTCCAAAAGGGACTCAATCTGAGAAAATCAAAACAATAAAAAAACATGTAACACCACGTAAATGTTCAATGTTTTATTCTGTATATACAGTTGTAACCCGCAAGGATTACGAAGTATAACAGTTTATGTTCTGCATGAACTGGGGCGAGACAGTGAACTTATTGAGCCCTTGTACGATTGTGACTGAAATGTATATGATCGGCTGCACCGATTGGTCACTTCGTAAATTATTGTGACATCAAAAGCATGAATTGCGCTAACCCATGCCACGGTGGCCAAAGCCAACAAAAAGACAGTCTTCAGCTTAACTGTCTCGAAGTCCTTCTCCGTCAGTGGTTTGTATTCGCCGGAAACCGGGTGTTGAAGAATAACGTTTAGATCCCATGAAGGAGACTGAAAACAAGCGGCTTGGTCGGCTAATTTGTACGAACGGATGAGCAGTTGTAGCTCTTTAACCGTGGAAACCTTCGCACCGGAAGTGGTGGCAATGACAGAGTTAATAGTCGCGAGGTAGGTTGCCAACGTGGATCCCCGAAGTTTCCGAGTCAAACGCAGGTGATGTAAACATTCGGGGATCTGTTGAGGCGAAGCGGAGGTAGGAGTGGAAATATCACAAGCGCAACAATAAGTCTCAAAAGCCTTTCACTTGTGGTCACAAAGGCGCCTGGTGGAAGAATGATGGGCAGAAGTGATGGCCCTCGCTTCCCGCTGGTAGTATCCTTTTGCGACAAAAGACTTCTGCAGATGCGCCAAACACAAAGATGGGGCGTTGTCAGGGAGGGGTGGAGCCACCAAGAGTGAGGTTGATGGAGGAGGTCGTTGTTGGGCAGAAGATGACGAAGGTAGGGAACCAATATCGTGTTGGCCTATAGGGCGCGACCAAAATCAGAGACAGGCGATTGGTAGCTGCTACCTTCTGCAGGACTCGGGGGAGGAGCCCTGTTGGGGGAAAGGCGTACGCACTGACACCTTCCCAGTAGAGGTGTACATGTGGTCAGTTCAAGCAGGCACGATTCAAGCACGTTCCCACATAGGATCGAAGAAGAAGGGAGAAATGCAAAGTATGAGATGGGATAAGTTAAAAAATTTAGTTTGTTTCAAAATGATGATGATGATGATGATGATGATGATGATGATTCAATCTACCGTGGGACAAACCACACGATGGGAAGAAATATTAAAGATAATCGATATCAAAATTGTGTCATCGATAATATCATACATAAACAATTGTGATGAAATAAAATTTAAAACTACCAGAACAGACTTGTTATTATCAATCAAGTAAATTGCCAAAGATGGAAAGCAACTGCTTTTGTTCTAACATAAATGTCCACAGAGTAATCCATGCATAAATGTGTCATAAGTGTGTTGTTTCTTTTGGATTTATTGCAAATTTGCTCAAAGTTAATTGACCGATAATTAGTTAAGGATTATCGATCTCTATGATCTGTATTGATAGCCAGCCCTAACCGGGGGACAAACTACTGATGCTCTATTGACCAGGTGGTTACAGCCCAGAGTAAAAAGAGTGAATGCTGCATTCAATTCTCGACCAGACAAGCCAGAGATTGATATTTAAGACAAATTATACTTGCAGTCACAGAACCTGACCATCTGATCATACAACAAACATAGAATGCTTGGCACCAATTCTAACCTCCACACGTCTGTTTCTGTATCGAACAACAAGTGAGTGAGTGAGTATGGTTTTACGCTGCTTATAGCAATATTCCTGCAATATCATGGCAGGGGACACCGGAAAATGGGCCTCACACATTGTACCCATGTCCAGAATCTAACCACTAGGCTACCCCACCCACCACCCCTATCGAACTACAAGGCAGCACCGTATGATACATCACATGATAATGTGAGTGAGTGAGTGAGTGAGTATGGTTTTATGCCGCTTTTAGCAATATTCCAGCAATATCGCAGCGAGGGGACACTGCAAAATGGGCTTCACACATTGTACCCATGTCAGGAATTGAACCACTAGGCAACCACTAGGCTACCACTAGGCTACCACTAGGCTACCCCACTGCCCCTATCGAACTACAAGGCAGCACTATATGATACATCACATGATAATGTGGGAGTGAGTGAGTATTGTTTTAAGCCGCTTTTCTCGGCGGGGGACACCAGAAATGGGCTTCACACACAGTACCCATGTCGGGAATCGAACCCGGGTCTTCGGCGTGACGAGCGAACGCTTTAACCACTAGACTACCCGCCCGCCCCTGATAATGTATGACAGCCCGTGTGATGTGAGCACTCACCCCGTAACCTCCTGCCAGCCCGGTCTCGCACGCAGGACATCTAGTATTGTGTTCTGCAGGGAACACTTGAACCGAATCACTCGGTCACTGCAAGACATGATTAAAAAAAAGGTTAAGTGAATGATGCCACAATGAACAATGCCACAATTATCAATATTTCACCTGTATCACAGCCGTTTGTAAATATTCATGCCTGGGCCAGGCAAACTAGTGGTTGACAGCATGAGCATCAATAAACACTGTTAGGTGTGATGACACCCATTCAAGCAGGTCATAGAATCAAACCACCCAATCCCCATTTCAGTGGGATCTAGCAAGAGGTACTAGAGAGCTATTCTGGTCTGGAATCTGCATTGGTAATTTAACAAGTATGAAATATGAATACACATATTGATAAATTGACATTCAAAAGAATGTTTGAATATTTGCTACTACCACCAAGATCTGATCAACATCAGATTTCTACAAACTTGGTAATTAACAAATTATAATAAATGTCATGTTGTTTTCACTCATCGAACACAACTCTGATCTAGAAATCTTAAAAGTATCATAACATTTGTTTGGTGGGAACTCACTCACCCTGTGCTGCGTCCTTTTAGATTTGCACGAGGCATTCCTGAAATAGGACCATCTATCAAATTAATTACAGAAAACATCAAACTGACATCAGCGCTTTGATTGGAATAAAAGCGGCAGTGATTGAATAGATGGCAAAGCAACATGTAATACCATCTACAACTGCCAAAGATGAATGTCAGTTAATAAACGTAAGACTGCCTCCATGGTCTAGTGGTAGAGCATCTGCCTAGAGAGCGGGAGGTCTGGGGTTCGATCACCGGACGCACCAAACCAAAAGATGTTAAAAGACAAATTTTACTAATAAACTATTAGATGTTTCTAATAAAGGTAAAAACTACAAAACAAACAGATGCCTGTAAAACAAATACAAAGTTGAAATAAAGGTCCAAAGTACGCAATTTAATAGTCAAATGCGTCATTTAAGACGTCATATGAAAAGAAAGAACAATGTATACTAAAGAACGTCAGTGAGCATGAAAGGACATTGACAATAAAGAACGCCAGATGGCGCTGCAATTTGTGAAACATTCTGAGTATAATCAGCTTGTTCCAATGTGTATATGATAACTGCATGCCGAGGTGCACAATGTATTACGTCATTTAATACTTTATTAGTAACATTTGACTATTTTTGCATATTTTGACCTTTATTTCAGCTTCGTATTTTTTTACCGGCATCTGTTTATTTGTATTTTGACCTTAATTAGTAACACTTAATTCTTTATTTGTAACATCTGACTATTAGAGCATACTTTTGTCCTTTATTTGAACTTTGTATTTTTTTACTGAATGGCCGCCCATACAAACAGGCCATGGAAAACACATATCTTATTGTGTTATTTCGCTGTGGCAAATATATTTTTAACTTTCGCATATTTGATCATAAGATAAGAGTAATGAATCAGCTACAATTAGTAATTTCAATCTACTGATATCAAGCTTAGCTGGAGACAGAAATGAATTTTTGCATGGTTGTGAATCTCAATACATGCTCTCACATGAGGATAAATAATGAAATGTGGATATCCATTGCCATGCCTGTTATAATACATGATGCTTTAAATTGATTTTGTGCAGAAATAAATTTGGGTCACGATTATTATTTTTGCTACACTGAAATATCATAGAAACCTATGGGTTTAAGGACATTTCACAGACACCTGGGACCTGTATTCTGGGGTCGATTTATCTGCTGCCCTCTTGGCCCTTGGCCAGTTGAAGTTACAAAGGGCTTGCTGAAACGTTAAGAAGATGGCCCGCCTGGCTAGCCAAAATTTCGCTCCTTCTCTGTGTATGTTAATATAATGTAATTTTATCATCTTGGTAGAATGACAACAGGCTGCCATTTTGAAATGTTGTGTGCAACAATATCTTTATTTGCTCTTAAATCATTACGGAATGAGGAAAATGAAAGCCAAGATTTAATCTCAGAATGCATAAAATAATTGTTTTAGGGGTGTGGAGTTCCAAAATTTTCAGAGCACTGCCAGGTGGCTATGTGACCTCAGGTTCTGCCACTTCGTGGCCCCACCATTTAGTTGTAGGCCAGTTAGTTTGGAGAAGGGCCAGTAACTTTAATAGCAAGCCCTGCTGGCTACAAACATATTTGTCGTTCTACCCAATGTGTATTGCATTGTCGTGTGTTTCTTAGTTTTTCGTTAATTTTGTAAGTCAGTGACACGGTCTATGTTAGGATCTACCGAGCTGACTCATCCCATGAAGGTTGTATGGCGATACAATAATAACAAACATCTAGCATGTATGTTTCTCGTCTTTTGCATCATGATCGTCTATACAACAGTAAATGGGAACGCTACAAGTTCAGGTGGGCCTAGCTAAGTCAATGCATAGGTTACAATATCATGTTTACAAATGTGAATCCAATCATAATGCTAAATTCTATGAAAAACGTACTTATTATTATATCAAATTTTCCATCAAGGCTGTTGATGTTTTTACGCAAAGCGGAATGACAGTCGTATGACTGAACAAGTGGTACACAACGGGCACCGACAACAGTTCACGATTTCGTTGTCAACAACGCCATTCTGGAGGTAGCGAAAAAAACTGAAGAGTTACCTTGGGGGAGGTAACTCTGACTGGTCGCCACATACAAGTCTCATATTCAGGAACACGGTACATTCTCAGAACAGTTAAAACGGGAAAGTTGATCTAGGATTCTGTTGGCATAGAAGACATAGTGAGTGTAACCTCGATTAAGAAGAGTATTTGAAGGCTAGGCGTGCAGCTTTTGTGTGAACCTGTGTGGCTTCTGCTACTTTGGATGTTGATCTTTTTCTTGCACTTTGCTGATGACAGTTCACTGAGAAATTTATGTTTTTTAGACCTAACAATCTAGCGGACTCAGAGGATGATATAGTCTCACGTTTGAAAATAAATTGTGTGGACATCATTCTAAAGTCACGAAGTGACTTGACCGAGGGCCAAGTTAATATGAAAGGTGTCTGAAAAAGGTGTGTCTGTGTCCCTCTCTGGATCCAAAGGTGTACCGTGATAACAAAAATTCTTCAAACGTCAGATCAAAACACCTTCAAAAAAGCAATATCTTCCAGAGAAACAAGTGAGTTTAGCAGTGTTTGATGTTTAATTTTATGGTACTGAGTTCTAAAGGTAGGCTATTTTTATCTACAGTGCTATATAAGTGCTATTACTGCACATACATAGCGATGTGCATGCACGTGTGCGTGCGTGCGTGGGCTTGTACTAGTCCTGACTGATGCCGATTTATAGTGCTAGCCCACTCCACCACTAGACCATGGAGGCGGTCAGATTTCTTCATCCAAAAATAGTGAGGGAGTGAGTGACTTGTATTCAGCCATATTTGAACCTACATGTCCGCCTGTAGTATATTACTATGTCAACAGGCAACCCAGTGACTAATTTAGGATACTAGAATAGCCATGTCACAGCCCAATCACCAGATTTCAATGTTAGGCAATGTTACAGGAAACTTGGTAGTGGGAACCTGTTCTGACCATGCGTGAATCTGGTTTAATGCCACTTTGAACAGACTTTCAGTTATCATGGTTCTATCACAGGGTGTTAGTTTGACGTGGGATGACAGGTCTTTGAAACCCATGAGAAAGCCACAGGTTGGTGCTGACAAGCCTAGAAGCATAACAAAGGCAAATCTGGGATTCGAAGCCAAGTTCATAGGTTTCTGGCATGTCTTAGTGATGCAACTCTGCACAGCAACTTGTCTAGCTTCTGATGACTGAACCACTTGTGCTCCCATTCCGACCCAGAACCCCCACAAGGCTTCAGGACAAACAACAAACACTAGTTGACTGGTTAACATGATCATTTATTGGTAACGGGGCTCCATGTATCACATGGGCTTCACTCAAAACTTTGATTGGATATTTTAAATGAAGCATCAATTCACATCACTGGGTGGCAAACAAAGCTATTCTATATCAACATCTAATTCACGTAATTCACACATGAGGTGGTAATGAAAATAGATTCTTAATGCTCATGAAAATATAGAATTTGCCCATGACATCTGCAGCACCACCAATTGAAACCCACCTCCCCTATTTCTCAAAATAGGATAACCTGCTTCAAAGGAAAGACAGTTCACTTAAACGTTTGTTGGGGGTGACAGGTAGTGCTGGTACAATATGGCGGGTGAAGCCAACAACAGCTAAATTATTGATAATTTGCAAAGGGTGCAACATCGATAAGAATGTATATCTTAAATGTCCATACATGAATTAGAATATGTACAAGACAAGTTGTATACATACACATATCCATACTATCAAATCATTCAACACTTATTTTAAAGTGAAATTCAATAACCAAAAGCAAAGATTCATATTTAGAAACTTCAGTGATGTGATTAAACATAATTAGGAATCGGCTCATAACACTCATTTAACACCTTATTCAAAATTCATGATTTTCAATGAGAATATGACTTGACTAACCTACAGTAAAACTATCCTTTATGTCATTTAAAAGGCAGTAGTGGGTCACGTTGGCTAAGTCTCAGTTTATTAATTATATTAAACTGCACCTGAGATCCCATGCAGGCTCATATGGCATGTGGTTGCACCAATCAAATCCTTCATTCCATAAAGGTTAGCCAATGATAACAAGGCTATCATAACACCATCATTGTCACAATGGAATTCATTGGGTGAACAAACTAGGTGTAGGTGGGTTATCTCCCTTATTACTACATCCCACAAAAGGCTGTAATACATCCATCTAAATCCAACCAACCTACAGCAAGGAGTGAATATTTGTTGTAACCAATGACAAAGGAGAACAACTAGTTCAAGTCGACAGCAATGACAATATTAAATACATTATATTACAATTTGTGCTGTGTCTATTTAACTTAGATGCTAGAATATTTTACAACAACTCTAGGGTTAAACGTTCACATCAAACATGCATAAATGACTTTCATCAAATAGTTAACAAATAGGTTCAGAACATAAGTCACACAATTTCCTTCATAATACAAGAGATAATTCAAAATGTACACTTCATATTCAAACTGGTACATCAACACATAACAAAGCAGAAACATAAGAATTTGATGTACCCAGGAACAACTGTGTCTATGTATTGGAAATTCCTGTAAGGCAGATGAAATGAAAACAATTGGTTCTCTGGAGGTGAGTGATTGGAGTTGTGTTTAATGCCTTTTTTAACAGTATTCCAGTTATATCATGGCATGTCAGCTTAATGAGGGAGGAAAGCCCAAAGTGATGCAGGTCCTAGACGTTTACCACTTCGGTGAAACCCAGGAGCATGGGTATGGTGCTGACAAACCTAGAAACATAATCGAGGCGAACCGGGGTTGGAACCCACAATCACAGGTTTCTGGCGTGTCCAAGAGACGCAACTCTGCACAGCGAATTGCGGTGCCTTAAGACGACTGGGCCACCCGTTCTCTGGAGGTGATTGTTTTAAAGACTTGGGGCAGATGGAACCCTTTGAAGTGAGAATAATGCAATATTAGTATAAATGCTGTGAAGACATAAAAGCACGCATATTTCTGGCATGCCTAAGAACCAAATTATTTGTTTTAGCCACACAGTCTTTTACCGAATTATCTTCAGAACATGACTTTCATTAAAGATATTTCCATGAATGATATGTGAAACCAAATAAATCTTCAACAATTCTCAACATAATTTTTATTATGAGAACAAAGCCTTGATTTCAAATTGCATTCTCACTAGGTTTTCACAAAATGTTTTAAGAACCTGAAAAAGTTTGTTTCTTCTTATTGACCGACCGAGAAAACTATGGGGATCAAATGTTTGCAAAAAAATGTCAATGATATATGGAAAACCTAATAACCATAAAATTTCTTTAAAAAATGACACAATACCATCAGCAAATATCAAACCATAAACACACACATAACGTATGCATCATATTTCTGCAAATATAACACATGAAATGAATATTAATAAATGATCTTCGTGACCTAAGTTGGCTTAAAAAAAAACACTATGTACAACACACTGGACTGATCACTAATCTGTCACATGACTGTGTCTACATCACATGACTTCTGAGTCACACACCTACATATATCTGCTGGATCCATGCATAACACCATGCTCTATAGTAACAGACAATACCATACAGTACCTTAGGGGGTGGGGCAAACGTTGGTACATCCTCTCACGCAAACATTGGCGATGTGTAGTTTTACTTCAGTGTGAGTGAGTATGCTTTAACACCACTTTTAGCAATAATCCACCAATATCACGGCAGGGGGACACCACAGATGGGCTTCCCACATTGTATCAATGTTGGGAATCGAACCCAGGCCTTTGCCGTGATGAGGGAACACTTGAACCACCTGGCCACCTCACCCCCCTTCACTTCAGAGATGTTTTTACATTAGCGACTTTCAGTAAGGAACAGGTTGGCGGTCAATATCCCCAAAAATGTAGAGGGGCAAACATCGGACACTGACCGTTACATTTGTATCTCCATTTGTATCTCCATTTGTAACAATCATTTTGTGATGTTCTGGAAAGGATAATGTAATAATTGTCAACATAAATTCTCTTTAGTTTGTTTCATTTTCTTAATACCATATTCGACGTAATAAGCGCCAATGACGCTCTCAAAATTAGAAATAAGGGGCTCTTATTAGAATATAATTTTGGTGAGAAAAAAACCCAAACAGTTGAAAGATTGTAAATTTCGTGGTTAATGCTGACAGCCTGAAATGATATTATCGTATTATACACGATAGATATATTATTCAAGAAATTAATTGCCCATTATTAAGGGTTCATATAACACACGTGTGCGTATCATACACGAATAAATAAGTCTTGTGTTCATTGATCAATCGGAAGGGGTGCTAATTGGGATTGTTCACAAGCCAATATATTAGCAAATATCGCCGTGGGCGCTTATTATGTTGAATACGGTACATTGTTTTTAGGTTCTTGAGTTTGTATACTACATTTGATCATAATATTTTCAGAAATAAGAAATATTCTATTCTGTCTGAGTTGGGTTTTACATTGCTTATAATATGCAGCAAGAGTAACAATATGTATCACTTTGAGCATGACTGTGTGGTGTGGAAATATAGCACAATATATATCGCCTTCTTATTATAAAAAAATAGGACAGGTCAAAGTCCATCATGATAGGGATATATCTAGGATTCTAAACTAAGTGCCTTTGCAAACTTGGAAAAAATATTATTTTGTTCAAAATTGAGATTTTTGAAGTTTTTACTTTCTAAAATTCTGAGTTTTTTAACACTGAACTATGTTATGTGCAATAACTTAAACATAAGCTCTCTGAGCAGGTCTAGTTAAATCCCTGCAGGATCGCCATAATGCTCAGTTATGTGCAATAACGTAAACATAAGCTCTCTGAGCAGGTCTAGTTAAATCCCTGCAGGATCGCCATAATGCTCAGTTATGTGGTATAACGTAAACATAAGCTTCTTGATCAGGTCTAGTTAAATCCCCGCAGGATCGCCATAATGCTCAGTTATGTGCAATAACGTAAACATAAGCTCTCTGAGCAGGTCTAGTTTAATCCCTGCAGGATCGCCTTTATGCTCAGCTATGTGTAATAACGTAAACATAAGCTCTCTGAGCAGGTCTCGTTAAATCCCTGGTAGCTAAACATATTGCAAGTGGCAAAAGAATGTTAGTGAAAAGAAAACCAAACGGCACACTCACTCACTCACATGCAGTTAGATACAGAGTGCTGGGAGTGTCCCAGAGGGTACACTAGCGTCACCTGAAGTCAGGTCATTGGGTAGGAGGTTTGTGGTGTTGTGACAACTCTCTGTACATGTATACATATTTCAGTAGTGACAGACATTCTACAGCAGCCATGACCAGGCATCTGTCCTCTTACCTCAGACACTGTAGAATCTTTCACTGAAGCTGTTAATACCAGTTACAAGAATTGACCATCTCACTGAAGTCTCAGGTGTTAATCCGAAAATACGCCTTTCCACACAAAGATCTGACAAATGCACCCTGGCAGGTGCATCACTTAAAAATTTCAAATTAGCCAATTAATTCTCGGTACAAGCAACCAAAAGATTCCGAGCTCATATTGGTATTATGTATCACCAAAAACACAAACATACATAGGCAGTTCTGAATGGAAAAAATAAGGGCATGCTATGATAATGAGGTGGATAATTCATACACCCTGTTGTTTCTGTGCACCATCTACACCCAAAAGGGACAAATAACGAAGGAATGTTTGTGTTCTGTGTAAGTTTTTTAAGATTGATATTTCAAAAATCGAAGTAATGAAATATAGCGGTATATTTTAGAAAGCCGACATCTTATTGACTCAAGAAATCACACATCATTCACTCGGAGTTCACCTGAAGGGTTTGTCAGATCTTCATGGCAACAGGCGTTTGGAGATAGCAAAAATTTACATTATTGAAGCACGTGAGGCTTGCTACTTTGACAATTACCTCTCAATTCTTAATTAAGTTTATAGCAACAATTTATTATTAACGTTAACCCAAGTACCCTAAATGTTATTCTGATTACTATAAAAAAGGTTATCTTAGAGATTCTACTTCTAGAATGAGTGAGTGAGTGAGTGGGTTGGGTTTAACGCTGCTTTTAACAGTATTCCAGTTATATCACGGCGTGTCAGCTAAATGTGGGAGGAAAGCCCGAAGTCAGGCAGGTAAACCCCCGAGCACGGGTATGGCGCTGACAAACCTAGAAACATAATCAGGGCGAACCGGAATTCGAACCCACAATCATAGGTTTCTGGCGTGTCCAAGGGACGCAACTCTGCACAGCGAATTGCGGTGCCTTAAGACGACTGGGCCACCCTTGCCCCCACTTCTAGAATGAAATAATGCACAAGAATAGTGATGTGGATGCGTCATCTCTCCTTGGCAACAAACCCCTATGTCCTCTTGAAATACTATGTATTACAATGATATAAATGAACATAATTGTCCAGACTGACAATAGACACATTTCATGATTGTAATTACAATGTATATTATGAAAGTATTATGTTGGTATCAGCTGCTCGATCACGTCCATGAAATGCAAAGACAATCTTCATTTTCCCCCATCATTATTGGCAATCAGTTCAAAGCATCTGTGCTTGCCGTTCTAATCTAAGCAGAAGAATCAGTTCACGGATATATGTTCATAGATTGTAAAAGTCTTCAACGGATTGCAAATGCTGAGAATGAGTTTCAGCAGCCCAAGCATTCTAGTACACAAGCTTAAGATTAGCATTTGAGTTCCATATTGAAATGCACACTCTGGAGTCCATAAGCACCTCAGGGACTAGCATTTTGTTATATCCATAACATGGCCTCCAATGTAAACAGTCTGTATCAGTTCATCATGCTGTAGAGATACGCATGTCCAAGTTGTCACACTTGAAATAGTTCAAAGTCTGTTCCTCATACACGGGGAAAACTTTCCATAATGCTAGATAGAAATAGAAAAATGTCTACACATGGTTGAGTCCGGTGTGATCTCACACAAAAGTCGAGTTGGGTGAGATATCATTCACCAATGCTGGGCAGATGAAGACACTCCCAAAAGAGCATGAATCAGATTCGGTTTTACAACGATAAAATCCTGTGGTAGACCTTGCTGAAACAAGTGTGATCCTCCATTGTCCAATGCCACACAAGAGACAAACGTCCAAACCGAATCTGAATGAAAGACGAATGTGTTTAAGAGAGGTCTGTGCGACGGTAGTAAAGCAGGTATGGCATTCTGGGTGCTGTATACTTGAGCACGCTGCCGACTTGGACTGCCTGTATACGTGCATCGTCGATGTGCACCCAGCTACTGATGCCGGGGTGGAACACGTCTGTTGTGTAGTGGCCGCCGGTGGAGTTTTTACCATGGTGAAATACAACTGCAATCAGACAGAGACATGACCATGAAAATGTACGTGAGTGAGTGAGTGAGAGAGAGAGAGTTGTTTGACGCAGCACTCAACAATATTCCAGTTATATAACCGCAGTCTTTAAATAATCATGTCTGGACCAGACAATCCTGTGATTGACATCATGCGCATTAATCTACACCTTGATCTTCACCATTGTTAACATGAGTGAGTGAGTGAGTCAGTTTTCTTTTATGCTGTTTTGAACAGTATTTCAGTTATACCACAGCTTGTCAGCTTGATGAGCGTGGAAAGCCCTAATTGATACAGGACGTTTATACCCTTCAGCATGGATTGGAGCTGACAAACCTAGAAACATTATCAGGGCAAAGGATATGAACCCATAGTTATTTCTCCATTTGGAGAGGCTGCAGTTTAAACGGTTCATCCCATAAATGTTTGATCTGATTGTGATCACACAAGTGATTGATATGATGAGCAATGATCAACACCATCAGGGTATAATGACATAACCGAGCCTAACCACCAGTGCCTATGTTGCCTCTAATGACAAGCGTAGGTTGCTGAAAACCTATTCAAACTCAAGATTCCTCAAGGAGGAAATTGATAAAAACAGGGAAATTTAAATATGCATGAAAAATCAATATAATAATAACAATAATGATAATGATAATAATGAAACAAACATGAAATACTCATATCCCCCACCAACATCACATGTCCGGTTGTGTACAAAGCAAGAATTATTGTATGTTTTTCAAGATCTGCTCCGGAAACGAGCACTTCCGCCATTTTTTGTTAAAGTCGTTGCTGTGGAAAATCGAAAAAATAAATTTGTCAAAAATCCCAAACTTTCAAGGCACCAGTCCAACACTAGACCTATCTTTGTGTCAAGTTTGGTTAAGATATCTCTCATGGTTTTTGAGTTCTGCTACGAAAATGAAATGTGATGGACGGACGTACGGATTCCTGGCGGGGGATAATCATATTACAATCATATTAAATAAGTACAAAAACAGATTATGACTCCGAGAATAGTATTTCAACTGACCAGCAAACAGCTTGTAGGACCGATGCGTATGTTGGATCTTAGCCTTGGCTGTTGATGACAGCAGATCTGTTGAAAGACAAAATGCATGAGTGAGTTATCCTCGACCCTGGACCCACTTGGCAACAAAGCTTCGTTTCAGAAGTGTTGCCACCATCTCCATCTGTCCTATCAACTAAGCACAAGATATATCTCGATCATGAATGGAATCTGACTTTAGGCAAAGATATGGCATCAAAGGGGTCCTGGTTAACAGAATGGAAACACAATACACTGGAAAACAAGGATGGAGTTGGATTGAACACGGCTTTGAATAAGATTACAGTATATCGACATTATAGTATAATGACATACAGGTATTGTCAGCTTGGGAAACCTATGGTCTGAGGGTCATAAGTGGAACTTTTCTTGGATTCAAACCCACATCTAGCTGAGGGATGCAACTCTACATAAAACGCTGTCAATGACCTTCAAGTGGATCAATCTGACTTTGTCTGGTTGTGGTTCAACTCCACATTGGGCAATATTCTATCTACATGACAGCAGCCTGGACCAATTTCAAACCTTGAATTGTGGTTTCCTCACCACCTCCTGGAACCTACCTTTAGTGATGTTGAGGTCAACGTCAAAGTCAATTTTCTTCAACAGTTTCTGGCTCCCCCCTGTCTTGTCGAAGACAAAACACTTAAGGTGGAGGATGAGGATGGGCGGCAGCTCTTCCAGGCTGATCTTCTTCACCACTTCCACCTGGGGACACAAACAGTCAGGCTGAACATACTGAACACTACCTCCACCTGGGGACACACACAGTCAGGCTGAACAAACTGAACACCACCTTTAATGCAAGTCACAGTCAGGCCGAGCAGACTGAACCCAACCTCCACCTGGGGACACAAACAGTCAGGCTGAACAAACTGAACACCACCTTTAATGCAAGTCACAGTCAGGCCGAGCAGACTGAACCCAAGCTCCACCTGGGGACACACACAGTCAGGCTGAACAAACAGAACACCACCTTTAATGCAAGTCACAGTCAGGCCGAGCAGACTGAACCCAACCTCCACCTGGGGACACAAACAGTCAGGCTGAACATACTGAACCCAACCTCCACCTGGGGACACACACAGTCAGGCTGAACAAACAGAACACCACCTTTAATGCAAGTCACAGTCAGGCTGAACATACTGAACCCAAGCTCCACCTGGGGACACAAACAGTCAGGCTGAACACACTGAACACCACCTTCAATGCAAGTCACAGTCAGGCCGAGCAGACTGAACCCAACCTCCACCTGGGGACACAAACAGTCAGGCTGAACAAACTGAACCCAACCTCCACCTGGGGACACAAACAGTCAGGCTGAACACACTGAACACCACCTTCAATGCAAGTCACAGTCAGGACGAGCAGACTGAACACGACCTCCACCTGGGGACACACACAGTCAGGCTGAACATACTGAACACCACCTTTAATGCAAGTCACAGTCAGGCTGGGTACACTGAACACGACCTCCACCTGGGGACACACACAGTCAGGCTGAACACACTGAACACCACCTTTAATGCAAGTCACAGTCAGGCTGGGTACACTGAACACGACCTCCACCTGGGGACACAAACAGTCAGGCTGAACACACTGAACACCACCTCCACCTGGGGACACACAGAGTCAGGCTGAACACACTGAACACTACCTCCACCTGGAGACACACACAGTCAGGCTGAACACACTGAACACCACCTCCACCTGGGGACACACAGAGTCAGGCTGAACACACTGAACACTACCTCCACCTGGGGACACACACAGTCAGGCTGAACACACTGAACACTACCTCCACCTGGAGACACAGTCAGGCTGAACACACTGAACACTACCTCCACCAGGAGACACAGTCAGGCTGAACACACTGAACACTACCTCCACCTGGAAACACACACACAGTCAGGCTGAACACACTGAACACCACCTCCACCTGGGGACATACACAGTCAGGCCGGGTACACTGAACACGACCTCCACCTGGGGACACAGTCAGCAAGGTGAAGAGGGAGAGATGGAGGGACAGACACATACCTCCTGATTAGTCTTTGAGCACTGGTATCCCTGTACTGCCTCCTTGGTGACCAGTCCCTCCAGGGCGTCTCTCACTGTCCAGATCTTCTCATCCTGGATGTCCAGCTTTAGGGTGAAAAATGGCTCCAGTGTGGCGGACTCTTTGGACGCAGCCTTGTACACAGCAGAGCGGATGTGTCCCGCAAATATGTCAGCAATTGGAGTCTTGGCAAAGGCAGCCTATAGAATAACAAAGAGTTCACAATGTCTCCATATACAAACCAGTGAGAATAATTCTAAATCCACAAAGAACATTCCCAAATCTACTTCCAATCAGTTATGACACATTCAGTATTAATGAACTGCATCACATTTGCCGGTTAACATTCAAGTCTGACCCAAGCTAACCAACAGTTGATGGCCTGATTGTTTCAACTGACCCAGTGTGTGTGTGAGAGGATGGGGGTGGCAGGGGACTAGGTTTCAACTGACCCAGTGTGTGTGAGAGAGGATGGGGGTGGCAGGGGACTAGGTTTCAACTGACCCAGTGTGTGTGTGAGAGAGGATGGGGGTGGCAGGGGACTAGGTTTCAACTGACCCAGTGTGTGTGTGTGAGAGGATGGGGGTGGCAGGGGACTAGGTTTCAACTGACCCTGTGTGTGTGAGAGGATGGGGGTGGCAGGGGACTAGGTTTCAACTGACCCAGTGTGTGTGTGAGAGAGGATGGGGGTGGCAGGGGACTAGGTTTCAACTGACCCAGTGTGTGTGTGTGAGAGGATGGGGGTGGCAGGGGACTAGGTTTCAACTGACCCAGTGTGTGTGTGAGAGGATGGGGGTGGCAGGGGACTAGGTTTCAACTGACCCAGTGTGTGTGTGAGAGGATGGGGGTGGCAGGGGACTAGGTTTCAACTGACCCAGTGTGTGTGAGAGGATGGGGGTGGCAGGGGACTAGGTTTCAACTGACCCAGTGTGTGTGAGAGGATGGGGGTGGCAGGGGACTAGGTTTCAACTGACCCAGTGTGTGTGAGAGGAAGGGGGTGGCAGGGGACTAGGTTTCAACTGACCCAGTGTGTGTGTGTGAGAGGATGGGGGTGGCAGGGGACTAGGTTTCAACTGACACAGTGTGTGTGTGAGAGGATGGGGGTGGCAGGGGACTAGGTTTCAACTGACCCAGTGTGTGTGTGTGAGAGGATGGGGGTGGCAGGGGACTAGGTTTCAACTGACCCAGTGTGTGTGTGTGAGAGGATGGGGGTGGCAGGGGACTAGGTTTCAACTGACCCAGTGTGTGTGTGTGAGAGGATGGGGGTGGCAGGGGACTAGGTTTCAACTGACCCAGTGTGTGTGAGAGAGGATGGGGGTGGCAGGGGACTAGGTTTCAACTGACCCAGTGTGTGTGTGAGAGGATGGGGGTGGCAGGGGACTAGGTTTCAACTGACCCAGTGTGTGTGTGAGAGGATGGGGGTGGCAGGGGACTAGGTTTCAACTGACCCAGTGTGTGTGTGAGAGGATGGGGGTGGCAGGGGACTAGGTTTCAACTGACCCTGTGTGTGTGAGAGGATGGGGGTGGCAGGGGACTAGGTTTCAACTGACCCAGTGTGTGTGTGTGTGAGAGGATGGGGGTGGCAGGGGACTAGGTTTCAACTGACCCAGTGTGTGTGAGAGGATGGGGGTGGCAGGGGACTAGGTTTCAACTGACCCAGTGTGTGTGTGAGAGGATGGGGGTGGCAGGGGACTAGGTTTCAACTGACCCAGTGTGTGTGTGAGAGGATGGGGGTGGCAGGGGACTAGGTTTCAACTGACCCAGTGTGTGTGTGAGAGGATGGGGGTGGCAGGGGACTAGGTTTCAACTGACCCAGTGTGTGTGTGAGAGGATGGGGGTGGCAGGGGACTAGGTTTCAACTGACCCAGTGTGTGTGAGAGGATGGGGGTGGCAGGGGACTAGGTTTCAACTGACCCAGTGTGTGTGAGAGGATGGGGGTGGCAGGGGACTAGGTTTCAACTGACCCAGTGTGTGTGAGAGGATGGGGGTGGCAGGGGACTAGGTTTCAACTGACCCAGTGTGTGTGTGAGAGGATGGGGGTGGCAGGGGACTAGGTTTCAACTGACCCAGTGTGTGTGTGAGAGGATGGGGGTGGCAGGGGACTAGGTTTCAACTGACCCAGTGTGTGTGAGAGGATGGGGGTGGCAGGGGACTAGGTTTCAACTGACCCAGTGTGTGTGTGAGAGGATGGGGGTGGCAGGGGACTAGGTTTCAACTGACCCAGTGTGTGTGTGTGAGAGGATGGGGGTGGCAGGGGACTAGGTTTCAACTGACCCAGTGTGTGTGTGAGAGGATGGGGGTGGCAGGGGACTAGGTTTCAACTGACCCAGTGTGTGTGTGAGAGGATGGGGGTGGCAGGGGGCTAGGTTTCAACTGACCCAGTGTGTGTGTGAGAGGATGGGGGTGGCAGGGGACTAGGTTTCAACTGACCCAGTGTGTGAGAGAGGATGGGGGTGGCAGGGGACTAGGTTTCAACTGACCCAGTGTGTGTGTGTGAGAGGATGGGGGTGGCAGGGGACTAGGTTTCAACTGACCCAGTGTGTGTGAGAGAGGATGGGGGTGGCAGGGGACTAGGTTTCAACTGACACAGTGTGTGTGTGAGAGGATGGGGGTGGCAGGGGACTAGGTTTCAACTGACCCAGTGTGTGTGTGAGAGGATGGGGGTGGCAGGGGACTAGGTTTCAACTGACCCAGTGTGTGTGAGAGAGGATGGGGTGGCAGGGGACTGTTCCAAGTGACCTGTGTGAGAGGATCTGGGTGGGAGGGGACTAGGTTTCAACTGACCCTGTGTGTGAAGATGGGGGTGATGGACACAATGTTTCAACTGACCCTGAGTGTGAGGATGGGGGTGGGAGGGGACTAGGTTTCAAATGACCCTGTGTGTGAAGATGAGGGTGAGGGAAACAATGTTTCAACTGACCCTGCGTGTGCGGATGCTCTTCTTCTTGGGCCCTACTTGTTGCCAGGAGTCCTCCTCGTCCTCACTTCCGTCCTCGTCATCCACGTAGCCGTTCTCCTGCACATCCTCTGGCTCCCGTTCTACAAACACACGTACAGCCTCCAGCAAACATATTCAACTCCAACATAACCTGGAATTACGTGAACTTCTTACTTGACTTATTCAGATCGAGATTTGTAAACATCTGGACCACACAAACTAGTGATTAATATTACAGCGACAATCCACGATGTTGGGGTATTATGACAAAGTAAACTGAGTCAACCGAGCCTTGAGCCATGGACAAATGTCAAAGGGAGGTAACTCACCACCTCCACTGGCCAGGTTGATGGTTGCAGACATTTCCTCATGTAGCCCGTCCAGGATACAGTTTAGAAACTCCTCTGCATCCTCTTGTTTGCCAAGCTGCAACACAGAAACATCAGAGTCTTTGGCCTTAGCACTAGGCAAGTCATATAAATGGGAGATAACTCTGACAGGTGACTTGGTGGAGAGTTCACCTGGCAGAGAGGGTGCAGCCTGGCTGAATCTCTGAAGCTACCCCAAGAATCCTGTTGCTTGTTTGTGGTTTAATGCCGCACTCAGCAATATTCCAGCTATATGATGGCAGTCTGTAAATAATCAAGTCTGAACCAGACTTAATGAGCATCCAGCCACGCAATTAAGATATGCATCAACCACATCAGCGAGCCTGACCACCCGATTGTTAGTCGCCTCTACGACAAGCATAGTCGCCTTTTACGGCAAGCATGGGTTACTGAAGACCTATTCTACCCCGGATCTTCACGGGTTCAAGAATCCTAATCAGGTTCAGGTAATGTAACTGACAGTGATGACTTACCTTGAATGATGGGTTTGCCTCGATAACCTGCAGCATCTGGTAGACATTGTTCGGCTCAAAAGGTGACCCTGGGATGAGCTCTGGAGCCTTCTTGCCCCCACGGGCTGAAAATATATTCCATATTATTAATAGGGCTGGTGATTTAGATCGATAATCGTAATTATCATCGATGGAAGAAGGTTGTGACGATTATCGATATGAATATAATGCTATCGATAATGACATGTATTTTTTCGACAAATAGAACGACGACGCCATTACGTGTTGTTAGTGGGTAATTACAAATGTAGTCACTGGCATCTAAATGCGGAGTCAGGATTTTAGAAAATATGTATATTTTCGAAATAGTATGAAGTATCATGATTAAAATAGGTTTCATAATACTTTATTTCTTAAAAAGAATTCTTCCCATTCTATTTCATAAAATTTCAAATTTTATGTCTATTTGGTAACTACGTATTCCAGTCTGTTTCGATTTTTTCAATGATCATAGTTTTCGTTTTTCCCGGTATTCTCAACTCACAGCCCACGTGGGGTTTGACATTTTTACGATATGGCAGCAAAAATTCCTAATTTCCCCGTTATAATCGCAGGATGTTTGTTTAATATCAGTCTGCCACCCAATCTATTACGTATCACACCTGTGAACCCAGAACAACCTACTACGTAGCACACACCTGTACCCACCTGACATTCACAATGGCGGAATATTTGATGATTTTTTTATCTGAATAGTTTTGTGAATACTGTACATAAATGACAAACGACTATATCAGGTGAAATTACATTTAATTTCTCAATTACCGTATTTTCTTGAGTACAGTGCGCACCCATGTATAATGCACACCTCCCTCTAGCGGGTTCAATATTTTGGAAAAAAAAATTTTGAATATTATGCGCAGAAAAAAATTCACCGTACCCTTTCAGCAAAGTCCGGCACACGAACGGGTGATGAGAAACTTCGTCAGTACAAATTTGAAATTTGAGATAAAAAATCACCAGACATGTTTATTTACCGTTAAATAGTATTTATTGTTCTGCTAGGCATTGTTTTATATCCAGGGATTAAGATTACCTTGTGTATTTTCTCGTAAACTAAGCCGGAAACAGCAATCAGCTGTACACACGTTTTCTTGGAATCGACCGGTGATTCGGTCAAGACACACCCAATGATATAACTTAATAGGATTTTTAATGCAAGGATCGGCAAAAATTGTATATGAAACTATTTTTTTTTAACAAGAATAATATATTCCATTATTTTCTTAATTATATGCAGCCTTTACTAAACATATTTAAAATAGATAATAACCCTAAGAGAAGCAGCTGATCGCTATTCCCGGGTATTATTTTTTACATGGACCCAGTCTGACCAGTCACCGTCAAGGCTCACGCGCACGTGATCGCGAGAATTTCATGTTGACATAGAATCGTCAAACAAAAACAAATATGACTTTTAACGAGTCAAAGTATGTCATTTATGATATATGTATCCATTCTCTGTCAACTAAAGTTCGTTTCAAGACGTCAATAGGGGTATTCTGACCGTGGTTGCTGTTAATAACGGTGAGTTGTGCGATCTTCCGATCGCTTCACACACGATTTCGCCGAAATTAATAAAAACAATATTAAAAGGAATACTCAAGGAAATACGGTATTCTCACTTTATACAAATAATAATTGTCTTTGACGACATGAATCGTAAACTCAGATTGTTCATCGCTAAAAATGCGATGTAACGTGCGTATTGTTGAAACACTGAGTCTCCGGAGAAGTGAATTGCCATTTTTCTGTAATGTCATTTTACCAAAATAGAATTCTTTGATATTTATCGATTATTGATCGATATGTGACTACCGATAATCGATCTGAGTAATCCATATCGATAACCAGCCCTAATTATTAATGGTGAGTGTTGCATGTTTATTGTTCAATGCCATACTTATTAACATTCCAGCTATACAACAGCGACCTGTAAGCCGTCAAATCTGGACCAGACAATCCAGAGATTGATATGAGTAATGATTAATGCAGTCGGGGTATGTTGCTACGCTATCAACCAAATCAGTGATCCTGAACACCTATCGCATGTATTCAGTATTACAAGTTTGTTTGTTGTTTAACACTGCACTCAGCAATATTCCAGCTATATGACGCCGGTCTGTAAATAATAGTTTGGACCAGACAATCCAGTGATTGACATCATGAGCATCGATCCACGCAATTAGGGTGCGATGACATGTGAGCCTGACCACCCGACCCTGTAAGTCGCCTTTCACGGCCAGCATGGGTTGCTGAAGACCTATTCTACCCTGGATCTTCACGGGTCAGTATTAAAAGAAGAACTCCTGATTCTTTCATATTACTGTAGTTAATACGTTATTTACTCTACCTTGTGGACGTGTCCAAGGAGAAAACTTCTTGGAAAATGCAATTCTGAAAAACAACAAATTTGTCAAGATTACAGATTATGTGTTACTGACAACAGATAAGTAAATGGACTAAATAATATTATTTAGAAAGCGAGAGAAAGAAGCTTATATTCCAATCTTACAACATATCAGTGTTATCACACAGTTTAAATTAATCACTGAGAGCATGAGCAATGACATGTCTTCAAAGGAAAAAAGGCACAATCAGCTATATTAATATAACCGTGGAGAGAGAGAGTAGAACATAAGGCCCATTTTAGGCCTACTTTCTGAATACTTCCTCAACCTAGTGAAACTGTTAAACACACCTATCTTCAAACTAAGAAAATCTCTTTCTACTTACAAGCTGTCTAGAATCGGAGTGGAGCTGGGACCTCTGATCAGGGGAGCGAACTCACACAGCTTCCTCATCAGCTGGAAGAAGGGAGGGCACGCCACAAGAGCTTGTAGTGTCTGGACAGGTTCAGGATGTCAACAAACAGCTAGTGATGTCTTCAGTATCAGGCACCGTCTTTAGCCTCTAGTCAAAACACCCAGTCTACAGTAACACTTTTAGCAGTAAGTCGTTACGATAAAACTAGAACTCTTGTTCAAAACAAAATCTACTACAAACTGAGGTAGACTCAAAGATTTGCTTCTGCACCAAAGGCATATTTCATTTAATTTTATTTAACTAGATTCAAAGCATTTAAATAATTGTATTGATCAACTGTTTTCTGAAACCCTGATCATCTGCCATCTTGTCAATAAGATAATAGACCAGTTATATAACATACTTCCTTATCATCATGATTATAGTGTGTGTATTTCTTGTTTGATTCCTTACTCAGCTATCTTGGAATGGTGGCTTGTAAATAATCAAGTCTGGACCAGGCAATCCAGTGATTGATATTACGAGCAATGATCCATGCCATCGGGGTACGATGACAAACGACCAACAAATCATCAAGTCTGATCGCCTGAACAAATAAGTCACCAGTGACAACCAGCATGGGTTGTGGGGAACCAATTCTAACCCGGAGTCCCCACATGGACACTTATTACAGACTATTGCCAAGGATACAGCATTTATATAGCACCAGTTTCCCCGGTTGATGAGGCCGCGTGGTTGCAGTGCCACAGAGATGTGGTTTATCTTCAGGGTTTTCAACATGCCTGCAACATAAACATTCATAACATCAGAACATACATTGTAGTGAGTTTTTAACAGTATTCCAGTTATATCACTGCGTGTAAGCTTAATGTGGAAGGAAAGCCCAAAGTGATGCAGGTCTCAGACATTTAGCACTTTGGTGAAACCCACAAGCATGGGTATGGTGCTGACAAACCTAGAAAAATAATCAGGGTGAACCAGGATTTGAACACATTTTGCTTGAAGGATACATCAGAGGAGCAGACATAGGGGCATCATTATTATAACTTAACAATCACATAAGATGAATCTGTAAAAAAAAGTCTTACTGAAATGTATTTTGTACAATGATTTCCTGATAAAAGATTAAGCAAGAATTGTGTTCAACTAACTGAATGGTCAAATTGGTAGCCATTGCTACAACATCTTCAGAATGGCTAGAAACTCCAACAAAGTCTTAGAAACGAATTTGTGTTTACACTAGTTCGCTAAAATGACAGAAACGTTAAGGTGTACAAATAAATGTAAAAAAAGCTTCATGACTTTTACTAGTCTCGGACTAGGAGACTGCGTTAACACTAACAAAGCCACTTGAAATTCTAGTAGCCATAAGATGAACAATGATAAACTTACATTAACAATGATTAAGTTAGAAGTTAGTGCCATTCCCCTCACAACAATTGTCACAAGGTGAGGAGTAGTTTACCTGCAGTCAGCCAAGTAGAATATTTGCAATGCCTCCTCTTTGGGCTTGGTCCTTCTAGTGTTTTGCTAAAATGGCAACGTTTTGTCCTTTTCCGAAGCCCTGGCATGGCGCAGGTTTACTGAGACAGGTACAACGTTCTAATGCTGACAGTGGTCGAGTCATGGTTTATATACCAACCTACCATGCTGGTTGTCTCCTCCCTAGTTACAAACACTGGGCACATACAGCTGACATAGCAGGGTGACATCGCCGTTCAAAAATACCATCCAGTAATATGGGATTTATTTTATCTCAAACTGGTTTGTATATGATCCTAAAGACACATTTCCTCCTACATATGCTGAGACTGCAAATTGTGACCTCATCGTTTCAAAATAACATCCAATGATAGGGGCTTATATAACAATTGGGATCTTTCTGGATTGAACATGATCACAAGGTTGTATAATTGTCCGTATTTCTGCTGACACTGCCCAGCTGTCAACTGTGACGTTAACTTTTTAAATAGCATCCAATGAGATCTGACTGAGGAAGAATGAGAGCATATTTTCTGATACATGATCACATGTGATTGCTGAACTTGCTATTTTCTTGCTGACAAGTCAACATGCCCAATAAGCGACCTCATCTTTCCGAAATAACATCATCTGACCTTGAACTTTTGTCCACATACAGCACACTGATTGGGCTAGAACTGATCATACGTCTCGTTCTTTGAGCTATAGATTGTGCTGAGGTAAGGAGTGACCTCACCTTTCCTAAATAACAACCAATCATCTTGAACTGATCACAATATACTCAACACTGATAGGATTATAAGTGATCATACATCTCATTCTTTGAGCTATAAACTGTGCTGAGGTAAAGATTGACCTCATCTTTCCCAACTAACACCTAATCACCTTGAAAGTACTTCACACAATTGGATAATATGGCTTATTCTTTGTGCTATACATTGTGCTGAGGTAAGAAGTGACCTCGTCTTTCCCAACCAACATCTAATCATCTTGACAATACTACACATTCAGTATTACGATAAATTCATTGACTATTTTGTATATCATATTTATTGTACTTTTAGTATTCACAAAGTGAATTGTAATCTGTGAAAGGTCTACCTTACATGCAAAGGTAATGGACACTTTCAAACTTCAAACACATTTGCTTATTCGTAAGTATTAATCATCTGCAATGTCTTGGCAGCCTATGTGTAAACTGGATATTATTGAGCATGATGTAGTTTCTTCACATTGATCAGAGTTTTCATGTAATATAATTACTTCCTGTTTTCTTTCTCATATAATCTTTTGTTTCATTTCTGTCCAATTTTGGTTTCTTAGCCTCTTAAAATTAGTAAAAAAATGGACAAGTTGAGAAACCAACTGTTGAATGGCTGTATGATTTCCCCGAATCATTTCATCCAATCAAAATGCTTTTCTTTACTACAGGGCACATTTACGAGGTATGAAACATTTTACAATCGAAAAATCAGACTAAAATGCACCATTAGACTTTACATACAGTGTAATACGTCTTTGCAATAATCAAACCTAGATATCAGAGTTAGCAGCTGAAGAGTCATTATGAGGTTAGAATTTCAACTAGCCAGGTGGGCTTGCAGTTTTCAAATACTATCATGACTATTAATGACACAGTCCAGCATAATTTCACTAGCCAAAGGCTGCCGGGCTTTCAGTTGATGACTGCAATATTCAGAAACTACAAATACTGTAGGCCTTAGAATAGGTCGCCACTTTTAGCAATATTCTGGCGATATCATGACGGGGAAGATGAGAAATGGGCTTCACACGTTGAACCCATGTGGGGAATCAAACCCAGGCCTTTAGCATGATGACTGAAGACAATAATCACTTGACTACCCCTCCACCCTAATCATCAATGAATCAAAAGCACTAATAACGGGAAGATGCAATCTTGTCTATCAAGCTAGTTAGTAAATTCAACAAATGTCACCGACTGAAAATGGAACTATACTAGAAAAATAATTTGGTTTACAAATATCAAATGATATTCACACACACACTCTCACACTCACACACACACACACACACACTGTTAGCCATCTGCTGACACTCCTGTGAATGTTCTCTTATGGGATTGTCAACAATATACCAGCTATATAATTTAAGACTGGACCTGACAAACCAGTGACTGAAATCATGAGCAACAATACATGCCATGAGTCTGATCAACTGATCCTAGTTAATCTGGGCCCAGTTCCATACAAGTGCGTATTAGAAGGGTAACGCTATTTTTCAGGGCATTATCATTTGCAGAAGCCCGAGGTTTTCTATTAACTGCCCGACGAAGGAGGGCAGTTGAAAAGACCGAGGGCTTCTGCAAATGATAATGCCCTGAAAATGAGCGTTACCGTTATTATAGCTAAAATGGATGGAATTTGTTATCAAATAAAAAGAAACAACAACATCGGTTTTGAAACACTTACTGCAATCAACACGAATCTCACTGACCACATTTTACAAATATGGAAACGTCATAGAACAAATCAGATGACGTCACTATAATACGTGACGTCATTTTCTCTACCCTATGACGTCACCTAACAACGGGCTTGATAATGGCCCGTCGTCAAGCAATATGAGGGCATTATCAAGTTACAGTGGCCCGCTCATTTCTGATAACGTGCGGGCGGTTTAATGATAATTCTATCCATTTTAGCTATAATATACATTAATGAATAAAAAATGTCTTTTGTACATTGATCAATCGGAAGGGTGCTAAATGGGATTGTTCACTCGCCAATATATTCAAATATCGCTGTGGAAGCTTATAAGAGCTGGGCGCTTATTACGTCGAATACAGTATTTTCTTACCTCCCAACTGTGCAGCAGCAGAATCCTCTCCAACAGGTACTGGCTGTTTTGTGGTTTCCTCCACCTTTGTCTCTGGAGCTTGAGTTGGCTGTGGGCTCGGTTCTCGTTTGGTATCATCCACATATGTCACGATGGCCGAACTTCCTTTAAACAGTCCGGCCCAGGACTTGGGCTTCGGTGGAGAGGTGGGCTGTGGCACTGGGATGGAGTCCTGCTTTACTGGAAGGTTGGGGTCATTCGGAACACTGGCATCAGGAGAAGCGTTGGCGTTATTATCCTTGGCTACACTACTGCTAACTGAAACATTTTCAACTTGCTGTCCTAAGGTGTTGACAATGCTAGAAGTCCTGTCAGGAGGGCCACTGTTTTTACTGGACTGAGGGCTAAGAGTCTGTTCTGGGACTGGACCATGTTCAGTTTGAATATGTTGAATCAGCTCGGTCGATGTCGACACTGGGACCTCGGACCCGGGATCACTGTACACAAAGTCAAACTCGGCTGGGGCACTCGATGCTGCTTCCCTCTTGGCTTGCGGAACATTTGGGGGGCTCACTTGAACAAGTTCATACACTTGGGAGCTGACAACAGGACCATTGCACAGCACAGTTCCAGGAGGGGAGGTGACTATGTGAGCTCCTTCATTCTGAGTATAGATTGTCTCCATTGGCACTGGAACAGGCTGAGTGTGGTATGGCGGCCCCAGGGCAATTCCGTTGACGATGGGGGCCACGGGGTAGGGGGCGACCACAGCTGGGACTGTGGGGACAGGGAACATGCCAGGGTACTGTGGAACAAAGATGGGGGTACCGGGGATAGTTGGGACTGCATCCACAGGGATGAAGCCAGACTGAATGTCAGCATCTACAACACAAGACAAGATCATGCCAGTGTATAAAATTACCCAAAATGTCAATCTGAAAACCGGACTGGCAACATTGCAAAGTTACCACACCAGAACAAATGTTGTCAGTCGAGAATTTTCTAGACTAATCAACAAAAGAAACAAAAGGGTAAACATAAGAATAGTACTGTTTAATATTAGTTCTAAAAATAACAATAAACTGGTGGATTGTCAACTTTGTAACTTTAACCCCCGATCATCAGGGCCCCGTTCCACAAAGTGATCGTAGCGCTAAGATGATCTTAACTCCCATTCTTTAGCATAGACTTACGACAGTCGTAGCTCTACGATCGCTTTGTAGAACGGGGCCGATATGTGCAACTTTTCATAATAGACTGTCTTGGACTGTTGGGCAGGCAGGTATTTTAAACACTGATCATGCACTGGTTTACCGTTACATCAGCCCAACTAGGGGACTTCTAGGTCTGAACAAAGTGAGGGAGAGTAGTTCTACACACTGTTGTCAGCATTTTTCCGGCAATATTACGGTGGGGGACCCCAGAAATGGAAATCACACATTACTTATGTGGGGAATCAAATTGGGCCTCAAGTTAGGCGTAAAGAAATATATATAGGACCAAAAGAAAACAGCTACCAACCATTTTTCAAATCGTTTTGTTTTGATTTTCAGGGATTTACCTGGGTCTATCTATCTTCAAGTCCACAGGAATAGAAATTACCAAAATAGAAATGTAAGCGACAGTTTTGATTAATTCAAATATTCAAATAGCGATACACAGAACTATAAATGTAAATGATTAGTGTCCATTTTCAATGAAAAGGCATATAGTTTCGCATTTGGTAAAATCCCAATCTCATTAAAATCAGATTAAAATCAAGAAATCGACATTGGCCAATCAGAAGGCAGCTTTCTCGAGCTTTACGACACTAGTTTCCAACTGGCGACTATGCTTCGAAACATATTTTGATGTATTCTCGACTAAAAATTTTAAAACTGATAAGAACATTCTGGAATTTCTTATAGATGGTCTAGATTGTATGGATATAATCATAAAACGTGTAACTGTCGTTCGGAATACCCCGTGTTAAATATATCGTGGTTGTATGATTAGAAAACACATTCCGACTGTCACTTTCATGATCTGGTAAGCGACGCACTGATTGGTTTGATGAAAGGTCGTTCTGACGTGACCCGTAATGGGATGTCCTCAGATCTTTGTTTAGCGATAGCGAGAACTAAGATCTGATTTTAATGAGATTGGTAAAATCCTGAACTTTGCATTGGTGCTCCAGTAGCAAAACGTTCCTTACCTTCAGGGTAGTTTGGGTCAGGACCATTCCATGGAAACTGGAGAAAAACGGTAACATGTCAACAACTGAGTACACAGGACAAACTGTCAATGTCAAAATTAACATGAATTGTTTGATAGGCATTTCTTAGAAGTTGACGGATGACAAAGTAGACACAATTTATGGATAACAACTTCTTTAATTTACTATAGTCAGGCATGAGAATGGACATTTTCCTTTTCAGCTGTAACTTCTTTGCAATGGAGCATGGTCCAACATTTGAGGGTGTTTATGGGGGAAGCCCATATTTCTAGTCATTAAAATTTGCGGAAACTTGCTGATCTGCGGAAGATTCTCATGCCTGTATAGTAACAATGTTACAGTATTTATCAATTATTACAGAGTTCATTCAGTATTGAAGGCCTCGTGGTCAAGAGTACAATTTCTTTCATATAACATGAGTACGAGAGTTGCATGTGGATGTATTACGTAATTTCTAAATATAAAAGTATATATTTATAAATAAAGCTATCTTTAATCCAGATTAATACTTCTGCTTAATGGTAAACTGGCAAATTTCTCTTTAGATAAAGAGCAAAATCTCTTATAACATTAACATTTTTGGGGGACATCAGGGAGGCAAATTTCTGTCTTGATGGACAATGATGAAAATAACGAGGAATTAAACTATCTCTGCTTTTCTTGAATATGGGCAAACTAGTGCAAAATGATATTCATCTTCTATTTCTAATAAATCACAATTATCACAGAACATTAATTCAGGTTGTATAAACTGTCTGCTGAAGCACTGTTTTTGTACTTTTAAACCATGTGCTAAACATCGAAATTTCGCCAAAACTCTCACAAGATCCTTATCAAAGCATGAGGTTAAATAGAGTTCAGTTTCCAATAGTGATTAATATGACGCATAATGGTACAAGAACACAGAATTGTTAATCTTCTGACTCCAGTACTGACGATTCATGAGGGCAATTTCATGTCTTATGGACCTTAGGGAGGTCATGTGACTCTTTCTTATCCATGAAAATACACATATAATTTTTAAATTTAATAAAGATTCTTATAGTTATACCACTGTCAAGTAAGAAGTTAACAAATTATCAATGAATCTACATCCTTAATGTACAGTATGTGTATTTTCATACAATGTATATGGTCATGTGTACCTCTAAGACTACTGGGCTTTAATTTGACCAAAACAAAGTTATCACATCTCTTTTGCAAAAAAAAAAGCCTGCCTTCACTACTGACCTCTACCCTCTTGGCTCCATCTGCACCATGGAGAATCTTGTAGACTCTCTCAAACGTAGCATCATCAAGGCCACTGAAATCTCCAAAGCTTACACTCTGAAAAAACAATGAAAAGCATAAATTGTTTTAACTCTAATTTAGTGAGTGAGTTGGGTTTAACCCAGCTTTTACTTGGATCAAAGAAGAAAGAACAAATGCATAGTGTGAGATTGGATAAGTTACTTTGTCTTGTCGTCTGCTTTAAACTGTGTTGACAACTCTGAAACAGAATAAAAATATAACCTATGTGTTGTTTTTTAGGAAAACACTGCCCTCGAGTAAAGTACCAAACTAAACTGTTGTCAAAATCATAACAATTGACGACAACCACTACGATTGACGAATATCGGCCATCAGACCTCATGACCTTCAGCAGACCGGAAACTGATGTCACCTTGTTTCCATGGTACTCACCATAACAGTTTGTGCAGCAAATATACCGAGGCCTCTCACTGACAAAAATTGGTTAAGTTCTTGTGCAATGATTCAAATTAAAGTTTTCCAGGTAAGACGAAGTGTACAGATAACTATGATGAATCAACATGAATTAAACCACATATTTACAGGAATTGTCAGGTCTGTTGTAAGTTGTTTATTCTTCTGGTCAGAATGGTAAGCCGTGACATGGACAATAAAATCTGTCATGGCGGCGCAGAACTGTGACATTACAGCCGTATTTAGGATGGACCCAGTGACCCTTCAAACATACACTCTCCCCATCTTGTGAACACAAGGGATACACAGTTTCTAAGCTCTCGTGGCTTTAGTGACATTGAGAACACTTCATTTGAATTTCACTGTCACCTCCATTTCCCATCATCGTCACTCACAAGCAGTGTATCACGATATGGCTGAAATATTACCAATGTGACGTAAAGCATTAACTCACTCACTCACAAGCAGTGTGTGAAGGTCAGAAGGTCAATGCTGAGTGAGTGAGTGAGTGAGTGAGTTAGGTTTTACGCTGCTTTTAGCAATATTCCAGCAATATCACGGCGGGGGACACCAGAAATGGGCTTCACACATTGTACCCATGTCGGGATTCGAAACCGGGTCTTCGGCGTGACAAGCGAACGCATTAACCACTAGGCTACCCGACCGCCCCAATGCTGAGTGAGGAGGATCTAATCTGGATGCTGTGGTTACTTTACTTGCTTTTTTTCCTGCTGTATTTTTGTTCTTTCAACCACTTGCCTTTGATTTCAAAGTTGTTTTGATGGGGGCTCTCTTCTGTTTCTTTGGCTGTTCTGTTGTTTGTTTGTTGTTTAAAGTTGCACTGAGCAATATTCCAGCTGTATGACGAAGGTCTGTAAATAATCGAGTCTGGACCAGACAATCCAGTGACTGACATGAGCATCGATCCATGCAATTGGGATGCAATGACATGCATCAACCAAGTCAGCGAGCCTGACCACCCAATCCCGTTAGTTGCCTCTTACAACAAGCACAGTCGCCTTTAACAGCAAGCATGGGTTGCTGAGGACCTATTCTACCACAGATCTTCACGGGTCTGGCCGTTTTGTAACCTCCAGATAGTCAGACACACCTGCAGAAATGTCAGATTCAGCAACAGACTTGCCACCTCACTACGATCCTATGTACAGATATTCTCTCTGAAGGTTTCTTCTTCTGGATGACTGGTAGTTTAGCAGTGAGAAAGTTACCATATGTCTGATGTTTGCTGAGGTCTGTAGTGAAAGCAGGAGGCCTGATATCACTGGTTTCGGCTGCTGTCAGTTCTTCCTGGCCTTGTGTAGATTTGTCATTATCTCCAGTATCAGAAGACTTGGCATATCGGGAAGGATAGAGATAACTCATATCTATTGCCGACGGGTCAAACTGGAATATTCAACACTTTAGAAAGAGCTTCTTCAGTTGTTAGATGAAAGTGCAAAAGTGTGAGCCTTACATGCAAGAGGTTGTGTTGTATCGGTTTACAACCCCGCCATTAGGTCTCTGCCACTTGCAAACTCCCCTGGAAAATCTTGGAGAAAGGACCAAAACAGCCAATGTCCATAGGCTGTAGTACGTGGGAAGTGTGTGGTAGAAGAGCGAACAAGATTATGCCATGTGAATTCGCCCGTGCAATCAAGTTTGGGGATATGTGTGACATGTGACATTCATAAAGAAGCAAAATCTTCCAATCATGTCTGCCTTTTTCTCAGGAAATGCAGTTTCCAAAAACATCAACAAATTTCGGAATTTTGCCTAGTCCTCCTTGAAACAGATACCAGGGTACTGTACTGTCAGTGCCAGGGATTCAGCCATCAAGTAATTTCTCATGTATGTGAGCACCTTTAAATATGAAAGAAGGGGAATCTGAATCCCCAAGGTGTTACTGATCCAATCAATGTCATGGTTGAGGAATTCTCAGAACAAATGTCAATTGAGTGAGTGAGTGAGTTTGATTTTACGCCACTTTTAGCAATATTCCGGCAATATCATGGCTGGGGACACCATTAATGGGCTTCACACATTGTACCCATGTCGGGAATCGAACCCGGGTCTTTGGCGTGAAGAGCGGACGCTTTAACCACTAGGCTACCCAACCGCCCCTAAATTTCAATTGGAGTGGACTGTGAAGAGTCAACTACATACAGTGGAGACGGAGACAGTGGGATACCTTCTCGTCAATGTTGTATATAGATTCTGGTCTTGATTTCAGTTCATACTCTGAAAGGATTTCGTCAAGTTCTATTAAGTAATTTGCGATCTTGTCTTCAAGATCTGACAGTTGTTTTGGCTCTGTGACCTTCAAATCTGGCCAATGTCCAAGAAATCTGTAAAACCAACGCATGGACAGTGATTTATCTTTAAATTTCTTGTTCCAACTTATGAAAGTCTGTGACAGGGCTGAAAACTTCTGATCGTTTGTATCTGTAAACGATTGAGGCCATGATGGAAATATGATCAGAAAGCTGACTTTCCTCAAACTGATTCAAAAGAGGGGCGGGGCCTGACTTGGTGGTTGGAATGTTGATTTTAGTGGTAACCCAATCTTTCAGAGTCTCTTCAGGCACAGAATACATTTGTACAGCCTTGTAGACAGAAATTCGAAATTGTCAACTACCTCACTGAATGCTTTATTGATGGCATCAAACATGTACATTGCGTGGAAAGCTTATGTCAAACATTCCATTCAAGAGAAATTCCGCCAGCAGACTACGATAGGAGAGACATGTTCCTTACTCATATCTTTGAATATATCGATGCTTAAAACTCTAACAAAAGTGCTTTAGAAGACAGAAGACATTAATTGTGTTGTCTTCTTAAGTTTTAAGGTAAATGTACATTGATATCCGTAATTCTATGCATTTTGTGCCGCTATTTCTTAGATGTATTGCGAGAAATACTGTGATAAAAAGACAACAAGATTTCATGTTATTTCACGACACCATGTTAAGGGAGGATATTGGTTTAAGGAAGTACTCTACTCTACTGGATTAAGGTACGGTTGGATGGGGAGAAGTTGTATCAATTTAGAGTTGCATTTTGGCTTGGGGCCAGTAGTCGCATTAATTTGGAGACACATTAATTTCAAGATTTACAGTATTTGTTTGGTAGTCCATAGAGTACTTGAGGTTTGTTGCAAAGGCAAGATTCCGTAAATCTTTATATTCAAACATTAAGTTTATGACAAGGCTAAAAAACAATTTGTGCCTAAACTTTGCACAGTGGGAAGTAATACAGGTCATACACATTATATAATTAACCTCTCTGTGGTAACCCACTCGACAATGTCAGGAGACCAATGTACATATCACTGGGAATCCATCCTAGGACCAGTGGATCCTGGCACAAGTACTCCCCATAACTGTACCTGGACGACTGGTACACCCATATCAAGGATCAATGAATGGGTGAGAAGTGGCAGCAATCATGACAATATTGCATTAATAACAGGCAATTTATCATGCATGTTTCTGTACACATACAAGCCTTGATCGATAATGAATGATTGAACTGATCAACAACAGATTATTTTAGCAGGTTCGATATGGTCTGCAAAATGATTGTTTGTTTATAAGAGCATAGACAGTAATATGAATGGCAGCCTGTATATTGACAGACATATTTTCAACAATGTCCTACACTGTTATGGTACAATAACATGAAATCAACAAGGCACTCAATCCACTTGACTGTTTTTCCTCTCCTATGCACCAATTCTAATTAGTGTGAGGTATGTTAGATTGAAACTATTTGTATCAGCGAACTGCATTTTGGGTACAGTATCACTCATGAGAGAGATGATAACTGTTCTTTACATGTATCATAACAAATTGTTAGTGGTTGGGTTAACACTCAACACAAGTGTTTTTTATTGTAATTTGTATGTTCATGTTCAAGAAGATAAAATTCTATTGTATGTAAATTTATTTGAGGCTGTAGCTTATGCAACACCTTAGTTGAAATATTAAGTGGTTCTCCAATGACTGCCAGGCATCCATTACTTGCCAGATTTGGAACCTTGTTAAAAAAATATCTGACGAAGCACTTATTATAGGAAATATGGTAGTTGCCTCCAATGACAAGCAAAGGTGTGCTGGGGGCCTAATCTAATCCATGTCCAAACTGCTAAATGACTATTATATTGTCATAGTTTGGAGTTGCTGATTGGGTTATCAATATTTCAATGCTACGAAAAGAAAGCAAGGATACTTGTTTTTATGAATCAAGCTACTTTCAATCTAAGCCTAACTTCTCTGGAAAAAATCAAAAGGAAGTATTTACTTTGACTGATTGACTGATACCAGATGTGTACATAACCAAAATATTGTGAAAGATTTTCGAAAACATAACATTTACCCCCAGATAAAGGCCTTAGAGGTCATGAATATACCCCGAAATAATAATCTGGGCCACAAACATGTATATATATGGATATACACCATTTCTCAAGGTATGATTGCACCATCTTTAGAAATAATACAATTTACCTGCTTACTTGGTAGACTTTATTTTCAAATGTTTCAAAAGATATGCGGAACAGAAGTAATTTCCATGGATATGAGCATTGTTAAGTGCAAATATGTTAAGCATGAGCGTAAACATGCTTTCTTTCCTGTGTGAATTGGCCTAAGGTCAGGGGCACTGCCTTGCAGTCCAGACAGACCGACCCAAACTGGGTTCGCAATGACCGTGCCGGTGGCTTCTCACTTCGAAATACGTTGAGAACAATGTCGTGGAGACACGTAATCAGATACCTAATAGATCTTTCGTACTGACGGTGTTCGAATTGAATTGATTACCTGATCTGATAACTCCATCTTGTTGAAAACATTTGCTCAATCATCCTATCAACTCATGCTTCGTCGCCATATTGGGGTCCTGTCACGCATGCGTCGGGGAGATAACTCTAGTTTACTGTTCGTTCAACAAGCGCCATTAAAATATGTATTCAATTCCAATGATGAAAAGAATGTTATCTTATTGCACCAACTGACGTACCAACCAATTAATTTCAGAAGCAATGTGTAGATCTAATCATATAATTTATGAATACACTGTCAAAATGTTGAATATTGAAGTTATTTTCGATGTGTTCAACGTTATTTTTGTGAAGGTCTCTGATGCAATAATTCTAAAACCATTAACAACAAACATAATCGTATATTGCAATACCGCTAGAGACGGCACTGTCGGTATCACCCATTCGTCAGATACCTTAAAATACCAAATACCACGGTTGAGTTCTCCCACTATCCAATGCTATCCAATATGGTAAAATGGATTAGTCCCGATTCTTATGTTTTCATGAAAAGAATTTTCACTTCTGTGTTTCCACACTATCAATAAGATATATAAATTATAGAAACACGGTTTTTTTCATGTTGATGCTGCTTCCCATTTGTTATGTCATTAGTTCAAGGTTCAATTTGCTTTAAAGTAATATATATTAAAGTAATCTATCAGTGTTCGAAATACCTGCCTGCCCGACCGTCCGAGACGGGTTGATTTCAACTCGGGCTGCCAGATTTTCAAATCCCCCTGCCCGACGGTCGGGTTATATTTCATATGTGACAATATTCTAAATATTTCCCGATGATAATCATTAATTCACATGTAAAGATGAATGATAAAATGTAACCAAAAAGAAACCCCGTTAGCTTATTCTGAAAAACATATGATTATAGTGGGCAGGCAGGTTTTGGTCAGGGCTGGCAAGTATTTCGGCTAGCCAGTCCTGTGGTCTGGCTGAAATTATTGGGAGTTTCATACCCTGAATATATACGAGGGATGGTCAAAAAGTTCATAGAACAAGGTGTAAGTGGAGTTTCATGTTTTTAATTTTCAATATAATCTCACTGCACGTATATATATTTAAAAAGCAATACACTTTAGAAATTTGTACATTATAAAATTTGTGACGTATTCACCCTGGTCTGCGCTTTGGTATTGATTATATTCAAGGTATCTCTTTAATAGATTAATTCTCACCAATTAAGATGTATGTGGTAATGATTTCTAATTTTCTTTACGTTAAATATAAATTGATATCATGCAAACTTGTATGTATGTTTTATAGACGTTAAAATAATAATTATGTCAAAACAAATACATTTATAAACTTAATTCATGATGAAAGCATGTGACAATATTGCTACTTTTGGAAATCAACCAATCTTCCTTTTGCTGTAGAGGTGATGTTGAAAGTGTACCTCTCTGCGTGTTAGTTAACTTTCTGTATAACAGCAATGTTTATGACCAATTCAGATATCTCTGACAAAAAATGCACAATTTAGTAAAACCAACGCCGCGGTATTCCATATATTGAATACTCAGCAATATTCCAGCTATGTTTTTTTGTAAATAATCGATTCTGAACCAGACAATCCAGTGATTGACATGACGAGCATCGATCTACGCAATGTGTGATGCGATGACATGCATCAACCAATTCAGCAAGCCTGACCACCCAATCCCGTCATTGTCGCCTTTTACGACATGCATAGTCGCCTTTTACGGCAAGCATGGGTTGCTAATTAGCTTTGTTCGGTCGAATGAGAACACATTGGTGTAACTCAATATTTTTATTTAGATAAAGCTTTTGTTGAAAATTAAATTATTTATATCGAACAATGTGTAATAATAGTCTCCCTTAGATGTCGATATCAATTATGGCCCACAGCATTTCACCTACACTCTTCAAAAAAGGAAACGCACAGGTAGCTTTTTAGTAAATTTATTGTACCTATTAAAGTCGATATATTTAATTTCATATCATAGATAAAATATGAAATTTTGGATCTCGATAGTCACATGTTGCCGTTGTACAAAGGCATTGAAAACTGTTCATTGTCATGTCACATTAGGCCACAAGGTTGCGCAGAACTCACTATCTCGTGTGACCGCCCCGGGCAGCAATCACGGCTCTGCCTCTCCTCGGCACTGACTGGATAAGTGTACGAATTCTGTCCTGCGGAATTCTGCGCCATTCTGCTTGTAACGCGTTGGCCAGTTGTGGGAGTGTCTGCGGCGTGTTCTGACGTTATCTGCCACAAAACCACATCTCCAGTTTCTCAAATTCCAAGGCTGTAAGGTATGGCACCAACGCAACGTCGCTGTTGATGGATCTGTTGCAAAACAGGGACGATAACTGGTCTTCTGGGTCGGATTCCAGCCTCCCGAAGATGGTTCCTGACAGTCTGGTCCGATATTCTCCTCAAACTAGAGATGCATCCTGCAGTCTCCGTAGCTGTGGCATTGCGATGACGTAGGTGGAACAGTCGAATGTGGTGAACCTGTGCAGGGGTGGTAACTCTCTGCAGTGGAAATGACCTGCGTGTATCGGTCCCAAAGACCGCAAATGGTGGACCTTGAAGTGGTGTGCAACGGAAGACTGCGATTCCCCTCTTTGGATACGTCCTTGGGCGAAGGTCCAATCGGAAGGCTGGGTCTCGACATTTTCGAACTTGAACAATGTTGTCAATTGAATGACAAATTATTGGCTTATGCTTGCCTTTTTATAGCCACTGTCACGAGTTACGAATGCCATAACTTGCACGTGCATTTTGCTTTACTGTTTTTCCTCCATGACAATTCTGAAGAAGTGTGAAAACAATGCCGTTTAAGACATTGCAAATCGACAATGGCTGCGAAATGACGTGCATTTTGCTTTACTGTTTTTCCTCCATGACAATTTTGAAGAATTGCAAAAACAATGCCGTTTAAGGCATTGCAAATCGACAATGGCTGCGAAATGACGCACCGTTTGTCGAATATCAGGCCACCAACATTTTCCAATAACATATATCTAATTTATATACCGGATTTTTTGTGTAGTCAGGTTCAATGAACTACATACTACCTGTGCGTTTCTTTTTTTGAAGAGTGTATGTTGGTTATACGTGCGCCTGGGTATTTGCCATCAGTCGTAGTCTTACATGTCGTTCTGTGTTATCAGATTTTATTGGGGTTCAATTTAAAGCAATTCGAAACATTTCAAATTAAAGAACGGAAATGAACTTTGTTTGTTTCCTCGTTTAAAACGATGCGGTAAGTGGAGCACCGAAACGTGTTTTGAGTCGTGTGTAAACTTGAACAATGGAGAATTACCCTTTGAGTATTTCACAGTGTTTTTTTTTGCATGGGTCCGTAAATTAGCTAGGACGTTTCGTGCAAATAATTTATGCATCATTTAAATAATCTCTACGATATAAAAACCGCTTCTGTGGTCTAGTTGATGCAGCGTCTGCCCAGAGATAGGAAGGTCGGCAGTTCAATTCCCGGCCGCTTCATGCAAAAAAAGGTTAAAAGATGGTACTTGTTGTTACCCTCCATGACACTCAGCATTAAGAAGATGATGATAAACGAGGACTGGTCGTTTCGGAGTCAGTGTCTGATTTAGGTATCCAGGCTCCATAATCTCAGTGAGCTAGCACTATACCACCGGCATTAGTCTTGACAAGTATAAACAGCAACCACTCGCATGCACGTCGCTATATAAGTGCAATAATCCTGAACGCGACATTAAACCCCATTCCACCTCACCTCTACGCTATAACTGTTGAGTGAGTGAGTTGGGTTTAACGCCGCTTTTAACACTTTTCCAGTTATATCGCGGCGTATCAGCTTAATGTGGGAGGAAAGCCCGAAGTGATGCAGACGTTTACCACTTTGGTGAAACCCACGAGCACGGGTATGGTGCTGACAAACCAAGAAACATAATCGGGGCGAACCGGAATTCGGACTCTCAATCATAGGTTTCTGGCGTGCCCAAGGGAATCGCGGCTCCTTGGACGAGTGGGACACCCGTGCCCCCTAAATGGGATTTGAAGCCCGAAAATATTTCACGCATTTCATTGCGTTTGAATACTTCTTCTAAGTATCTGTTTTTTCACTCAATATTCTTATTACGTTTTATAGGACCGCCTCGTGGTCTAATGGTAGAGCGTCCGCCCGGAGAGCGGAAGGTCCGGGGTTCGATCCCCAGCCGCCTCATACCAAAAGACGTTAAAAGATGGTACTTGTTGTTACCCTGTCTGGCTAGGACTGGTCGGCTCGGAGTCAGTATACTGTGTCTGAGTGGGGTATTCATGTTAAACTGCGGCATGGTATCTCAGTGTGCTAGCACTATAAATCGGCATCAGTCCGGACTAGTACAAGCAGCCACACACACACACATACACGTGCATGCACGTCGCTATATAAGTGCAATAATCTTGGATGCGACGTTAAACCCCATTTCACCTCACCTATTACGTTTTATAAATATTTTTCTGAACAAACGGGCATTTTAACGTTTGAAACCTGCTTACACGGTCAGTTCAAAATGAAATTTCCTGGCAGTAATTCTCAATATACGTGTAAACCTGTTACCTTATATGATTCACCTGAAATAAGCTTATTGTGCGGCGCGTTGTCACCCTTTCTGACCCTAGTGAACTCGTACCTCTGAAGGTCTATGAAGGTTTGTCCCATGGCCGCCATATTGAAATAATGAATGTTGACCTTATTCGAAATTTGAAAAGCAGAAAATATTTGGTATGCGGAATAATGTACGTTTCTGTCGATCTTTCGTTACTACATCACTACAGCTTGGTTTTCAGAGCAATAACTGCAGAGAATGTTACTCCAATGTTAATCAATCCATGCTTGCCGTAAAAGGCGACTATGTTTGTCGATAGAGGCGACTAACGGGATCGGGTGGTCAGGCTCACTGACTTGGTTGAAGTGTGTCATCGTATCCCAGTTGCGTGGATCGATGCTCATCATATCAAACACTGGATTGACTGATCCAGATTCGATTATTTACAGAACGCCATCATTAGCAGTTAAACAAACAAACACACACGAAAATATTAATTCAGATGAACTATAGAGCATTGTTGTTCAATTGTTTTGTCGAGAGTGAAGACACAATAAAGACATTCAAATATATTCATGTTTTATATTCAAAATAAACACCAGCACTGCGGAAACACACAAGCATGGAGCGCACATTTGCAATCAGTCCAAATAAACGTTGCCAGTAGGTCCTGCTTTTAATCTATCTTTCCATTTTAGGAGAGTCAAGAGAAGATGTCCTGTACACTTGGCTCATCCTTGATGTTCTGGAACGACACGGTGGAGAAGTCTGTTTCAAGAGTTCCATAACTCGCGGTGGACATCTGACTCGTTTCCGACATAAAGCTGATGGTGGAACAGTCGGACGGAGGGGCTGGGGGAGCGAGCGTGGGGAGCTGGAGATCTCCAGCGTACAGCGGGATGCCCTCACTTGTCTTCGGGGTAGTAGCAGACACCGGTTCGTACTTAATGGGAACGTAGGTCGAATCCGACAGGCTATTTGAACAACCGGTTGTCGTCTGCTGGCTGGTGAAGTAAAACGAGTCCGGTACAGTCGTCAGGTCAGCTAGGTAGTGCATAAATGGATCTGCGCTGTCGGGAGCTGTGTCGGGAGACGGGCTTTCGGGGACACGAATGGGGAAGTGTTCAACTACTGCAGACGTTGAGACCAATTCGTCAATCAATGTCGCGTAGCTGAATAGATGGTGCGGGGTGGCTGGGACGCTTGTTCTCTCGTCTTCAAACGGCGTCCCGTATCGAGGTGAAGGACACAGGTTCCTGAGGTTGTCCGCCGCCGATGTGATGTCTGAGGACGTCGTGGTGTGGTAGAGGAGGGATGCAAATGGCGGGTAGTGGCTCAGCGGAACACGGACCCCTTCTGGTGTCTGTTCCCTCAGGAATCGCGTGTATTGGGCCTCCGTGTAGGTCAGACTAGGCGACGGTGCGTGTAGAGCAGCACCGGGATCTCGCGTTGTCTCGTCTCGTGTATCTACCGAATCTGCTGTCGTCTGCTTTCTAGAACGTGCTCGGAATACTTTCTTTGGAGGGGAGCGCGGAGGGGGAAGAATGATGTCAGGGATGTTAAGCTGTTTCGTGACGGTAGTTGCCCACATACCCTCCATTTCGTAAGGCACACGAGATCTCTTTAAAGAGTCAGCAGGCACAAGCGATAGGTCAACTGTCCAGAAACAACCATTGGAACTCTTCTTCTTGGTCTGTGCTCGACTGGACTTGATGAAGCAGGGATTGTGAGAGAGGTTGTGTCGGACTGAGTCCTTCCATCCCTTGTATTGGCCCTGGAAGAAGGGGAACATCGTCTGAAGCGCGTCCTGGATCCCCACTAGAGTCAGTCGCTTGTCCGTGGTGGATTGGATGGCTGCTACCATCATGCCGAGGTAAGTGTACGGGGGCTTGCCGTAACGCTGGTACTTGACGTGACGACGTTTGAAGGCAGGTATGGCCGCACCGGGACGCTTCGAGGCCAGAACGTCGTCGTCCGTTGTCTCTTCACGGCGTCGCTTGGTTGACTGACACGTTCGATCACTGGGGATGTCCATTCTGGAAAAAGACAAACATACACTCTCAATTATTAATGCTTAAATTGCTGTTGTTATGACGAAGTTGGCGAGAATACTTCTAATATATATTATTTTATATATTAGTCGTACTCATAAACGACCGACACATTCTAAGTATTTTTCTTAAATACAGAGATATTTAAACTCACTTCAGGCCATGTTCCATTGCCATATATAAGAGTGTCCAATCCCAGTGAGTGAATGTTGTTTTACACCAGATTGAGTGAAATCCCTACAAGGCACCCTCACCGCCCCGAATCAAACTTTCAAACTTGGAATATGATTGTTTTTATTCTTTCTTAATGCGGAAACAATGTCATCAGTATTTGACTGCCATGAAGTACGTCTTGATTATTGTAATACTATACTATATAATATAATATACAGGGGTCTACATGGAATGATTTGATTTATTCAGAACTAAGGTGATATCCTTTAAAATCTCTTATTATAACATTTGGATACTGATAATTGTATACAAGACAAGACATTGTATGAAAGGCATCCGGCCTATATACAAACACTTACAATGTATACATACTTTCAACATATGTGCATTCTAGGAGACATTTGTATTTACTAGTTCTTGACGAATATTGGGTGCTTGAAGGAGAAATTGAGCTAGGCTGTAGATTACATCAAATGATTGATTAGACATAAGTGATAGAAGGGATGTGGTACATTGCTGTTTAAGGTATTTAGCGGGTATAAAACGTTTTTGGTAAAACTCACAGATAAAAGGTACATGAAATTCGTCCTCAACACCCATATCACATAATGGACACAAACGCATAGATTTTAACGTATTTTGTCTTCTTCCGGTATTTACTCTAATATCACTCAGTCCCATACGAAAACGCGTGAATGTTGAACGAAGATTTAAATTACAAAGAACACTTAAATATTTTTTCAGGCTCCAGTAAGGAGGTCAGATCTCAGATATCAACGACAGCAAAATGTACTTTATTTGAATACTTTTATGTATTTAATTCCACTTCTTTTAAGAAAATATTAAGATAAATTCAGGCTATCTTCACGTTATGTTAGAAAAAATAAAATAAAGGTTTAAATATCAATGAAGCAAAATGTAGAATTTTTTCAATGTTCAAGATGAGTTTAATTTTATATTGAAATATACATTATTTTTCTAAAACAGTAAGGTAATTACGCAATGTATCGCAAGTAAGTTCAGATGTCAGGTAATCAAGCAAGTATGTGTATTGGAACTTGTAACATGGGCCTCTTTATTTAATACTATATGCATGCCCTTCACAATATTGTATTTTTAAAAATATTTTTTATATACTATGTTTTAAAGCTTATGGTAAATTAAGAACTGATAGACATCGTGTATATAGGTTTACATACGGGTGCAACTGACATTTATGACATAGGGCAAACATGACATTGAAAGGATGCTCTTACCTTGTATGCTGTTCAGGCTGTGGTATCGAAAAGGTTCGCGATCTCAAAAATACAATGCTTGTCTCTAGCAGACTGGTGGACTGATGTCGCGAAAGTTCCACATGGACCGTTATAAGCGATGTAGGTGTGAAATTGTGAATGGGCGATTCTATTACAATACCACAGGGGTAGTAATCGGGTCTTTTGAATTATTGTCGATTTTGAACGGGGCATTTTACAGTAAATGACTTAGCCAAGAATAAATGTGTGAACGATTTAAATAACGTAACGTGTAACCACATAATTTGATATTAGGATGCAGTATAATAATAAAGTTAAAAATTTATTTCTATTCAAACCCCCCTTTTTCCAAAATGGACTCACCATCGTGCTGCAGACTTCATTCGGATGAGCCAATTGTCCTCCGTCCAGACAGTGGGTAATAAGTAGTATTGTCGATGATAGTGATAGTAATAGGAAATGATTTCGAAATGCGGAAATTCGGATTTGAGTAAGGAAGAGCAAATGCTAATATTAGAATCTATTCAACACTTTATATTAAAAACTGGCAGATTTTCAGTTTAATGATTGTTTAAAATAAACTGCAAATAGATTCATTATATATTCACATCTAGCTTGGCACGACAATTTATTTGTTACATCTAACCTTCATTGATGTATTCATTGTAATATGTCCTATGTGTAATGGAGCGGTATTAACATAAGCGCTTCGCTTGTTTACCAATCCATTTTCATACTTTTGTGAAAATAAATATGTTTAAACCAAGATTTTCAATGTGCAAGTTTAATGTGTCGCGTCTAATGCCACTGTCAGAGAGTGTAAATCCTGTAAGAAATCGGTTAGCTGGAGATTAAACACGTGCCCTTTAAATACTTAATAAGAATGTTTTGAAGCTTGTTATTATTTTTAATGGTTTGATAAGCATTACTTGAAGCTGGCGGATAAGTAGACACAATTTATGGATAACAACTTAATACTGTGAAAAGCGACGTTTCGGTATAGATCCTTATACCATTGTCAAGCAAGATCGAAACGAGGCTTTTTACAGTATTAAAGAAGTTGTTATCCATAAATTGTGTCTAACTTGTTAGTATTTTCCGCGCTTGTGAAACTTATATTATAAAACAAGAATGACTTCTTTATTTTTCTGTAATTTATTATTCCAGATCCCCGATGGTTAATTCTGACTCGATCGCTGATAGACAAAGGCGACGCCAAGTTTATTTGTTAGCGCTGACAGTAGTTTCTACCTGATATTTTATTTACATATTTATTCGTAAGTGACAGCAGCGGATACCGTATTTATGCGTTGGCTCTCTTCTGCTCATTATTCATCAAGTTGTTTATTAATTTTTATAATTGAGTGCAAAAATATGTGATTGGGGGTAAGAATTTTGAACGATCTGAGGAGAGTCAAACACTTGAAGGTATTTGTTTGATAGTCTATGTGGTGCATTTTAATTTTTAGAGTATTGTAATTGTATAAGTAGAAATATGAGCATTTTATGTAATTTTAAGACTGAAGGTTGCTACCATCTAAACTGATTTCAAACTCAGGTTGACCCTTTGTGAAAATAACAGCAAGGTTAAGAATAAAACTATTCCTGAAAAAGTACCAAAACTTATTGAAGTATTAGACTAGTTCCCCCTACCCGGTGCCAATATACATTACCGGTAGTGAAGGCAGCCGTTTCGTCTGGGATGGGGCAAGTGATTGCCCAAGCTGACGCCTGGTCCGTCTTGTGACGTAACGCGCCTACAGCGAGGCGCTAACAGTTCGGCAGGCGATAAGGGGCACCTGCAGTAGGAAGGGGGGTAATACCCTAACGGTAAACACAACACACGTTACTGGCGGTATGCTTCCTGACTTTGATCTGTCGGTAGCGCAGGAAGAAGGGGTAGGGGAGGGAAGCGCGTGTAGACTGTTGAAACATGATTGGTTCCGTTTCTATGCAGTAAAATATTTGACTTACGCCTCAAATTCAGTATGGTTTGGTAATGTGAATTTTGTTGCTTAAACTCCAGAAAAAAGAAACGCCCCAAACTTTCATATAAAGATTACGGAAGCCTTTATTTTGAATTTCATCATTAAACAACAACAACAACAACACCCCCCCCCCAAAAAAACAACAACAACAAACAAACAACAAAAAACAAAACACACACACGAAAAAACACACAAAAAAACAAAGCAAATGTATGAAATGTAAGAAAAAATACATGGACCTTTGACAATGCGTGTCTTAATCACTCCTATATAGCTGGAATATTGCTGAATGCGGCGTAAAACAACCAACCAACCAACTTAATCACTCCTAAGAATAATTACAATACCAATGGATTTCACACTTGGACAATATATATCCTGTATATATTTTCTGGCGAAACGCATTTGGGTTTTTTTATTTACAAAGCGAAATCGATTATTTGTTACTGTGGACATCATACCGAAGATGTGTGTACAAAGTACCAAATGAAATGTACTTGTACAAATGTACAAATGAAATGTATTTCTACCAAGATGGTTACTCTCTACAAACAGTGCAATGCTGAAATTCGTATTTGAGTAAGGAAGGTCATATTAAAAACTGGCAGATTTTCACATAAGTAAATGAATTGATTAATATAAACTGCAAATATATTTATTATATATACACATCTAGCTTTACATGTATAATTCATTCGTTACATTTAACCTTCACTGATGTATTAATTGTATCATGTATCATGTGAAATGGAGCTGTATTAACATAGGCGATTCTCTTGTTTACAAATCCATTTTCATATTTTTGTGGTGGCGGGCGGGTAGCCAGCCTAGTAGGTAAAGCGTTCGCTCGTCACGGCGAAGACCCAGGTTCGATTCCCGACATGGGTACAATGTGTGTCCCCTGCCGTGATATTGCTGGAATACTCCTAAAAGCGGCGTAAAGCCATAGTCACTCAAAACAAATCGATTACTGGATAATTTGATAATTGACTGCTCTGTCAATCTTCCTTTGCTTCTTGGCATCATTTTCGCTGTGCAGAGTTGCGTCCCTTGGGCACGCCAGAAACCTATGATAGTGGGTTCGAGTGCTGGTTCGCCCCGATTATGTTTCTAGGTTTGTCAGCACCGTAACCGTGCTCGTGGGTTTCACCGAAGTGGTAAACGTCTGAGACCTGCATCAGTTCGGGCTTTCCTCCCACATTAAGCTGACACGCCGTGATATAACTGGAATACTGTTAAAAGCGGCGTAAAACCCAACTCACTCACTCACTCTATGACAGAGTACTTGTCATCATCCGGAGGGACATACACACTTTAGTAAGGTATCTTAGAATCGTGGTATCTTAGACATATCAAAATAAGGTCAGTGACATATGTATATATTACCAACATATGCGCGAGTATGTCAAAAGGAAGAGTGGTGTTTAACTTTTTCACAGGTGTAAACATTAAAGTATACTACTCAATATTACCATTAGAACTCAAGATACCACAAACACTAATACACACTGACATAAAAGTGCATAGTTAACTTACATATAATTATGTTTGTCTTGTATTTATGAGCGTGCGTCTAAAGAATACACATCCATCCATCCCTCCACCCATCTAGTCGTTTAATAGTTTCACATTTATAATGTTTCAAAAGATAAAATCGCATCCGTGTCGGGTGATATAAGCGTCAGATAGTCATTATTTTACTAAAACGTTACATTCTTTTTTTTTTTAAAAACACACAAACAAAACAACCCCGTTTTCCTTTTTATGTTATGAAAAAACCCGCATTTACGTGAAAATGAAGTTTGATTGTACACATAGTTAATTCTAAGTACAACTTCCTTTTTCGATAATGGATGTGTTTTGAAAACTGTTTGAAATTTGTTTATTTGGCTTAGAGAGCGCCAATAACCCGACGTCACTGATTGGTGTATAAACACGATCAGTGTTTCATGAGGATGAGGATCCGTCTCAAGTCACGTGATCTACCCCTCTCACGTCAACCCCTCGGCCCTCGCATTGACCGTTTCCTTGATTGGGTCATTCAATTTTCTAATTTCTGCTATGAAGACTAGTCCACTTGAAAAAGATATGGGTAGAGGGATCCGCAAATATGAATTCATAACTTTATTTTGTACACATAACGTATTTTAGTAAGCTAACATCCGTATAGGAACACGTCATCTGTTTTCCTTAATTGTTAAAACAGTTTGTCTTTATGTTACTGATTATAGAACTTCTGGATAGGATATATTGTACCCCTTTTTATTTTCATAGACTCGCCCCCCGTTGTCTCACCTAGATAGAATATATACGGTGTTGGTATTTTTCGACATGTAGCAAGTTTCCTTCATTGCAATAGTAAGGACCGCTTCATCTGTCAAACTACAAGGTAAGTCGAACAATACTGAACTTGCTTATTGCGCATTACCTACTTTCTCTGTTTCCCCGTCGAGCAATATTTCAGCAGCTCCAGCCTTTGGTGTCTACAAACTATATGTCTGCCATTCCCTATTTTGACATGTACCATGTGGACTGTTGACTTATCGGTATTTAGAAGTTGGAGTACTAGGTAAGGATAAGATATGGACAACTTCTTAATTAGAATTATAATGTCATTGTTGTGCGACAATCAGTTCTTACCCTCCACAACAAGGCTTTGTCAGCGTCACAAAACAACATGGTAACAATGAGGATATTTTACTCGGACATGAAATATTACAAAAGTGGTATTCGCATGATTGCGTATTTAATGAAAAATAATTGTAAAAATCGGAAACCAAAATGATGGACTACAGGCTAATCTGTTGTGGTATACTGATTGATATGGTGTATGTAATATCGCCTTTGATGCCCGTACCAAATACATTATGAAATAACTATTTCTTGTTTGTTTCATATATAGCCACTGTTAAACATGTGTATATACTTTCTGTGGCAAGCAGTTTAGTCGGAATCGATTTTTAACAATTAATAGATAACGGATTGTGGAAAGCGTTTCAAACTGTTCAGCACATCACTGACATCTTTAACCTACTGATATTTCCTTGGAATATCGGGCCGTGGGGTAGCCTAGTGGTTTAAGCGTTCGCTCGTCACGCCGAAGACCCAGGTTCGATTCCCCACATGGATACAATGTGTTTAGCCCATTTATGGTGTCCCTGGTCGTGATACTGCTGGAATATTGCTAAAAGCGGCGTGAAGCCATACCCCCTCACTCACTCCTTATTATGTCGTCAAGCTATTGTCCCCATCCGTGATATTGTTGGAATATTGTCCCAAAGCGGCGTTTAACTATACTCGCCGCGCCCACTTTTCGCATTTGCCGTGGAGGCGACCCAGTACAAAAATATTCAGAAAATGCCCATTTTGAACATGTGTATATCGCGCTTCTAATAATATGATTAAAAAATCATAATGATTTTATTCAAAATATTGTATATTGAGATGTCATCAATATATCATGGCACATCTGTAGAGAGTGGCAATTGGGTGAACAGTATTTCAGATAATAATTATGTCATCATAATGGTATAGTGAAGTGGGTGAGTTGGGTTTTAGGCCCTTCCAATATTCCATCCATATCGCGGAAAGGGACTCCAGAAATGGGATTCATATCGTTTCACATGCGGGAATCGTACCCCGGTTTTCAGTGGCGGACCAGTCATGCTTCTAGATTAGTCACACCATATCCGTGCTCTCCTTGGGGCGGCGGGGTAGCCTAGCGGTTAAAGCGTTCGCTCGCCACGCCGAAGACTCGTGTTCGAATCGCCACATGGATCCAACTGTTCAAAGCGACATCACTTAATGTTGAAGACCCTCCTCCCCAAGTAGAAATACAATGTCGACATCTTCCAATATCTAACTGAGGGCAAAATAAAGTACCGAGTTGTATTCATCTATGCAACTGAAATTTGAAAGAACTGTTATTTAACCATCACTCATTCCTGCGACGGTTGTAAAAAGCAGTGACTATGAGTAACTATGTGCAAAAATAGATTGGTTCAATGATGACTAGGATAAAAAAGACATGAATTTGGAACCAGATGACCGTGTTTGAAATATAAATTTGTGCCGAAAATAAATATATTTATCATATAATGGGTAGGTTTCTCGGCAGGATAAAGCCAACGGATAAAAACGATATCCGTTGGGGTCATATGCGGATAGAGATGCAAATATCAAAGGTCAAGTAGGGACTACTTTCACTGTTTATAAACAAACATGGCGTCGCACTCGTCATTCGGCGATCGAGTCAGAATTAACCATCGGGAATCTGGATAAACTACAGGGATAATTGCTATCATTATCAAAAGAACAGTCTAATATACTGAAAATCTGTGTCTAACTGTGACGCAGCTAAGGCATTTTATAAGTTTTGGCAACTTTGGAGAAGCGGGATCAGTAGCCATATCTGTGCTTGTAGACCTCTGCGGCTTGAAACCTTCTCCACAAATTAAAATAGTTGGATTTGACGGAAATATGTTTGAATTGTTACCTTGTTTCGTTTTGTCGCTGTGTGTACATCTGAGTACATTTCTTATCGTTATGACAGGACAGACCGACTGTCAACAACGTCTGACCGTGGCCGTGACGTCTCATAGACTAGGATTAGAGTAGCTTCCCTTTGACAAAGGGCAGTTACTCTAGCGGACAGACCGATGGATTGCCGCAAAAGGCAATTAAAAACAATTGTTGTTTTGAGTATATGTTGCTTCGCCGCTGTATAAGAAACAGATTTCAGTTGGAACTATATTGGCTACTGTCACTGTCCGACTGACACACCACTTACCCTGTGACGTAATAAATATTAATGCGCGCATTCCAGGAAAACTCGCAATGTTTCGGTAATGTTTGTGAGAGAGGGAAAGCGATTTTGAAGCACAGAATTAAAGAATGACATTATATGATAAAGAGGTTATCACGCTTGTGTGTTTGGGGATGGTAAATATCCTGTATTAGGAATAAACACTATGTATTTAGCTCGCCAAGGCTCGCTAAATACAATGTTTATTCCTAATGCAGGATATTTACCATCCCCAAACACACTCGCGTGATAACCTCTATTTATTTTCAAAGATCAGATGTCGAAGATACCCTTCAGCAGTTGTGCATTGTGCGAAATTTTCTTTTCTTTTAAAAATGAAATATATTTCAAAAGATTATACCTAAGTATTCTACACAGACTAAGCGCTAGGTCAGTTAATCTTTCGATATGATATCGCTAACTTGATATTTTAAATATTATAACTTAACTTCACTTATCTTTTGCACATCAGCCTCATGAGTGTACTTATCTTGACAACATGACAGCATTAGGTATTACCAAATCTTTTTCAAATACCAAGTTAATATTTTCTATTTATGATGGTGCGTTGTGCAATGCCATTTCATAATTATGCATGAAGAATTAATTTTACATGTGAAAATTGTTGTTTACAGAGTTGGTCAAGATGGACAGAACGGACGCCCCAGAGCCCCTGCGGTCAGTTGATATGCACCCAGGTTAGTTTGGGCGTGTAATGCTGTCATTCATATTGTCAGTCTGGGACCAGTTATTACTCAAACGTACGCGTTTCATAAGGATAGAACCATCTTAACTGGGTGTGGAGGTGTCTTATCAATCAATAAATATCAAAATAAAGTAAGCTTCCAATATGGTTAAAGTGATTCTTCATTGGTCGGTCAAAACCATTTCATACTCGATCGATAACGAAAAAGACATGTCAGTCCTAAACATTAGCGGACCAGACAATCTCTCTATTATCTTACATGACCAAACAATTCATGCAGTATAAAATCCAAAACATTCTTGCCTGCTAAATGTTTAACTACTACCACTTTCGCACTTTCTATCATTTTCTCCAGCCATCCCACACAATGCCTACAAACCACAAGTTCTCAAGCGCCCCCTGGAAGAAGCTGATGATGAACAGGATGTGAAGCGACCCCGTGCGGCAGAAACTGTACGACGTCATCCGAAGTACAAACGCCATGGTAAACCTCCCTACACCTACGTCGGTATGATGGTGGTGGCAATCCACACCTCCAGCACCAAGAGACTCACCCTGGGCGGAATCCGGGACACCCTGGCTACCATGTTCCCCTTCTTTCAAGGCGAATATCTGGGATGGCGTGACTCGATCAGACACAATCTGTCCAGTAACCAGTGCTTCACCCGCATCCAGAGGGGCGTCAATAAAAACATCAAGGGCTGCTTTTGGGCAGTTGACCTTTCCCTTGTTCCCCCAACAGCATTTCTGAGAGCGACCATCAAGGACCCCGTGCAGAGGAAACAGTGGGCCCCAACTCTGACTTTGCAGCTTGGCATCCCTGACATCGATCTGACAGCAGAGCTGGCAGAGATCAAGACCGAGAAGCATGAGGTCATCCAGCACGAAACATCAGAGAAGGAGAAGAGATCTGTGACTCACACAACTACTTTCAGCATCGACAGCATCTTGAGCAAAGACACCAAACCCGATCTGATCAGTGAGCCACCAGATAAAAAGTTCGACCATCCTTACAGTTTCCTTGGCCACCAGACCAGCATCACCTACTTGCAGGGCAAGTTTCCCCGGCCAGCATCTACCTTCTCACCATACGCCGCCGTGTTATACCAGACTGTCAACTCCGATCAGGGTTCAGATGCGGCATCCTTCCTCCGACCAGATCCCCGGTATTCTGAGTGTCATGCGTTCTCCACCCTGACAACTGCTTCTGACTTTCGCAAGTTTCCGGACTCGACCGGACGAGGTCAAGCGTCTTCAAGCCATCCCGAACAGAGAAGTTACACGACGACAGAACCTGACCACGTACAGCCAACAGAACACGGTTTGGATAAACTTCAGATGACGACTCCACAAGACTACCACAAACCTTCACCAACGAGCTACCACGCTCTCCCCGCAAACTACAACCAGACATCTTCATCCATGAATTACAACCAGTCACTTCCATCCATGAGCTTCCACCCTCAATCGACGAGCTACAACCCTGAATCCACGAGCTACCACCCTCAATCCACGAGCTACCGCCCTCAATCCACGAGCTACCACCCTCAATCCACGAGCTACCACCCTCAATCCACGAGCTACCACCCTCAATCCACGAGCTACCATCCGTCTCCATCGCCAGGTCACAAGTCATCTTCGCAATCGACTGACTACCTGCCTCCACCAGCGAGCTACCAACAGGCTTTTTCATCCATTGACCATAACCAGGGACCTTTCAGTTACCATCGAAACCAACCCACAAGCTACCACGAGAAACCCCCACCCGTGAGCTTCGACCAGCCTTCATCCGTGAGGCATCACCAGGCCCCCTCATCTACAAGTCACCAAGACCCACCACCATCTTCCTTGCCCTACCACCGTTGGGACACGGAGTACCCAGACCCTCCATCCCCAGCAAGGGGAAGCAGTGACTCCCAATGCAACTTCTCCATCCTCCGCCCCAATATGTACATCCCAGCTCACATCTCTGACTCGAGTGATTCCTACCCCACGGACCCACCCAGATCCTCCGCCCTCCCTCCCATACCTACCCCCACCTGGGCGACCTACCTCTGCAACACCAACAGCAACTACACATCATCGCCTCATTCGTTGAAGACGGCTTTCGATGATATAGCGATGTTTTCTGACGCCAGCAGTGAAGTTTCCGTCCGCAATAACATTCCTTTGTACGCCTTCGTGGACGACTCCCGGAGTTTGTCCGACTCCATCGTCCCGGAGTCTGTCGCCAGTGAACAGACGAATCCAGCGTTCAGTCCGTACAACCCCGAAGTCGTCAACCACTTCCAACACTTCCTTTCTGGACCCCCGCTGAATCACGATCGTACTGACGTGTAATGTTGACCTTCTGTTGTGTGCTATCCTCAGTGCTGTTATCGGAGTTCTTGTATCGCTGTGATACGACCTTCTACAAGGCTCATATACAATGTATATGAATATGTAATAATCATGTAGTATCATGGATATGTAGTAAAACATAATAACCATGCAATGTCTCGTTGTTGTTTTGACCACCTCCGTGGATAGTGGATAGAGCTTGCGCGGTTCAACCCCCATATCGTGTCTTACCAAAGGACGTTAAAAGATGTTTTTGCTCCGTCTGTAGTCTCCCAGACCCTTACAATACATTTAAAAATATATATTCAACTAAAATGATTTGACAAGTCGGGATTACCGAAGCTCTGAATTAAAACATTGGCCTGTGCTCCATTTGGACACATTTTGTATATTTTTAAATAACGTTATTTTGGTGACTAAATGTTAGTCTACCCTTTAACAGTATTCCAGTTATATAACGGCGTGTCAGCTTAATGTGGGAGGAAAGCCCGAAGTGATGTAGGTCTCAGACGTTTACCACTTCGGTTAAACCAACGAGCATGGGTATGGTGCTAAAATAGAAACATAATCGGGGCGAACCGGGATCGAACTTAGGTTTCTGGTATGCCCAAGGGACGCAACTATGCACAGCGAATCGCTGCGTCTTAGACGACTGGGGCCCCCCATGCCCCCGGGGATTAAGGGGAATGGTCGGAAGTCAGTATCTGAATAAGGTATCCATATAAACTGCGCCATGCTACCTACATATCACTATGTAGGTAGCATGTGTAATTCATACGGAAAACCCGTGAAGATCCGGGGTAGAATTGGTCTTCAGCAACCCATGCTTGCCGTAAAAGGTAACTATGCTTGTCGCAAGAGGCGACAAACGGGATCGGGTGGCCAGGCTCGCTGACTAGGTTGATGTATGTCATCGATCCCAATTGCGTGTATTGTTTATGTTGTCAATCATTGGATTATCTGGTCCAGAGTTTACAGACCGCCGTCATATAGCTGGAATATTGCTGAGTGCGGCGTTAAACAACAAGCATCACATCATACTGAAGAGTTATCTGTCCACATCTCTTGCTGTTGGCCGGACAGCTTATACATGACTTCCGGGAGGGTACTAGTACTACGGGTATAGCGGAGGCGCAGCTTACATTCTAAGCTGGACAGCCGGACTCGCTCATACAGTGTGGATAGAACGTACCATGCACACTGTTGGGGTCTGATGGCACATCATTGCAACCATCCCCTGTAGGTAGAAAACCATTGGACACTTTTTTGAAACGCTGTGAATAAATTGTTATAAAATAGACAGTTAAAATTGAAACAATATTTCTATCGACGCGCATTTAAAGCGGACTTAAAATATCACAACTGCCGCCATTCACAGAAGGGTACATCGTCACAATAGAACAATGCAGTTCAAACTTTAACGGAACATTATTTATTTCCTAAAATGATAATGATATTGCACAAACAGTTAACAGTGATCATGTACATTTAACGAGGGTCATACTGTAGATATGATGGACATATACGTTATGAAATCAAAGGCAAACAAGATTATATTTTGAAAAATGACAATCTATACGAGATGAAACAAATTTAGAACAAGACTAGAGTCATCTTCCCGAGGCAAGAGAGTTAACTGACTATAAAAGTCCAGTTTCCACCCTTGCCGAACTAGGCTGGAATTTCTGGGCTCGACAGTAGCGCCACCAGGGGATATTATGAATTATGTCCCTCATATGCCTTTCCTATGGACCAATCAGATTCCACCTCTCGTATCACTTATGGCGGCGCCCAGTCAAGACGATCTGATCGATAATCAATTGTGATGAAACGGGTCTTACACCGCGAAGTGCATCAAATCACGTGAGCACCTTGATTAAAGACATGAACAGTTTTGGAAAATAACTGTTGGCAACGAATTGGCGGTGTACATGCTTTGTAAATCCTGCAATCGACCGAAATATTCATGATAGTTTACGAACCGGATTTCGATTTCGTTGCGTGATTGTGATTGGACTAAGCATAGACACGTTAGTCCAGCCAAAATGTAACTCCATAATACCAGCCTAGTTCGACAAGGGTGGAAACTGGACTTTCATAGTCACTTGCCTCGGGAAGATGGACCAGAGTAAGCGATTACGGTAGTAAAACGTTTGTTTGTTGTTTAACGCCGCCCTCAGCAAATTTACAGCTATAAATAGACGGCGGTCTGTAAATAATCGAGTCTGGACCAGACAATCCAGCGATTCACATCATGAACTCATGAACTTCCATCTACGCAACTGGGGTACCATGACATGCATGAACCAAGTCAGCTAGCCTGATTCCACGATCCCGTTAACCGACTCTTACGACAAGCACAGCCGCCGCCTACGACAAGCACAGCCGCCTTTACGACAAGCGTGGGTTGCTGAAACAAAATCCGAATCCGGATCTTCACGGATAGGTGATAAGTGAGTAGATGCTATCATCACGACAGTGGCAGTCAGCCAGTTGTCAGACACCTTAAAAACAACAATGTTTCTGATTGAGTGCACAGCAATGTTACCTCAGATGAATAATGGAATCATTCATAGGCCTTCCTATACATAACAAAGAAGTCTGTTGTATTAAATATTCTTTATATTTTATAGGTCTCATCTAGTCTCAATAGATAATGTTAATATCATCCATAGCACTACAAAATGTACATAAAATAGACAGTTAAAATGGAAACAATATTTCTATCGACGCGCATTTAAAGCGGACTTAAAATATCACAACTGCCGCCATTCACAGAAGGGTACCTCGTCACAATAGAACAATGCAGTTCAAACTTTAACGGAACATTATTTATTTCCTAAAAATGATAATGATATTGCACAAACAGTTAACAGTGATCATGTACATTTAACGAGGGTCATACTGTAGTTATGATGGACATATACGTTATGAAATCAAAGGCAAACAAGATTATATTTTGAAAAATGACAATCTATACGAGATGAAACAAATTTAGAACAAGACTAGAGTCATCTTCCCGAGGCAAGAGAGTTAACTGACTGTAAAAGTCCAGTTTCCACCCTTGCTGAACTAGGCTGGAATTTCTGGGCTCGACCGTAGCGCCACCAGGGGATATTACGAATTATGTCCCTCATATGCCTTTCCTATGGACCAATCAGATTCCACCTCTCGTATCACTTATGGCGGCGCCCAGTCAAGACGATCTGATCGATAATCAATTGTGATGAAACGGGTCTTACATCGCGAAGTGCATCAAATCACGTGAGCACCTTGATTAAAGACATGAACAGTTTTGGAAAATAACTGTTGGCAAGGAAATGGCGGTGTACATGCTTTGTAAGTCCTGCAATCGACCGAAATATGCATGATAGTTTACGAACCGGATTTCGATTTCGTTGCGTGATTGTGATTGGACTAAGCATAGACTCGTTAGTCCAGCCAAAATGTAACTCCATAACACCAGCCTAGTTCGACAAGGGTGGAAACTGGACTTTCATAGTAACTTGCCTCGGGAAGATGGACCAGAGTAAGCGATTAGTAAAACGTTTGTTTGTTTTTTAACGCCGCCCTCAGCAATTTTACGGCGATAAATAGACGGCGGTCTGTAAATAATCGAGTCTGGACCAGACCACCCAGCGACTCACATCATGAGCTTCCATCTACGCAATTGGGGTATTATGACATGCATCAACCAAGTCAGCTAGCCTGATTCCACGATCCCGTTTACCGACTCTTACGACAAGCATAGCCGCCGCCTACGACAAGCATAGCCGCCGCCTACGACAAGCGTGGGTTGCTGAAACAAAATCCGAATCCGGATCTTCACGGATAGGTGATAAGTGAGTAGATGCTATCATCACGACAGTGGCAGCCAGCCAGTTGTCAGACACCTTAAAAACAACAATATTTCTGATTGAGTGCACAGCAATGCTACCTCAGATGAATAATGGAATCATTCATAGGCCTTCCTATACATAACAAAGAAGTCTGTTGTGTTAAATATTCTTTATATTTTATAGGTCTCATCTAATCTCATTAGATAATGTTAATATCATCCATAGCAATACAAAATGTACATAAAATAAATTTTAAATAATCTTTATATTTAATAAATGTCCATCTCATTAGACAAACCATATTAAAATCATCCACAGCATTACAATATGTATTGTAACCAACACTGTTGATACGATTCTTGGATCCATCAGTGTTTACATTGTAGGGCCAGTTGTCCCAGGTAGTTAGAGTTTTAGCGACAGCTACTGATCGTAAAATTTTAGTTGGGTTGGGTTTTCATTTTTAGGGGCTTCTGATGTTAAAGCAGTGTCAACATTGGACACCATAACAAATGTAATATTTGGGATAACCCCTTCTTGGTAAAGTACAGATTCTCGTACTTTTGGGGGGTTGAGTCCCGTCCGGGATTCGATCCCACACTTGTCAGAGTGAGGCACCTAATCGCCAGCACACAAAGCCAGCGATCTAACCCACTCAGCCACCGAGGTTTCCACTAAAATGAAAGTCCGACAACTGGTAGTCGAGATCACGTACTTTGAGTACCCCTCTGACAAGTGAACACCATAATAGGTGATTCTTACAAATTGACCTAACTGGCTTGTTTTTGTAATAAAAGGATTAAATGTTTTGTAATCAAGGATGTTATTAGAATAAGAAAAGTGCATTTGGTGCAGCAATCTAGTGAAAAAACATGATAAGGATAGGTGTTCATTTACAAGTTAAACAAAAACTAAGGGCAGGTTCTCAGTATGCAAAAGCTGTCAGGAAGATCTAACCAATTTCATATGGGATTACCATACTGTAACATGCACTGAACAAACACATCTGTAATCCTATTAATCCTAGAGATAAGACTAATTACTCCGCTGAGTAGGACTGTTCCATTGTTGCTAGGCATTGCACTTATTAACCTTCTACTCCACTGTCTAACAACTGGCTGTCAAACAAATGACTGTCCCACAAATGGGAGATAACTCGTGCAACTGTTTCAACACGGCACCATACAGCTGTGTTTTTTTTTTATACACGACACTGTGCAACTGTTATCAGATAACACTGTAACTGTTATCAACACGACACAGTGCAACTGTTATCAACACGACACTGTGCAACTGTTTTCAACACGACACTGTGCAACTGTCGGTGCACGGGTGGCCCAGTCGTCTAAGGCGCGACGATTCGCTGTGCCGAGTTGCAGCCCTTGGGCACGCCAGAAACCTATGATTGTGGGTTCGAATCCCGGTTCACCCCGATTATGTTTCTAGGTTTGTCAGCACCATACCAGTGCTCTTAGGTTTCACCGAAGTGGTAAACGTCTGAGACCTGCATCACTTGGGGCTTTCCTCCCACATTAAGCTGACACGCCGTGATATAACTGGAATGCTGTTAAAAGCGCCGTTAAACCCAACTCACTCACTCACTCTTAACCTAGGAGTGTTGGAACACCTCCAGACATATACTAGTATCACATGGTCATAAAGTTACCATGAACACAAATAAATATGTTGCATCATCTCCAGTAGATGGAAGAACGTTATCATTTTATCAGCAATAAATCATATATACATAATTGCTGTCATCGACTTTCACGAAAACACAACTAATAAATAAAGATAAATGTCAATGTAAAAGGGATCACTTGTGTACACAGTGAGTATTTTTAAAAGGTTTCCCATCTTTAATACCTTTGATATGCAATCCTAGAATGGACATTTTCGCGTTTTCGCCTTGCGTAAACAAGCAAATTGTGTCAAAATTAAGCAAAGCGCGACGTCGCGACAACGCGCGTTTTGAATAATATTTTTATTGTTTTTCACCAAATGAAGCAACGCGAGAATGTAACACTTGGTCCAAATGTTGGACTGTCGCTTGTTTCTTTTTAAACCCAAACTATTATTTAAAGCTCCAAAACGCGAGAATATTCTAAATTTTGACACTTTTTGCGACAATGTCCCTTCCAGGGTCCCGTACTAGGATGGCCATTCCACACAGGTGTTACGTGTCCCTCCCACTGGCGTTGACATTGACGTCTTCCGGAGCATAAGAACACCCGACGTTAACTACAATGACAAACGAAGTTGAAATTATTTCTTTCACACGATCTCCAGGAGTTCTGTACTTGTTATGTGTTGTGCGGGGTGGGAGTGTGTGTGTGTGTGTGTGTGTGTGTGTGTGTGTGTGTGTGTGTGTGTGTGTGTGGTGGGGTTTGATTCGATTCTGACACTATCTCCCGCCATGATTATGTTGGGATATTGCCAATGATTGCTTGTTTTTGAATGTGCGATGATCGAGTCTGGGCCGCGACCAAACTCAGTCATGTCATCCTTTTTAACCACCCGATCCTCATTTGCCTGTCCTTTCGAAAAGCAAGGCATAATGAGACTCATTCCATGCCGAATACCAGGTCACAGCACAGGAGTCCGTATCTAAAAATAGACACCCTCATGTGTCTATTTTTAGATACGGACTCCTGTGGTCACAGGGACACTGGGGCACGGGTGGCGTTAAACCCAACTCACTCACTCATTCACAGGGATACTAGATCAAGAATACCTACTCCGAGCTTCAGAGCATGTAATTCGTTAACTCCGACGAGAGGAGCTAAAACTTCCTTTAGTTTCAGAACATCCATCTTCCAAAAGCAAGGGAGTTAACTGACTTCAAAAGTCCAGTTTCCACCCTTGCCGAATTTGACTGGAATTTCTGGGCACGATTGTAGCGCCACCTGTGAATATTGCGTGTTATGTCCCTTCTATCCCCCCCCCCCCCCCCACACACACACACACCCCCACACACACCCACACACCCCCACCTCCACCCCCTACTACTAACCAATCAGATTCCATCTATCATGACATTTGAATTTGCTTCAAACAATATGGCGGCGCCCAGTCAAGACGATCTGGTCGATAGTCAAGATCTATATTGTAATAAAACTGGTCTTACCTCGCGAAGTGAATCAAATCATTTGAGCACCTAGATTAAAACCATGAAAAGATTTGGAAAATATCTGTTGACGCCAAGCTGACGGTACACATGCTTTGCAAATACTGCAGTCGATCGAAATCTGCACGTTGATTTGCATGTTGTTCACCAACCGGATGTCTAGTTCGTTACGCGATTTTGATTGGACTATGCATAGACTCGTTAGTCCAGCCAAAATGTAACTCATGAAATCCAGCCTAGTTCGGCAAGGGTGGAAACTGGACTTTTATAGTCAGTTAACTCTCTTGCCTCGGGAAGATGCAGAAAATCCAGCCTTTCCAGTTAACGATTTCTTTTTGTTGTTGTAAAACCTACAATTATTATTTCAAAGGATTTTCGGAAACAAACTGCCACCACCGCGGTACTCCACCTTCTGTTTCTATCTACCCAGTCTCCTTGCGATACACTACCGTTAAAGATGCCTACCATAATCCTTCGACCTCTTCTTCACCTCTGACCTGTTCTCCACGTCCCTCCCAGTGTTGCAAGACACATCCTTCGCGCCTGCGCAGTAGAGTGCTTTATCAAAACACTTTTAAAACAATCTTTGCTATACATACATTCTCTTGTTCCTTGTTCTTAAACACAGGGAAATAATACAGATTGAATTATTTTCTTGCTAAACATAAAAATATTGCATATATATGTTGTCATTTTCTCTCAAATGTATGACGTCATATACTTGTACTTTCCTACTCACCGTCGATCTGACTGTTAGTAGTAGCAAAGTCGCAATGGCCAAATGGGTGACCTGCCGTCTCCTCAACCTCCACGCCGAGGTCACATGACATGCCATACAGGAAGTTGTCAACCATTACTGTCAACAATACAAAATGCTTCAAATGGGTGGGTGAGATCCGCTCAACGCCGCTTTGAGCAACGTGATCACTTTAGTGGTTTGTTTGTTTGTTGTTTAACGCCGCACTCAGCAATATTCCAGCTATATGACGGCGGTCTGTAAATAATCGAGTCTGGACCAGACAATCCAATGATTGACAACATGAGCATCGATCCACGCAATTGGGATCTATGGCATACATTAACCAAGTCAGCGAGCCTGACCACCCGATCCCGTTAGTCGCCTCTTACGACAAGCATAGTTGCCTTTAACGGCATTATTGACTAAAACAAGAACATCTACAACTCAGTCTCTTTTGCAAAATGTTAGCGTCGGTGGTAGAATCATAATTCCCCATTTGTGAAGTACATGTAATTAATTATTTTTTAAAATAATTAATATTACTACCATTGTCAACTGTAGAGTGTGCATTCGTATTGTATTGTCATCTCCAAAGGGAGAGTACAGAACAAGCTGCCTACACTGTGTGATTATGATCAAATAGCTGTTGGGAGTCATCACTATTACATAATGAAGCTGTGTTATGATCAAACAGCTGTGGGGAGTCATCACTATTACATAATGAAGTTGTGTTATGATCAAATAGCTGTGGGAGAGTCATCACTATTACATAATGAAGCTGTGTTATGATCAAACAGCTGTGGGGAGTCATCACTATTACATAATGAAGCTGTGTTATGATCAAATAGCTGTGGGAGAGTCATCACTATTACATAATGAAGCTGTGTTATGATCAAACAGCTGTGGGGAGTCATCACTATTACACAATGAAGCTGTGTTATGATCAAACAGCTGTGGGGAGTCATCACTCTTACATAATGAAGCTGTGTTATGATCAAATAACTGTGGGGAGTCATCACTATTACATAATGAAGCTGTGTTATGATCAAATAACTGTGGGGAGTCATCACTATTACATAATGAAGCTGTGTTATGTTCAACTAGATGTGAAGAATCATCACTCTTACATAATGAAGCTGTGTTATGATCAAACAGCTGTGGGGAGTCATCACTATTACATAATGAAGCTGTGTTATGATCAAATAACTGTGGGGAGTCATCACTATTACATAATGAAGCTGTGTTATGATCAACTAGATGTGAAGAATCATCACTCTTACATAATGAAGCTGTGTTATGATCAAACAGCTGTGGGTAGAACATCACTATTACATAATGAAGCTGTGTTATGATCAAATAGCTGTGGGGAGTCATCACTATTACATAATGAAACTGTGTTATTTTCAAATAGCTGTGGGGAGACACCCGTGTGACCCATGAAGCTGTCAAAGTCTGGGCCAGACATGCCAGTAGTTGACAGCAAGATTTACGACCCATGCTGTCGGAGTACGATGAAACACATAGAAAAGTCACGTATGGTTCCTTATCTTGATAGATCCTGGGTAAAATTGAATTTCAGTACCCCTGTTTGTAAGAGGAGAGCAACGAGTTCGGGCGGTCATGCTCGCTGATTAACTTGATGCATGTCACCGTATCCTAGTTGGGTAGATAGACGTTCATGATGTCAATCACTGGCTTGACTGGCCCAGACGCGAGTAAATACAGACCGCGGTCATATAGCTGGAATATTGCGTAGTGCGGAGTTAAACAACAAACAAACAGACAAAACAACAAACAAACAATCAATCAAACTTATCCTGATACTATTCATACTCATTCCATCCAGCCCTTTCCCTTGCTGAACACTACCATTGCAAAGTCACGACCTACCACAATCATCCTTGTTCTTCTTGCTTCCTGATTGGTTCTCTGTGCGACCGGATATATCCTCCGCTGAGTCTGCGCAGTAGAGTGTATTATGAAAATACAACTTTCGACATACATACTCTTGTTACGTGTTCTTAAACACAGAGAAACTATACCGTTAACATTGTTTTCTGACAAAGCAATAAAGATATCTGTACATGTGTTATCAATTTCTCTCAAATGTATGACGCCATAGGATTCACAACTAACCGTTTATCTGACTGTATGTGGCAGCAACGTCATAATGGTCATTTGGGTGACCTGCGGTCTCCTCAGTCTGCACGTGGAGGTCACCTGACGCGTCATACAGGAAGTTGTCCTCCATCACTGTCACAACAATGCAAAATGTCATACTACAGGTCAAAGTTCTGGGATGGAGTGAGTGAGTGAGTATGATTTTACGCCGCTTTTAGCAATATTCGAGCAATATCACGGCGGGGGACACCAGAAATGGGCTTCACACATTGTACCCATGTCGGGAATCGAACCAGGGTTTTCGTCGTGACGACTTGGCTACCTGACCGCCCCTCTGGGATGGAAATATTGACTTAAGTTAGAACGGGTAGAATTCAACCTCTTAAAAAACCCATAGGATCAGTCATGAGTGGTCGAGATTTTATTCCAAATTGGTAATATTTTCAGTCCAGGGATCGGTAAACCAAGTTGGTTAGACCAGACGATCCAGTGATTGATATCATGAGCATCGATCCACGTAAATGGGATCGATGACATGCATCAACCAAGTCAGCGAGACTGACCACTCGATCTCGCTAGTCGCCTCTTACGACAAGCTTAGTCGCCTTTTACGGCAAGCATGGGTTGCTGAAGACCTATTCTACCCCGGATCTTCACGGGTCGGTAAACCAAGTACGCATTCTTACAATAGTAAGTGATTAGACGTAACGAGGTGCTTGAAAATTTGCCTTAACATAGCCATTTGATCATCCTGTCGGGTATCCTCAATCACTGGTGAGTGAAGAGAACAAAAGTCACACGTCTGAGGAGACACACCATGTTTTATAATCTGTGATTCAGCGTGTGGTAGAACCACATTCCGAGGAGACAAGATCATCGAACGCAATCACCATCCAGCTACTCTCCACCGCCAGCGTTATTCATCCGCATCTGATTTGTGACCAATGCTTTATGCACATGACCACGTGGCACCAAGGCATCTCTTCTACCCAGTCAGGTTGGCTGGGGTAGCCTAGTGTCTAAACGTTGGCTGGTCACACTGGGTTCGATTTCACACATGGTCAGGCGGGCACGGGTGGCCCAGTCGTCTAAGGCGCCGCAATACGCCGTGCAAAATTTGAGCCTACGAGGGTGGAGTGCTCAGAGCCAAGGCTCAAAACACTCTGGAGAGATCTCACCGATGGATAAAATCACTCTAGACTGATTTGAGTAGGGGATTGAGTTAAACTTCCTGCACCGGATAAGTCGTCTAAGGCGCAGCGATTCGCTGTGCAGAGTTGCGTCCCTTGGACACGCCAGAAACATATGATTGTGGGTTCGAATCCCGGTTCTAGGTTTGTCAGCACCATACCCGGGCTCGAGGGTTTCACCGAAGTGGTAAACGTCTGAGACCTACATCACTTCGGGCTTTCCTCCCACATTAAGCTGACACGCTGCGATATAACTGTAAAAGTGTCAAAAGAGGCGTTAGACCCAACTCACTCACTCACTCCGACATTTTCATACAGAACTGCAGTGTACATGCCATCAGGACTTCAAAGAACTGTAAGACTACTTATTTAATTGTCCACTCTTTACAAACTGGCCAAAAAAACCCAATAAGTTGACAATGGGGCATTTTTCCATCACAATATAAACATCCTTGCTTCAAAAGTACTTTGTTACTGAAATACGTGTACGTGGTTTGAAGACATGTTAAGCTTGAACAGATAGCTGGAACGCAACTTGCTTCGCGGAGAAAACAAAAGTATGACAATTTCCCTCGAATTATTTCACCAATATCAAGAGTCACGTTTAGCTCTCCGCATACAACAGTGAGGAAAAATCGCACCGTAGTTCATAGTCTATATTCCCCTGCGCTACAGTACGCGTTTCTATATTTGATGGAATTTTGTCAACTTGCTGTCTCATAAGGAAGTTCACATCCGTTATTTGAAGTTTTGGGCAAGGTCCAATAGTGTTTATTCACAATACTGAAAGACCGTAGGTCTATAGTACACAGTAATGGATGGTTTAGTTTTGGTTTGGTTTGTTGTTTAACGCCGCACTCAGCAATATTCCAGCTATATGACGGCGGTCTGTAAATAATCGAGTCTGGACCAGACAATCCAGTGATTGACAACATGAGCATCGATCCACGCAATTGGGATCGATGACATGCATCAACCAAGTCACCGAGCCTGACCACCCGATCCCGTTAATCGCCTCTTACGACAAGCATAGTCACCTTTTACGGCAAGCATGGGTTGCTGAAGACCTATTCTACCCCGGATCTTCACGGGCCCAGTAATGGATGTATATACAATTATTATTGGGTAACATATTTGGGAAGTCTAAGGCACAAACATACAATATGTACATTGTTAGTTTCTTCGTCACTACTCTAATGGTACTTGACGTTAACGAAACACATTTCTGGAAACTAGGTTAACGGTTGTAATATTTATCAATGAAATGTTTTCTCAGTTCAGCATACAACGGACATGTAAGTAAGAAATGATATTTATTTTCTACAATATTTAAATCACAAAACTCACAAATTCTTTGTTCTCTTAATATCCCTTTAAATCTTCCCGTCTCGTTAAAGAGTTCGCGTGAGCAACATCTGATTCTTGCAAGTGCTATTTGAAATGTTTAAGTGTAACATTAAATATTGCTTTCTTCAGAAACTATTTTTAAAGAGTGAATAACTTGATAGTTTATCAGATAGATGATAGAGAACATTGCAAATTATACTCACCCACTTATGCTCACTTACTTATACTCACTTACTTATACTCACCCACTCATACTCACTCACTTATACTCATCCACTTATGCTCACTTACTTATACTCACTCACTCATACTCACTCACTTATACTCATCCACTTATGCTCACTTACTTATACTCACTCACTTATACTCACCCACTCATACTCACTCACTTATACTCATCCACTTATGCTCACTTACTTATACTCACTCACTCATACTCACTCACTTATACTCATCCACTTATGCTCACTTACTTATACTCACTCACTTATACTTACCCACTCATACTCACTCACTTATACTCATCCACTTATGCTCACTTACTTATACTCACTCACTCATACTCACTCACTTATACTCATCCACTTATGCTCACTTACTTATACTCACTCACTCATACTCACTCACTTATACTCATCCACTTATGCTCACTTACTTATTCTCACTCACTTATACTAACCTCCTCATACTCACTCACTTATACTCATCCACTTATGCTCACTTACTTATACTCACTCACTCATACTCACTCACTTATACTCATCCACTTATGCTCACTTACTCATACTCACTCACTCATACTCACTCACTTATGCTCGCTCGCTTATACTCACTCACTTATACTCACTCACGTATGCTCACTCACTTATACTCACTCACTTATACTCACTCACTCATACTCACTCACTTATACTCACTCACTTACACTCACTGATACTCACTCCCTTATACTCACTCACCTATACTCACTCACTTATGGTCACTCGCTTATACTCACTCACTTATGCTCACTTACTTATACTCACTCACTTATACTAACTCAAATATACTCACTCACTTATGCTCACTCACCTATACTCACTTATCCTCACTCACTTATACTCACTCAATTACATTCACCCACTTATACTCACTCACTTATACTCACTTACTTATACTCACTCACTTATGCTCACTCACTTATACTCACTCCAGATGCTCACTCACTTATACTCACTCACTTATGCTCACTCGCTTATACTCACTCACTTATACTCACCCACTTATACTCACTCACTTATACTCACCCACTTATACTCACTCACTTATGCTCACTCACTTATACTCACTCACATATATTCACTCGCTTATATTCACTCAATTATACTCACTCACTTATACTCACCCACTTATGCTTATTCACTTGTGCTCACCCACTTATACTCACTCACTTATGCTCACTCACTTATGCTCACTCGCTTATACTCACTCACTTATACTAACTCAAATATACTCACTCACTTATGCTCACTCACCTATACTCACTTATCCTCACTCACTTATACTCACTCAATTACATTCACCCACTTATACTCACTCACTTATACTCACTTACTTATACTCACTATTTTATGCTCACTCACTTATACTCACTCCAGATGCTCACTCACTTATACTCACTCACTTATGCTCACTCGCTTATACTCACTCACTTATACTCACTCACTATACTCACTCACTTATACTCACCCACTTATACTCACTCACTTATGCTCACTCACTTATACTCACTCACATATATTCACTCGCTTATATTCACTCAATTATACTCACTCACTTATACTCACCCACTTATGCTCATTCACTTGTGCTCACTCACTTATACTCACTCACTTATACTCACCGACTTCGCTGTGTTCACTGAGGACTCTGAAAATGGGGTGTTAATCAAGATCACTGCACGCCATTCATTCTATGGGACGTTCATAACTAATCAATCAACCCTCGTATCTTGACAAGGGGCTGACACGTGCTACCGTATAACCGCTTTTGGCTTGTGGTCACGACTTCTGCAGAACTGTGGGAAGCGCCGCGATTCGCTGTGCAGAGTTGCGTCCCTTGGCCACGCCGGAAACCTATAATTGTGGGTTCGAATCCCGGTTCACCCCGATTATGTTTCTAGGTTTGTCAGCACCATACCCGTGCTCGTGGGTTTCACCGAAGTGGTAAACGTCTGAGACCCGCATCACTTCGGGCTTTCCTCCCACATTAAGCTGACACGCCGCGATATAACTGGAATACTGTTAAAAGCGGCGTTAAACCCAACTCACTCACTCACTATAGAACCTTGCTCATGCATATATATGTAATTTGAAGGTTAATTATGGCATGCTCTTCCAGAATATAAATACAAAGATTCTGACCAGCAATTATATCATCTATTTCAGCGTCATACCAACCTTTCATCACAAAGAGGTCCTGGAACCAAACAAGAAACGAAATTGAAGTACTGTGTGGTCAAAAAGCTGTGACGATACATCCTTGTTACATAATGAAGGTGTGTCATGATCAAATAGCTGTTGGGGGAAACCAATATTACATAATGAGGTTTGTCATGATCAAATAGCTGTTTGGGGACACCAATATTACGTAATGAGGTGTGTGTTAATCAAATAGCTGTTAGGGGACACCAAGATTACATGATGAGGTGTGTTATGATCATATAGCTGTTGGGGGACACCAATATTACATGATGAGGTGTGTCATGATCAAATAGCTGTTGGGGAACACCAACATTACGTAATGAGGTGTGTTATGATCAAATAGCTGTTGGGGGACACCAATATTACATAATGAGGTGTGTCATGATCAAATAGCTGTTGGGGGACACCAACATTACGTTATGAGGTGTGTTATGATCAAATAGCTGTTGGGGGACACCAATATTACGTAATGAGGTGTGTCATGATCAAATAGCTGTTGGGGGACACCAATATTACATAATGAGGTGCGTTATGATCAAATAGCTGTTGGGGGATACCAGTATTACATAATGAGGTGTGTTATGATCAAATAGCTGTTGGGGGATACCAGTATTACATAATGAGGTTTGTCATGATCAAATAGCTGTTGGGGGACACCAACATTACGTAATGAGGTGTGTTATGAACAAATAGCTGTTGGGGGACACCAATATTACTTAATGAGGTGTGTCATGATCAAATAGCTGTTGGGGGACACCAATATTACATGATGAGGTGTGTCATGATCAAATAGCTGTTGGGGAACACCAACATTACGTAATGAGGTGTGTTATGATCAAATAGCTGTTGGGGGACACCAATATTACATAATGAGGTGTGTCATGATCAAATAGCTGTTGGGGGACACCAACATTACGTAATGAGGTGTATTATGATCAAATAGCTGTTTGGAGACACCAATATTACATAATGAGGTGTGTTATGAACAAATAGCTGTTGGGGAACACCAATATTACGTAATGAGGTGTGTTATGATCAAATAGCTGTTGGGGAACACCAATATTACATAATGAGGTGCGTTATGATCAAATAGCTGTTGGGGGATACCAGTATTACATAATGAGGTTTGTCATGATCAAATAGCTGTTGGGGGATACCAATATTACCTAATGAGGTGTGTTATGATCAAATAGCTGTTGGGAGGCACCAATATTACATAATGAGGTGTATTATGATCAAATAGCTTATGGTTGACACCAATATTACACAATGAGGTGTGTTATGATCAAATAGCGTATGGTTGACACCAATATTACACAATGAGGTGTGTTATGATCAAATAGCTTATGGTTGACACCAATATTACACAATGAGGTGTGTTATGATCAAATAGCTGTGAATAGAGCCCCATGTTAGATAATGTAGGTGCACTGAACCTGCAGTGTTCCAGATAAGCGTTGTATATGTGGTTTCAAGTGCGGACTTGCAATCTTATTAATATTTCGGCTTTATCACGGCCGCCTGTAAATAACTGAGACGCGGGTAGGTAAACCAGTGGTGGATGTTATAAGCAACGCCCCAAGAAGTTTGGGAACGAAGGCAAGCAAGCAACTAAATGGCCGAGATGACCAACCGATCCACTGTAATCGCTATTTACAACAAGTAATAGCTAGCGTGCAGGGATGTATTCTAACCCGAATCCGAACCCAGGGGCTCAGACGGACATGCTGACACCCAAACAAAATCACAATGTGTCATAACATTGCGACACACGAATTTAGTCGTCTCTTTTACGAGACCTAAACATAAGAGCATCTTGTCACCTTTTCCATGTTTCTTTTTTCTTTTAACGACGACGACGACGGCGATGACGGTGATGACGATGGCTGCAGCAGCGACTGCTGCCCCCGAGCCGGCGATCAGTATCTGCTTGTGGCTGTAGTCTGAAATAAGTGTTATTTCATTTACTGAAACTGTCGCTTTACAAAATAAAATTATAGTTGTGAGTGAGAGAGTTGGTCCGGAGTAGGCCTGGGATTGTCTATCTCGACTATACATTTATACAGCTAAAGATGCAAAAGCATATATTTCTTTTATTGAAACTAAGAGCCGAAATATGTATTTTAAGAAAACACCTTGCAACAATGTAATTTTAGTGGCATACAACCTCTTCTTTTGGATAAGATACAGTAAACTACGGTTATAACGAACTCGAGGGGACCACTTATTTTAGTTCGTAATAACTGTAGTTCGTTATAAGCATACATACAGCATATATACAACAAATGGTTGGGATACAAAATAAGTTCGTTATATCCGCCAGTTCGTTATAAGCGTGTTCGTTATAAACGTAGTTTACTGTAAATCTCTCCCTTGACACGCATGTGCACTATTAACAGTTACCTTGAAGCTCATCCTCCTGGTGTGTAGTGACGTTTAAGAACGTGTAATTGCTCATACCATGTATGTTTTGTGCATGGAGACGAACTTCATACATTGTAGACGGTGCAAGTCCAATAATGTCAACATGGAGATCGTCATTGTTATCTACATCACGCGTTGTCCACTGACCCCTGTCGGGCCTGAGCTGGAGGATGAAGGTTTGTCTGGCGCCACCATTGAACGCTTTATCCCAGCTGACGGTTATGGAGCGAGAATCTACCCTCGTTGCTTGCAGATGTGTCGGGGTGTCCGGATGAGCTGGTTAAATATTAACAATTAACAAAAATTAACATGGCAATTGAGAATGACTTTATGTTGTTTTAGCACTATTTACTACATCCCCATGGGTATACAAAGAATGGGCTTCATATATTGTACCCATGTTAAGAATCGAAATCAGACCGCCAATGTGATGCGCAAACACCAAAGACACTAAGCCACCCGATAACCTCGGCCAAACAAATAATATGAGAGTCAGTGACGGACCAGACCACTTTAAAGAGGGGGGGGGGGGGGGAATTTTTGTATTGAGATTGACTATTTTTTAAGCTACAGCTGCAAAGCGAGATTTTTCAATTATGACCATGTACCTAAATATATTTTGGCAAAAACGTCTTGCAACACTGTTTTTTTGCGGCACACAATTTCATTTTTTCACAAGCCTGAAAAACAGGAATTCAATAAAATCCCAGGCCCCTTGAATAGCAAATGGTCGGCCTTTCGGAAGCAGACACACTAGTCTCGCTGGATGAAATTCCTCAGATTCCAGTGTCACCGATAATAATCTAATATACTTTGCACAATTAAATACCAAGAGGAATTACTTACTTGGCTTAATCAGAGATATCGTAAATGTGCTATCTCCTTCAGAGTTAGTTACTGTAACGTTGTATGTTCTGTAATCCTTGTCATCGACGTTGGCGATGTTTAACGTCCCTGTCGCTACAGGGTCATTCCAAGTGATGTTTGTGTTTTTCGTGAGTGGCGCACCAACTTTGAACTTTCTCCAACTGAAGGTAGGCTTCGGGTAAGCTAGCACAGTCACACTGAGAGTGACAGGTTCGCCCAAGGCTGAAGCCACCTTCAGGTGTGTTGAGGAACCATGCAGTCTTGGTTTACCTTTAACAAATAGAGATATTTAACAGTTAGATTTCTGTTTCTGATGGGGCCTTAAACCAGTTATTCTCCACATGCTTCAAATGGGTGGGTGAGATCCGCTTAACGCCGCTTTGAGCAATTTGATCACTTTAATGGTTGGTTGGTTTGTTGTTTAACGCCGCACTCAGCAATATTCCAGCTATATGACAGCGGTCTGTAAATAATCGAGTCTGGACCAGACGACCCAATGATGAATATCCTGAGCATCGATCAACGAAATTGGGTTCGATGACATGCATCAACCATGTCAGCGAACCTGACCACCCGATCCCGTTAGTCGCCTCTTACGACAAGCATAGTCGCCTTTTACGGCAAGCATGGGTTGCTGAAGTCCTATTCTACCCCCGGATCTTCACGGGTCGATCACTTTAGTGGAACTGATCATGATGGACATGGTGCTAACATCATATGTATGATGTGATCACTGTTCTGTGAGAACACCACTATAGCTTATCACATCATGCAATCAATGGTCTGCAGAGCTACAGATAGGCAGATAGGCAGCGTATTTGAGGAAAATACCCCCCAAACTTTCAAAACCTAATTACTTGCGTGCGTACAGAAACGAATGCATTAAATGTAAAACACAAATGCCCAAAAAACCCAGCACGCGTAAATACCAAATGTAGATGTTTTAGCATGCGTACAAAGGAGCTTATTTCCGAAACGCAAAAACGAGATAGTTTTACTTTCCGAGGGAAGCCTATATATTTAGAACAGTTATCATGGTTATATACATCTAAAACATCATTCTCCCCCCCCCCCCCCCCCCCCCCCCCCCCCCCCCACCAAAAAAAACCTCCCTGTTGTTTTAGCGAGGCGACATTAATGGCCTCTGAGAAATGCATTCTTGCCAATAGATAGATAGATAGATAGATAGATAGATAGATAGATAGATAGATAGATAGATAGATAGATGAATATTAAATAAATAAATAAATAAATAAATAGATAAAGTGACAAACATTTGACCAGCAATGAAGCATATTTGGGTGGGGCGGTTCCGATTTCATTCCCAGCAGAACAATTGTACGGTCCTCTCTGTCGGCACCCTATATCATCCAGCCTGACCTCCAACGTGTTGCTGTTGTTGTTGTCTCCCTTGCTCACCGGGCCTGAGGCTGTGTTACGTATTTGAATGTCCGAGGCAGGCTCACTGCTGACGTTGCACTGTAACGTGACGTTGTCGTGTTCTTTCACTGTGATGTTGCTGTCGTCTTGGCCGACACCGAAGAAAATAATTTCTGGACTGTCTACAACGTGAAACAAAACATATTATAATCGTTTGTTTGTCAGCACAATATCCTTGTGGCGATATATAATCACGACTTTCATTCTTTCTTGCTCGCCTATCACATCCTGTTGGCAGGCCCTGGTATAACTGAAATACTTTGAAAACGGAGTTGAAACGGACTCACTCACACACTCGGCAAGCTCCGACGTTCATACAGTTTGGCCCTCACTCTATGAAGGTTCATACTCCAATGAACTCACACAAAGTGAAGGCCAATTCTTAATTGAATCTCGTCAACCCCAGTTGCCAGAAACGTGGTAATTTTGGTGGAATCCGTTCACTCAAATCGGACGCGCGTTCTATTACATAAGGGAGTGAATAACCACCCCACAGGTGTCGATCTGGAACGAGCCACTGTTCGAAATTACAATTAAAATATTTTAAAATAAAACGTCCGAGGTTTATTTTAATCTTCGTCACTGGTGTGTTCCGAATGCATTATAAACCTCTAGAAACCTTACTAATTTTATTTGAATTTATTTATTTTGTTTGAATGTTGAAATCAATTTGAAATATTAAATGCAATGATATGGTACAATGAAGACTGTTGCAGCGTTGTTAGGGTGAAAAAACCCCAAGAAAATATAATACTGAACTCCAAATTATTATATACAATCATAAGTCAGGGAATAATACTGAAACAAAGATAAAACGCCAAGATGTTATAGAGCGAAATCAACATATTCTGCTGTAATCGTTATATACTAAATAAATAAAGTTGGGGATCATGAATATTTTGGGGGTATTTTTTGTAGGGAAAATTGGCATACAATAACCTAAAACATATTTCACCAAATTTTCATCATCCGTAACTAATTTTGTTCAGTATATGTAAATTGGAGTTGTAACCTCTAGCATGCAAACAGGACACCATGCACGCACAGCAAGCACGGTTGCATACAATCGCAGTTGACTCACATTTTACTTTCAGTGATACAATCGGTCTTGTCATATCCGCGACTTGGCAGTGCCACTGGCCTGCGTCCTCACGAGAAACTTGCCGTATAGTGAGGATGAAGATGTTGGCGTCAGCGGCCGTGCAACTGTAGTTTGTGTTGTTCGACGTTGATGTGCTTGAATTTAGGTGGAGAGAACAGGCTGTGGACGTCCCATGTCCATTTGTCCGTTTGAAGTATGCCAACCCCTCGTGCATTGTATCGCCCGTGACTTGGCATGTCATATTGAAGTGTTCACCAAGATTAGCCGATTCATAAACCGTTTCCAAAGAAGTATCGGTTGCTTGAAAACAGAAGAAAAATAGCCTATGACAGATTTTGTTCTTGTTCAATAAAAATAGTTGTTATCTGGTAATAGTTGTTTAAAAATTAAGTAAAGAGAAGTATGGTGTACATGTTCACGGCAAATAGATGCACATGAATCGTTACTCGCCTGACATCGTTACTCGCCTGACATCGTTACTCACCTGACATCGTTACTCTCCTGACATCGTTACTCACCTGACATCGTTACTCGCCTAACATCGCTACTCACCTGACATCGTTACTCTCCTGACATCGTTACTCGCCTGACATCGTTACTCGCCTGACATCGCTACTCACCTGACATCGTTACTCGCCTGACATCGTTACTCACCTGACATCGTTACTCACCTGACATCGTTACTCGCCTGACATCGCTACTCACCTGACATCGTTACTCTCCTGACATCGTTACTCTCCTGACATCGTTACTCTCCTGACATCGTTACTCGCCTGACATCGCTACTCACCTGACATCGTTACTCTCCTGACATGGTTACTCTCCTGACATCGTTACTCGCCTGACATCGTTACTCACCTGACATCGTTACTCACCTGACATCGTTACTCTCCTGACATGGTTACTCTCCTGACATCGTTACTCGCCTAACATCGTTACTCGCCTAACATCGTTACTCTCCTGACATGGTTACTCTCCTGACATCGTTACTCGCCTAACATCGCTACTCACCTGACATCGTTACTCTCCTGACATGGTTACTCTCCTGACATCGTTACTCGCCTGACATCGCAACTCACCTGACATCGCTACTCACCTGACATCGTTACTCACCTGACATGGTTACTCTCCTGACATGGTTACTCTCCTGACATGGTTACTCTCCTGACATCGTTACTCGCCTGACATCGTTACTCACCTGACATCGTTACTCACCTGACATCGTTACTCACCTGACATCGTTACTCACCTGACATGGTTACTCGCCTAACATCGTTACTCTCCTGACATCGTTATGCTCATCGCTGCTTGAATCACATCCTTACCTTCCTCATATCGTTACTCGCCTAACATCGTTACTCTCATGACCTCGTTATTCTCCTCGCTGCTTGAATCACATCCTTATCTTCCTCATGTCGTTACTCGCCTAACATCGTTACTCTCATGACCTCGTTATTCTCCTCGCTGCTTGAATCACATCCTTAATACCTTCCTCATATCGTTACTCGCCTAACATCGTTACTCTCATGACCTCGTTATTCTCCTCGCTGCTTGAATCACATCCTTAATACCTTCCTCATATCGTTCGAGCCTAACATCGTTACTCTCATGACCACGTTATGCTCCTCACTGCTTGAATCACATCCTTAAAACCTTCCTCATATCGTTACTCGCCTAACATCGTTACTCTCATGACATCGTTATGCTCCTCACTGCTTGAATCACATCCTTAATACCTTCCTCATATCGTTACTCGCCTAACATCGTTACTCTCATGACCACGTTATGCTCCTCACTGCTTGAATCACATCCTTAAAACCTTCCTCATATCGTTACTCTCCTGACATCGTTACTCTCATGACCACGTTATGCTCCTCACTGCTTGAATCACATCCTTAAAACCTTCCTCATATCGTTACTCGCCTAACATCGTTACTCTCATGACCACGTTATGCTCCTCACTGCTTGAATCACATCCTTAAAACCTTCCTCATATCGTTACTCTCCTGACATCGTTACTCTCATGACCACGTTATGCTCCTCACTGCTTGAATCACATCCTTAAAACCTTCCTCATATCGTTACTCGCCTAACATCGTTACTCTCATGACATCGTTATGCTCCTCACTGCTTGAATCACATCCTTACCTTCATATCGTTACTCTCCTGACATCGTTACTCACCATACATCGTTATTCTCCTCGCTTCTTGAATCACATCCTTACCTTCATATCGTTACTCTCCTGACATCGTTACTCTCATGACCACGTTATGCTCCTCACTGCTTGAATCACATCCTTACCTTCATATCGTTACTCTCCTGACATCGTTACTCTCATGACCTCGTTATTCTCCTCGCTGCTTGAATCACATCCTTAATACCTTCCTCATATCGTTACTCGCCTAACATCGTTACTCTCATGACCTCGTTATTCTCCTCGCTGCTTGAATCACATCCTTAATACCTTCCTCATATCGTTACTCGCCTAACATCGTAACTCTTCCCACAACCCGTCTCACACCGTCACCTACCATAATCGCAACTCTTCTCACATTGTTACTCCTTAGCATGCGATCGGTTCCAGCAAAGTCAAGCAAAACCGCAAAAGCCTAACATCAGGGGAATCGTGTAGCCCAGTTGTTCAAGCGTTCGCTCGTCACACACGGTTCGATTCCCCATGGGCACGATGCGTGAAGCCTATTATTGGTGTATTCCGTCGTGTTGTGGTTGGAAGACTGATAAAAGTAGCACAAGTTCTTTCAAAAGACCACTCGTCAAGAGTAGAAACTTCACTTACAATAGGACCCGTGAAGATCCGATGTAGAATAGGTCTTCAGCAGCCCATGCTTGCCGTCAAAAGCGACGATACTTGTCATAAGAGGCGACTAACGGGATCGGGTGGTTAGGCTCGCTGACTTGATTAATGCATGTCATCGCATCCCAATTGCGTGGATCGATGCTCATGATGCGAATCACTGGATTGTCTAGTCCAGACTCGATTATTTACAGACCGACGTCATATAGCTAGAATATTGCGTTAAACAACAAACAAACAAACAAACAAACAAACTTACAATATACACCGCATACAACAGCCATGAAGAAACTCCAGTACACCCCAAGCTCTATCTTCATGTTACCAGTTGACTGCTGCGGATAAATGAAATAACAGCTTGTTAGTTACTGGCGTATAGCGCGACTCTATTTCGGCGAAATAACCGGATATGAGTGCGGAGATACTCTACTGCAGGCTTGTATTTGTTCAGGCATTCCTATCTGTTTCCTGACATTATATTATCGGATGTGTGACGCGATTTGTATCGGCGCCCGACATCGTTGCCTTCCTGCTACAGGGACCTGTCATTTCATCTTTTGTCGTAACTCTCCTGACATCATTACTCTTCCCACTGCTCGTGTTTCCCATCGTTACTGTCCTCATGTCGTAACTCTCCTGACATCATTGCCTTCCTGGTACAGGGACCTGTCATTTCATCTTTTGTAGGTTTCATTTTTGGGTTATCTTTTCAACGCACACCAAGCATATCAGCAGAGACGTCATTACATCATTTATATCACCATGCTCTTTTCAGTTTGTCCGAAAATCGGACATTGTCTTGTCGCGATATTTCTGAAGGTCAGATTATCATGCAATGAAATGTCCCCGATGATGAATGGATAAACATGCAAGATTTATTGTGATGTATTTCTGAGTTCATAATTTACCAGTTGGTTTCTATAGTAACACTTGTTGCGTTCGCCGACAATGAGTCTCCTCCTTTTGTGTAACAGAGTTGCGTCCCTTAAACATGCCAGGATCCGCTGATAATGGTTTGAATCCTAGATTCACCTATGTTATGCTCCCTGGTTGTTATCCGTTTCTTTTTTAAATTTACAGTTGTAACGTCTGTGAGAGGCCGCATTTTGGACTTTACCCCGGCAACAAGCTGACACACCCTATTCAAAGCAGTGTTTCTTACCGGATGACATGGCCACATTCAGAGTCTTGTTTTACGTTGTAGAAACTGACACCGACTTCCTAGTAGGTGAGGTGAGGTGAAATTGGGTTTAACGTCGCGTCCAAGATTATTGCATGCACGTGTATGTGTGTGTGTGGCTGCTTGTACTAGTCCGGACTGATGCCGATTTATAGTGCTAGCTCACTGAGATACCATGCCGCAGTTTAACATGAATACCCCACTCAGACACAGTATACTGACTCCGAGCCGACCAGTCCTTGTTTTAGCCCCTTAATGCCGAGCGCCAGACAGGGTAACAACAAGTACAATCTTTTAACGTCTTTTTGTATGACGCGGCCCGGGATCGAACCCCGGACCTTCCGCTCTCCGGGCGGACGCTCTACCACAAGACCACGGAGGCGGTCTCTTCCTAGTAGAGTCATGCATGACATATTGCATAACAATTAATGACGAGTGGTTGACCTTGATGAACTTTTATGGTGCAAGGAAACAAACATAAGCCCCACTGGTTTTGTGATCGTTGTTTGAAATGCTTCTATCAGAGTCTCTCGTTCAGACTGAATTGTTTCATTCAGATATTGTATAACTCTTCAGAAGTGACAGATGCTCTTCAGGACGTCTTATGACAATTTCGTGAGATGGGACTAACGGGATCGGGTGGTCAGGCTCGCTGACTTGGTTGATGCATGTCATCGTATCCCAATAACGTGGATCGATGTCAATCACTGGATTGTCTGGTCCAGACTCGATTATTTACAGGCCTCCGTCAAACAGCTGGAATATTGCTGAGTGCGGCGTTAAACAACAAACAAACAAATAGCTTGACTGGAAATGTCACACGAACAATATCTTATATAAGTAAATATGAGAGTGTCGCAGGCTTCCTTATTTAAGACGTATATCTTATTAATTTTAAAATTATGCAACTTACTCTTCTTTGATAAAAGCACACCCAGGAAGTTAATACCCGTGAACGTTTTCACTAGAACTCTTATGTTCATTTTCATGTTCAACACGCCCACCGTGTACAATATCATTTAACGTTTCCAAAATATGGAGGGGCGGTCGGGCAGCCTAGTGGTTAAAGCGTTCGCTCGTCACGCCGAAGACCCGGGTTCGATTCCCGACATGGGTACAATGTGTGAAGCCCATTTCTGGTGTCCTCCGCCGTGATATTGCTGGAATACTGCTAAAAGCGGCGTAAAACCATACTCACTCACTCACTCACTCCAAAATATAGGCACTAGATTGCTGATAAAGACCAAATATGAATTGTTTCCATCGGGGCTTTTCGAAGGCGTAGTGATAAAATCGGTCATACTAATAACCTTTTTTGGTTCTTAATTTCGGGTCAAAGTATGAGTGGTGTGTTATGAATGGTCCCAGTTCCTTAGATCGATGCTCATGATGTCAATCACACGATTGTCTGATCCAGACACGATTATTTACAGACCACTGTCATATACATGTTGCTGGAACATGGCGACGTTAAACAACAAACAAACAAAACAAGAGGTTGTGTTTTTAGACACTATGACAACCTGTAGCACTGAAGTAAGTGCTTACAGACACTGTAAAACATGTACCACTGAAGTAAGTGCTTACAGACACTGTAAAACATGTACCACTGAAGTAAGTGCTTACAGACACTGTAAAACATGTACCACTGAAGTAAGTGCTTACAGACACTGTAAAACATGTACCAATGAAGTACGTGCTTACAGACACTGTAAAACATGTACCAATGAAGTAAGTGCTTACAGACACTGTAAAACATGTACCACTGAAGTAAGTGCTTACAGGCACTGTAAAACATGTACCACTGAAGTAAGTGCTTACAGACACTGTAAAACATGTACCACTGAAGTAAGTGTTTACAGACACTGTAAAACATGTACCACTGAAGTAAGTGCTTAGAGACACTGTAAAACATGTACCACTGAAGTAAGTGCTTACAGGCACTGTAAAACATGTACCACTGAAGTAAGTGCTTACAGACACTGTAAAACATGTACCACTGAAGTAAGTGTTTACAGACACTGTAAAACATGTACCACTGAAATAAGTGCTTAGAGACACTGTAAAACATGTACCACTGAAGTAAGTGCTTACAGACACTGTAAAACATGTACCACTGAAGTAAGTGCTTACAGACACTGTAAAACATGTACCACTGAAGTAAGTGCTTACAGACACTGTAAAACATGTACCACTGAAGTAAGTGCTTACAGGCACTGTAAAACATATACCACTGAAGTAAGTGCTTACAGACACTGTAAAACATGTACCACTGAAGCAAGTGCTTACAGACACTGTAAAACATGTACCACAGAAGTAAGTGCCTACAGACACTGTTAAACCTGTACCACTGAAGTAAGTGCTTACAGACACTGTAAAACATGAACCACTGAAGTAAGTGCTTATAGACACTGTAAAACATGTACCAATGAAGTAAGTGCTTACAGACACTGTAAAACATGTACAACTGAAGTAAGTGCTTACAGACACTGTAAAACATGAACCACTGAAGTAAGTGCTTACAGACACTGTAAAACATGTTCCACTGAAGTAAGTGCTTACAGACACTGTAAAACATGAACCACTGAAGTAAGTGCTTATAGACACTGTAAAACATGTACCACTGAAGTAAGTGCTTACAGACACTGTAAAACATGAACCACTGAAGTAAGTGCATACAGGCACTGTAAAACATGTACCAATGAAGTAAGTGCTTACAGACACTGTAAAACATGTACAACTGATGCAAGTGCTTACAGACACTGTAAAACATGAACCACTGAAGTAAGTGCTTACAGACATTGTAAAACATGTTCCACTGAAGTAAGTGCTTACAGACACTGTAAAACATGTACCACTGAAGTAAGTGCTTACAGAAACTGTAAAATATGAACCACTGAAGTAAGTGCTTACAGACACTGTAAAACATGAACCACTGAAGTTAGTGCTTACAGACACTGTAAAACATGTTCCACTGAAGTAAGTGCTTACAGACACTGTAAAACATGTACCACAAATGTAAGTGCTTACAGACACTGTAAAACAGGTACCACTGAAGTAAGTGCTTACAGACACTGTAAAACATGCACCACTGAAGTAAGTGCTTAGAGACACAATGACAACATATACCACTGAAGTAAGTGCTTACAGGGCACTGTAAAACATGTATCACTGAAGTAAGTGCATACAGACACTATGACAACAATACCACTGAAGTAAGTGCTAACAGACACTGTAAAACATATACCACTGAAGTAAGTGCATACAGACACTATGACAACAATACCACTGAAGTAAGTGCTAACAGACACTGTAAAACATATACCACTGAAGTAAGTGCTTACAGACACTATGACAACATGTACCTCCCTTGGTGTAGCCGTTTACAGACCGGTCGTGTACTATCGATCCGTTCCGTCCACACCCCCCCCCCCCCCCCCCCCCCCCCCACACACACACACACCGCCATTTAAATCAGGTTTCCTCACCTAGCCCACCCATTTCTCTCATCCGAGAGTGCAACGCGTGACTCTGGTGGGAAAATGTTACCTGTGTAGCACCTGTAGCGCTAATTACCTATACTGTTCCTTTGATCAAACCGACTTCTTGTTGACACACTTGTTGCATAACTATTTACAGTTGTTTTATAAATCGATGGGCTGTAGTTATTAACTCTCTGCTTCTATGTCCTACGATCCCATTGAGGCGTGCCAATGCAGATACCAGAAAACACTGACGAAACGCACCTAGTTGTTTTAAATTATTGAGTATATTGAGACCTAATTGGTTACAATAAGAAAGCTAGTAACCGAGTATAAAGCTAGTAACATAGAAAAGTAGAAAAATGAATGCCGATTTAGAGCAAATTATTGTGCGTTAATTACAACAGATAACGAGCATCACCCATTGATTCTTTTTAGCAGCTTGGTACCTATTTGTCTCCGTCCCATTTCCCGTTCACCCTTTATACAGTGTCTAGTGGTGTGTGTTCATGCATTAATGGGATACAACCTGTCTACAAAGGACAATCTGTAACTGCTCTCTAGGAGTAGAAAAGTACTAAACTGATGCACGATTCCTGCTCAAATGGTTACAAGGTTACACCAGTCGAGGCCTCAGTAAAGCTTTCAGAAAGATTTGTAGTAAACATGTGGGGGACATTTCCAAACTTTACGCATCAGTGACAAAACTGATGTCCGATGAAATCCTTATTTTGACCTGTTCCTGTGTATTTCAGTTGAACGATTGACTTGCCTTTTCATGTGTTTGTGACCTGTTTGGGCAGGATACGTTCACCTGTTTACCTGGTATCATCACTTTTAATCATACTTCAGAAACATTTTGAACAAACTGAACATTACGTCTTTGTATGGCTTTTAAAAGTGATACACATAAGGAAGAAAATGTATGGATGTTAACTTCTTTATAGTTACTTAAACTTACTCCTCCGTCAGGT